TTGACAGAGCACCCATTGTTTGAAAGGAAAAGTGAGGAATGGGAGAAACAAGACAAGTGCGTAGAGATTATGTGGAACTCTACAGAAGAAGGACAAAAAGTTGAAAGGAACAAGGGATCCAAGTATATTGCATGTTTTGAGAGACTCCCCACCCCCGAGGACTGCAATTAGACACGCAAATTCAGTAGAGGATGGTACAGCTTTAAGCTTGATGTAGTGACTTAGCGAAGTAAATATAAAAACATCAACATCTCGAATACCTTCGCCTGCTGGCTGCTTACAAGTGCAGTTCTTCTGGGAGTTGGGTCTTGTCCACAAAAGTTTCGTCCACGACCTCGGAGATAGAGCTTGGAGCAGCAGAAGGGACGTCTGGGAATTGGGAGGAGCCAGAAGAGTAACCAGTGGCTGGTTCTTGGGCTGGCTTAGCACCGACAGTGGAACCAGCGGTTCTGGTAGAGAACTTTGATTGGATGAAGTTTCCCACAGGACCAGACTTCTTGATGAAAGCATCAATATGAGGAGCAGCCTTATCATGAGCAATCTTGGTGTATTCAGCGGACTTTTCCTTGGCAATCTTGGAGTATTGCGCAACAGCAGCGTCAATTTCCTTCTTGTTGCTTTGGTAGACAAGAGGAACAGAGAAAGTCAACAACACGGAGGTGAAGATAAGACTGTAGACAGAAAACCATGAGGTCAACTTAAACAAGATGTAAGCGGCACCAGCAGCCTTCAAAGTGGCCTCAATGTCCTGGGCAAAGATGATCTTGTGCAATCTCTTTTCAGCACACTCGGAGGCATCGGCAAGTGCTGGCAAAACAGACTCTTTGAACACCTTCGAGTGAGACTTAGGAGTGCCAACGTATTTGGTGACGAAACCTTGGCCGGTAACCAACTTGCCAGCATACTCAGCAGCAGCGGCAGCCAAAAGGCCAATGTAGGCCAAGTGGAAGAAGTGGTTGGCCACGTTTATTTTCACCAAGAGAAGGGCACCGATAATGGCGCCGAACACTTTTCCGGTGGCAACCGGATCTTTCCAAGTAAGCAAACTGGTAGCAGAGCTAGATTGAACAATGGGTGTTTGGGCTGGGGTAGACATTTGGAATATGAGATATGAAAGTAAAGTGTACGAAGAGGGCCGAACGTAATCTCAATTGAGCAACTATCAGTGGTTTTTTTTTTTCCCGAGATTTTGCGTAGCTGATTCTCAATCTCCTGAAAATATTCCTACACAATTGTCACAAGACCGCAAGGGGCGTGCGTCGGCAAATGACGTGAAACAGGGGCAGCAAAAAGAGCAATGGCGGACAATTTTTTCTGGTGCTACAGCAATGACAAGTTATGTTTCTTGCTACAATCCTTTTTCTTGTAGTAGCAACATTATGGCATCCTTTCTGTAATGGGATCGCTTCCAATCATTAAAGCGCGATAGCAATGTCGTTCGATCAGGCGCGCTTTCGCATAAGTAACCGATGAAATTTATTACCTCAGATAAGCCGTCGCATAGAACCTTTTCACCACGTTTCGCTCATATACATAAAGTTATTTTGGCAGCGCTATCATAACACTCTGTGTTCTGCCCGTCTTTCTCACAATTTCAACTCAATTTATCTGTAGGCATTTCCAAGCGGAATAACTTCGTACCATCTCTTTGGCATGTAGTATTCGTGAAGTTAATGCTCTTGAAGTAGTCTACCACAATGTCGCGAAAATTCTGGCGCCTCTTGTCCGCGCTGAAAGTATGCCCTTCGGCTAGACACTGGAACCAGTCATGTAAAACACAACATAAAATACGAGTAACAATTTCAACTAGATCGGACACACTGCCTATTGGCGCAGAGACATTTCCGTCTTTTTCCAAGTTCTCCAACGCTGTTACTGCGTCTCCGAGAACTTTTTGCAACTGACCCAATTTGGTGCCAGTGAAAGCACAAACCCTATGTTGCTTCTGGCTTTTTTCTAGAAAACTTCGTACAGCGTAATCGTAGGGATTTTGCCCAAGAGACTGAAACCATAACAGCGCAAGGCTCAATTTTTTGATAGCTAGCCCATCAACGCATTCACGGGCAACACGGACAGCATCTTGCAAAAGCTTCAACTTGGTCTTTGTGGCGTCAAAACCCATCTGCGTACATTTCTTTGCAGGGTGAATCCCCCTATTCTTACCAAACGTTAAGCACAAGAGACTCGTATCATGGGCCCTATCAATCTTTGTCTCAAACGGATCTGATACGTCTTCCTCATCAACCGTGTCTCCTGGCGATTCTAAAATTCGACATAATTTCATTAGTGCCATGGTGGTCTCGTGAACTTCTAATTGATTTCTCTTAACGATCACAAGATTTAACCTGGCTAGACCCTTCTGGAGCGCCAGAATACTGTTATTAAACAATTCCAAGATTTTCCGTTCCGTCAGACTTGCCTTTGTGTACTGACATTTCGCCAATTGTCCATCCCTGTGAAGTAGAATTGGCACCACCTTGACAAAATTGGGTTCGGCTGTGACGTATTTGTTGAAGAACGTGCATATTAAGAGCTTCCATACCTCGCCGTGTTCTCTCACCGCACTTAAGTTTTGCTGGGCACTTTGAAGGAACTTCTGCATACATCTCCAATAGGTGCTGAAGCTATGAATCAATTTGGTGTCCTCTTCGGGAAATCCGTTTTCTTCCCATTCTTCCAAGTAGGATTGCAATAGCTCGCAATACTTGGCCTGGGTTACAATGAGGGTTTGGACGGCTGTAACGTATATTCCGCTTGAGCGAACATCTCTGGAACCAGGCATATGATTTTAAGACTCTTTTTGCTCCACTAAAGATGGAGTTATACGCCAAACTATATACAGAGACGATTGTTTCATGATTGTAACTTGGGTGCAAAATAATTGAATCTCTGGTGTATGGATGTGTTTACTTATTCGGAAGCTCCGTTTCCATAACACCTTTTCCCAAGTACTCAGTGATTACCTTAAACCGATCCGTAGCATCATTTAAATCCATGTCAAACACATCGTAATTATCCTTGGACTTGAATTGGGTTTCCCTAAGCGCCCGAGACGACTGCAATTCGTTAATACACAACGGGCATTTGGGTTTGCTATCGACTTTCTCATTCTCCGATGGGATGTAGATATTCTCAATTAAGCACCTTTGATGGTACGAATGTTTGCACTTAAAATGAATCAATGGGAAGTCAAGTTTCAACTCGCAACTAGAACACTTTGTGCTTTGGAAAATCACAGGCTTTGTGGTAAGCTCAGTAAGTTTGAAGCTGTTCTTGGTAGATTCGCCTTCGTAAGACTGAATGAGTTTCTTATTATTGCTGATCTCCTTATTCGCTTGACTGATGTACTCAATTAAGAAGTCTTTGACGAGTCCTAAATTTGCGTTCTCGTTCGAACTCATGATATTGATGATCTCGAGTGTTGTTGCAATTTTATGCAGCTTTATCTCATCCAATAACAAGCGGAAGTCTGCCGCAGTTGCCTGTTTGAAGATCTCGTTGGAAGAAACAATAAACTTGAGCATCATTTTATACAAAATCGGCTTTTTTTTCCCGTACTTGTTCACAACTTCAAACGCAGCTTTCAAGTCACCAGTAGTCTGCGCCATTCTAAGCAATCCTTCCTCAAAGTCCATCGATGCTTGTTTGGCAAAAGCTTCTCCCTCTTTGAAATCATAAACGTGGGATATTAGCAAGATGCTGGAGACATCCACCAACTTGGCGTTGTCATACATCAAATTTCTTGCCTTCTCAAGCCACTCGTCTGTCTTCTCAGGTTCCTCTTTACACATCGAAAGATACATTTCGAAAAGAGTAATCAACAAATCCTTCTTGTCCAGAGTATTTCCTTGATACTTCTCAAAAGTATCCATACAAGCCTCCAAAAAGACAACAAACTCCCGTGGATGATTCACAAAACATGGGAATACCAAGCTTGGGCGGGGAGGTAAATAAGTAGGCTCTGAATCGGTAGTCTCTAAAATCGAGTTTTCTGCACTTTGTGGAACATTTCGTGAAAGGTAACCCAAGAATGCAGTATATGATGAAATGGCATTGTGAATTAAATCTTTGCTACCCTCTTGCGGCGACGACTCGGACAAAGATTCATCAAATAAGGAATGGTTTGCTTCAGGTTTATACTTTCCAGTGAAAACATTTATAAGAAGCTCCGTAGTTTCCAACGGCATGTAATCTAGAAGATCCTTCAGGAAAGCGATTAGAATTCGTAAGAGTTCGTCAATTGGAAGAGATTTCATGTATGACATGCAATTGCCGAACTGGTTGAGCTCATTCATCTGAACTTCCACAATCATGTATGGATGGTTAAGCTTGTACAAAAGCCGAATAACCTGTTTAAAGTAGCCACATTCTTTGAACAAATTGATAATGAGCGGGAAATTTAGGTTTCTCGTAGGAGAGTCACCTTTTTGAGAATCACTTGGAGAATCGTTAATCTCTAAGGAGTCAATAAAGGCATCGAGTTCGCTTGTCTTTTTGAGCTTGCAATAGCAACATAAAAGTAGTGTGAGGTGATCACTATCTGCTAAGTTCAATTCATACAAACTGGCAAGGAATCGTGTCATATTGCTGATATTCGATACCTCTTTGAACCGCTTAATAACATGTATAACAAAGTCGTCCACATCCACAAAACTATCTTTCGTTGAATTTTTTTTGGAATCAGTAAGGTGTAAACAGTCGATGTATTTTGAAACAGACGCATCAAAGTCCTGGTGTTCGTAGAGATTCTCTGCGTGAAGCTTATTTATACGAAAACGGGTTTCGTTGTCAAGATTGTATTGATCAGCAAGATTCAACGCGATTGAAAAAAGGTCCCTTTGCAATATCATTTCAACTTGTTGACTGATGGGTTTCTCATGTAATTTGTATAAGATACCATCTGTTGACAACAAAAAGACATCATTTTCGGCCGAAGAGAAAAATGCATGAGAAATGGTCAGGTTGGGAATGGTCAAACTAAAGGAAATGTGCATATTTGACATATCCAAAATCAAGATTTTGGTGAGAGAATTCTTTCCAGGAGCACTAGATTCCTCAATAGGGCATACCACTAGCAAATAGTCTTTGGAAAGACGCAATATTCTTTTCTTCTCCAAAGTAAAGTTGACAACCTGTGCCTTACTGACATGGTTGTAGTATTTGAAGCCGTCCGTATTGGCCACTATCAATCTTGACAGACGAGTGTCCATGTCTGCACAGCCCACAGCTACTCCCAGGCTCGCGGAAAGAACACGAAGAGGTTTTCCGTCGTTTCGGCCGGTGGTTAGCACAGTCAAGATTTTCGAAGTGGTAGTCACGTACAAGATTTCCTCCAGTTTATGAAAATGCACGCTAGTTACCGGATCAACACTCTCATACACCAATCTCTGCTTCGATCCCCGATCACGCAACAAGTCACCTCGCACTATGATGACACGCCCATTTGTGTAGCCTAGCGCAATGCATGTTAGATAATCATTGAATGCAAAGCAGCTGATGGGGTAGAAATCTGCTCCGTCATGTACCAGCACTTTAGTGACATACTTATGGATGGTTACTTCTTCTGATTCTGCCGAGGCCGCATCTAAGTTCATGATTTTGTTCAAATCCCATACTTTTATAACGGCGGGCGAATTTTGTTTTTCAGCTAGAGTGACGAGCAAGTTGGAGTGAGCCAAAGGCTTCATGAATGTGATTCGGTAGCCAGGGTCATAGGCGCAAAACAGCCGGGCCAAAGTAAAATTATCTTTTGTGAGAAGCTTCACATATGTATCTTGGGTAGCAAATGCAATATAGGTCTGGGTGCTGGTTATCGCCGTTAATTGAGGGTCGGAGAAAAGAGGGGCCGTAGATTTGTAATTCGGATCCCGAACTGGGAGAAAGTCAAAGAGCTGAAATTGTCTCCATGTAGACGGTAGCAACATTGGAGATGCAATTGATTCTATACGTGGATTTTGAGATTGTAGATAAAAGGTGGAGAGTATCAAAGTTCCGTACACCGCAGAAAGCTCACTTAGAGAGGGCAGCCTCTACACCCGTGCCGCCCATCGCAGAATTTTCCCTCGCATACACTACTCCATCTGCGTAGTTGAATTCCAACCTCATCTCAAACCCAAACTAAGACCACCACATGATGCCAGCAATTCCTGGTTTGGGAGAGTCATACTCCTTAACCGAGCTTCCTCGAATCCCAGATCTCAGTCTTCCCGAAAGAGTGGTGGTGTCAGAATCACAAAATGGCAAGCTGTACCTTTCCACAGAGACAATAGACTTGGGAATCTCCAAGCTGATCATATCCAGCTATGTTTTGAAGCCCACCCCAAAACTTTGCTGGTCCTATCCATTGTCCCCCAGTACTATTGTCGACAGCATGGATGTAAAGGACTCATTATATCTTGTCGGCTTGACTGAACGGAAAAAGAGCAAATTATTGATGATCCAAAAGACGGGTGACGAGTCCGTTGTCACCGGAGAATTCCTGTTGAGTGTTCCAGCTGTTGCAGTGAAGTTTTCATCTACTAAAAGTGCTTATGTGCTTTTGAAAAACGGAGATTTGGAGTTGTACAACTTTAGCATTGAAGACAGCATCATTATCGAAAAAGTCCCCGAGCTCACAAACTTAACTCAAGGCACTTCTAAAGCTAGTAGTGTTATGTTCTCTCGCTTTATTAGCGACCATAACCTCAAATACAACCACGACTTGTTCTTCTTCATTTCCAGAAGTAACTCGAAACTCACATACAGATTGATAGCTTTAGAGGGAACCAAATCTTTTGAGCTATACCAAACCAGCATCCCCTTCTCTAAGCCAGAGAGTCTTTGCTTTGCCTACAGTGATGGTACTGTCTACCAATTTGACAAGAAGACCAAGACCATCTCGTCGAGCTCGCTCATGAAGCCACAAGAGACATTGAAGTCTTTCAGCTTAAAAAACATCATTGGTAAATCTAGTTCCAAAAGCTTGTTTTCCATGACCTCTCCTTCTTCTGAGAGAATAATTTTGTCGCATGAATCACTGATTTTCATCATCAGCTTCAAGTACGAGAGTGTCCTAGGCGAACACACTAACAACTCCCATAATCAGGTGTTTTTGACTTTCGCTCTTCCTGTTGCAGGTAACACAACTGAAACCCGCAACTCCTTTGCATTGTACTTGAATTTTGAAGAGAAGACGAAAACCTGCAAGTTAAAGCTGATTCAGATTGATGTCGGTTTGAATTTGTTGAGCGAGTCTCTTGGTAAATCTCTTCACAACTCATCGGAAATTAAGTGGAATGGTTTCCCTGCTTTGGAAGATGAAAACATGATAGAAGCAAACAAGAAAATTGTCAAAGAATTAGAAAGGACGGACAAGAATTTGTTGCAAGATCAGGCACAAAAAAATACTTCTGCTTTCGACTCACATGTGGTGGAATTTCTCAAAAATGCTCCATTAGAAGAGAATACCACATATAAGTTCTCTTCTTTGACAGACAGAGTGGTCGACGCTAGATTCATCGAGTCAATATTAGCCATGATTTTTGAAATTGATGAATCAGAAAGTGTTCAAATCATCAACGAAGAGTTTGTCCCACAAACAACATTAACATATCTTTTTACACATCCGTTGTACCCAGAAAAATATGCCAAGGGCTTGTTGATGCTTTTGTCTCAATTGAATCAACCAGACTTATTGAAGCAGGCTATTGATAACTGTGTGGGTCTCACTATTGAAGAACTCACGCAAGAGTTGATAAACTTGGTGGAATTGTTGGACGAGATGGATGCAGAGGAAAAAGAGGATGCTTATTACATCTCATCGTTCTTGAAGGCCACTATTAATCGCTTACTGACGGACTATTCCGTAGGGGAAATCACGAGTAAGTTGCAAGAAATTTTGAATATTGAGTATGAAAGCGCCAACAAGAAGTTGGAACACTTGTTAAATGCGTTAATCGATATCAACAACAATCAGTCATGGACGTTATTGCAAGCCGTCATTGATGTTGGTGGATTATTCAACTGGAGCTTGCCTACTGTCAACAAACTTAGCGAAGTCATTGACGCTAAGGTTGAAGCATTGACACAAAATAGCTATAACTTAACATTAACGTCTCAAGCCGTTATAGGCTTGCAAAATGCTGGAAAGAAAGGCGCCAAGAAGTCCACACCTAAAGTTGTGGATAACATTCACGAGATTAATAACCAAAGATTGCAGTTGGACGCCATTTTAACAATCAACAACAATACCACCAACAAGAAGTTGATGGTTGACGAAGGCATTGAGCTCGCAAAGAAAATTCCAACATACTCGAGGGAAAAGTTGGTTTTGTAGCGAAATAGAATAAACTAAATACTTGGGTTAATAGTAGGTGTACAGAGGTAGCTGATAGTCTTAGACTTAATGGTTGGCAAATAATCATTATGGAGTTGTCGAAACGCACTTGTGCACACACATATTTAAGACGAACAGAGAAAACATATTCATGAATCAAAGGATTTCAAGGAAAGTAAGAGGAAAGCGAATTAGAAAAGATTTGACCTTTGTAACTACGTTTACGGGCGTTCTGTACCAAAAATATCTGTCCAGGAACTTGAGGGAAAACTAGTATCGTCCTGCGTTTAAGGCGCTGAATACATCTTAGGCGTACAGTTTTTCCTCTCCATCATGAGTAACCCTGCCCTCCAAGCATATAGAACGGCTCTTCGAGCAACACGAGTGGCCTTCAACGGCGACAACTTTGTGTTAAAATCTGCAAGGGCGAAAATTAGAGAAGGACTCCTCTCCAACCGAGACCTAGCGGACAAGATGGAAGTGGAAAAAAAAGTGGCTGAACTTAATGAAGTTGCACAGTTTTTGGTGAAAAACATTGTCCAAGGCGAGAAAGAAGAGGGCAAAGACCGTTACCTTTTGAAGATTCATGACAAGACGGAACTCGGAAGTAACGAGACTATTAAGCAAAGCAAGGCCAACTTGGGCAGTTTGGCTGGTGCCAAAGTGAAAAGATGCTCTTAATATCTGTACATAGCAAATGAAGGTTTAGAACATACTCAATATGTACCATATCGGTTACTGTTGTATCTGAAGGGAGATATCTCGACGGTGAAGGCTAATAGCTAGAAACAAATCTACAGGATTCTATGCATGTGGAAAGAGGAACCATAAAGAAAATGCATATGACGTGGGTGAAATGGATGTATTTAGGGGCAAATAAGATCACTGATCACGATACGGTGGTACTTTGAGATCTATCACACAAGTTTACCAGAGGATTATGAGATTTCCGGATATAAGACAGTTAATTGACGGGCCAAGTGCAACTGGCACTTTTGCAAACCTTTTTTTCGTAAACGTAGTAGGGCACAGAAACTATTGCGTTGACTAAGGGTTTAAAAATTGCTAGCGAACCTAAGCGTTCCGAGCAAACCTCCAATCCCCGCTGTGACACAGTCGTATGTTGAGTACATAGCAATTACACATCAACGGCAGCAATTATATTTTATTTAAGTTTTACGCCTCATTTTTAAAGTCAATTATTGTACTTTCACCCATCACTTTTTATTGTTCTTTTGTACATCAATCATACCCCAAACTTAACCGTTGTACCTCAAGCCTACTTGCTTTTACTTGTGATTAATCGGTTTCACTGCTCCCTATTTGCATTCTCCATCGGTTTTATTTGGCGACGAAAGAGAGATCTGTCCAGATATTCCGATTTAGTCCATACACTATAACGCATTACATTCTTAACTCATCCCAGCTCTTGCCATCTACACTCCTCAGTCTGAGCTTCTTCCCTTTTCTTTCCATCATGCGCGCACAAGACAAGCCATCGTGCGCGCCAAAAGCATTGAGCGAAAACCACTCCAAGACAAGCATGTCGGCAGTACCACCAGAGAAGAGAGACATGTTCATATCCAAAGCGCTCTCGTACCTTCTTCGGCACGGCGCAGATAAGGAAAAACTTCCTCTAGATGAGCATGGGTGGGCCAAGGTCAGTGATGTGCTTGCCAACAATCGCATCCGTACCCACCGTGCTACCCAAGAAGATATTCGTCGCATTGTGGCCCAGAATGCCAAACAAAGGTTCACGCTCCGCGAACGGTCGGACGGAGATTATATCTGCGCCAACCAGGGCCACAGCTTGGAACGGGTTTGTCCTGAGCTCGAGCTTTTGACTCTGGAGACCATGCCGCGCGAAGTTTACCACGGAACGTACGAAAACAAGTTGGATACAATTATGCAACATGGCTTGAATCGTATGGCACGCAACCATATCCATTTAGCCTGCAACGAGCCCTGGAGCCGCCTGGGCTCGCGCGCGAGCTCCACAGTATTCATCTACATTGACATTGACAAGTGTCTCAGCGCGGGCATTTCCTTCTACCGCAGCAAAAACGGCGTCATTCTCACCAGCGGCAACGCGCAAGGCTGCATTCCGCTGGAATATTTTGCCCGAGTCGAGCGCAGGTCGAAATCATGAGCTAGGCGCATCGAGGAGCGGGCGTGAATGTTCGTATGAGGCCCTCGTAACATGCTCCGTATTGGTGCATAACTATTGCATGCTGCCCTATCTCAATGGTCTAGAGACTCAACACTTGTCGCGCCGCCTGTGTTGTCGCGTGGACTTGTTGTCGCGTGGACTTAGTCGCACTCTTGACCCAGATTGTCGCACACCGCTGCATGGGTCTAATTGTTCTACATGTTCATCGGGCAATGTCCCATATCGCTGTAAAACGGTCGCTGCTGGCCATACGTCTCCAGGTTAGTGGCCCTGTGGCTCTGCAGAGAATGCCCCGAGCCAGGCGCAATTGTTTGGATGCCGCTGCAGGGCACATGGGGCGAGTCCCGTATTGGGGCACACTGTGCAGGTGTAGCGCAGAGCCCCAGGCGACGCCTGATTTGGCGGAAATGCCCAGGCAAGTGGTGTGCGAGCCCAGGCTATCGCACAACATGCGCAAAGTCCTAGGGGGCCTAGATAGATGTCATTTTCAGTCCATACTGTACGTTCATGTGGATCGGTCTGGCTACGGGGCGGGGCATTCTAGATTTTTTGTGGGCGTGCACACCGCAGCAGAGAACAAGATGGCGCGAAGAGCCTGTTAGGGCCGCCTGCATTGACCAAAGGGTCTAGGCTCAGGCAAGCTGGGATATATATGATGGTGCCAATCCGGCAAAGGCGATGACGCTTGCTTACTTTTTCTTTTCCTTTCTTTCCTTCTCCGTTCCTAGTTGCGTTACCTTTTGCAAGAAAGTCGCTGTTGCTTGCAGTTTGCTCGAATCTGCCGTTCATCTTTCCCGTTTCCGCCGTTTCTGGGTCAATTCTTTTACTTGGACCGCCTCTGCACTAGGGCTTAGCATGCCGGGTTTCCCCCACCTCCACGCTGCGGTTAAAACATTGATATCAAGCTAATCAGCTCTGACTCGTGTCGCATTCCCATATTGATCTCCAAAATAGTCCCCTCCGGTAACCAGATTTGCCAGTGGTATTGCTGCGACTGTGGCAAACCTTATGGCACCCTCCGCACATACGAGGGGATCCACACTGCAAAATCCAACTTGACTTCTTCTTCTTTGGCCGAGAGCATCCACTACCAGGATGCTCCTACAGGCCACCATTTGGTGCAAGAACCCGCAACCCGCTTCACTGGCTGCGTGCGACCACATGATGTGTCCCTATTGCTTCAAGCTACGGTACAATGACCTCGAATGACTATCATCCTCTGCGTGGGTGTGACCCAAGGCAGAGCTAAAACTTGCGCGAGGCTGGGCTGCGCCGTGAATAGGTAACAGTACGAATATCGGTTTATGTCGCGCCTGTAGCACATGATACCAGTGGCTGATGGGTGCCTGCACACATTGCCCATGGTGGATTAGCCGGGTATCCTGTAGCAAAGTAGCAAACGCCTCATGCGAGGCCATATTTTCTGTAAGACGAAGGCAACAAAGAGGAGAGTTTTTGTCCACCCTCCCTGACCTCTGCAGAAGTTGAATTGCCGTTTGCTATCATATCGTATCTTTTCTCGTCGGGTGGAAATCTAGCACATGCGAAAATGCATGCAGGCCTGACAATACTACATCAACTCAAAACGTCTACTTCTCCGCTTTTCTTCTCTCTACCATGAGGCTTCTTCACGCCAAACACCAGAAGCTTATACTCCAGTGCTACCCACCTGGGAAAAGCGTGGACAAAAAACCCAATCCTCTGGAGCTCAGCTATCTTTTATATTACGCGAGCACGCGGCGGGTCAAGTTGGAGAAGGTGATTGACTTTTTGGCCCACAAAACCAAAAGTGACGCTGGTAGAAACAGGTCGGGCAATCTACAAGTTACACTCAGTATAATTGCCGCTCTTATTGACAAATGCTCCAATAACTTGAACGTGTTTGCACTGCAAGTGTGCAAAATCATGTTGGCCATTCTAAACACACAGGAGTTGCCGTTAATTCGCCTTCTCGTGCAGACATATGGAGTCTTATGCAGCAAGCTTGATGGTGGGTTATTTTCCGGAGATAAGGATTTTGTCGACTTGTTTTGCCAACTCTCTACTGGATTGATCTCACAGGGCGTCAGTAAACTGAACCAGCCCTCGCTCAATGTTCTAGAATGGAAACGTATTTCGTTGGCCACATGCCGCCATCTGTTCAAATGTATTGGTTACAATACCCACGTGAGCAAGAGTTTACTTTCTTTATGTGTGCCCCTTTTGACAGAGCAAGTACACTCTTCGTCCTCCCATGACGATTTGCTTAAGCGTCTACACGCCAACTTGAATGTGGAGAATGACGCTGACCGCCGCTTAAGTAAATCTGTTACTGGTCGCAGCATGTCCAAAATGTATCGTGTAAAGAGCAATGCAGATACAGACTCGCTTAGCGAGGATGACTTAAACGTGGAAGCCCTCTCGGCATTGCGAACTTTGTTCAATACTACTCTTTCCAGTCAGATTTCTGATGCAACTAAAGAGGTTGTGGAAAACAACTTGAAGCTGTATCCTAATGAAGAAGAGTGGGGCACCACCTTTTTGGAAATGTGCGCTTCGTGGATCCCCGTGCAATTGCGTTTTATTACATTGCTGACGTTATTGAAGAGCATAACTGTCACTTCAGAAAAAGTGAGCCGCAGCACTGATGCCGCTCATTTGAAGTCGCACTTTGCTCGCATGGTGCATTTTGCCAAAAATATTCTGGGCCTTGTCTCATCCGACTTCAATATGATTGGCTTGTCAATCACGGACGTCACCCAACGTTTGCTAAGCTTGCAGACTTTCTTGCACTTAATGGCGGCAGACAATCTCCCCGCTGATAAAGTGGCATACCTAAGCAGCATTTATTCCGAATGCATTTGCAACTTGTCTAGTCATATCTACTATTTTGATCAGGTACTGGATTCAATCGAGGCAATCTTGGTGCACATGGACACTGTACTCATTTCCACAACAGCGGATAATGTGGAGCAAGTTTATGGATTGGTTTTGCATTTGCTTGATGATGTCTCTACAGTATTGAACTTGTTATCAGCTAAGTCGAGTGCCATTATTCGCAATAGAGCGACTTTGGAAAATTGGAGTGTGAGTTTGCAACTACTTTCATTCTCTCTCTCATACAAGGAGTTTCTGGAGCACGGTACATCACAACAGATCACGCAGATTCAAGCGAAATACCTTGCTGTATTCAATCTATTCTTGGAGAAGGAGCTCGTTAAAAGCGATTCTCCAGAGCAGTCTGATTCAAAAATAGGTGAAAGAGATGATATGTTGGTTCCCAACTTCAATGATTATTTGGAGAACAGCCAAAATATCTTGGCTCATTTGCTTGTGCACTGCAATGATTTTTTTGAGGACTCAATTCTCAACGTGAATGTTGCAGCGCAGCTTGTATTGTCATTGCGCTGTATTTTGCATGCAACAGGTGCTAACTTCATTCACAATTTCTTGCCCTTTTTCCAACACTGGCAACAACTGACTTATTCTCTGTCACTTCTGCGCCGAGTCAAAGATACTCTGGCATATATTCTTTTGCAGGATCTGGTGGAGGTGCTTGAGTCCAAATACAACGATTGTTTCAAGCTGGATGTCCACCTGTTACCATTGGCCGCTTTCATCTCGGAGGATATAATCTCTCGCCGCGAAAGAGGTCAGTGGGTGTGTGAACTTGATGGAACCAGCTCAACCCCTAAAATAATTCCAGGAGAATTACTGATGAAGGTAAACAAAAAGTCTATTTTCGATTTTTTCTCTCATATATCATTGCATGGATGGACACCCTCGCAAGGACCATTCCGTGAAGCCGATGTGCTTCTCGAGAACGGGAACGGCTATTCTGAACATTCTATGAACGGACAACTCCACGCGCAAGATTTTCGACCAGTGAACACTAAACCAGTAGGCGCTGGCCTTGGTTTAGGTACTGTGAGTGACATCTCTTCTATTCACTCAGGCTTGGCTAACCAAAGTTCACGTGCTAACGTTGGCTCGGCAGACGTAACACAAGCTACCATTGAAACACGTTCAATGATTTCTCTTATGGCACGCGAAGAGCACCGGGTGCCGCGGGTGGCACCTTTGAAGCTCAGCTTGAATGGCCTTAGCATATCAGGCGCATCCAGTCCTTCAGTGCTTGAAAAGCAAATTCACACCACTGACGTGCGCTCTATTTTGGACGGTCTTGATAGTGACGATGATCGAGAGATTATTGTATAATAATTAGATGTTGTAGGTATATGTACCATAGAAATATAGGGGGTCTGATGATCTCAACGATGTACGGTACTCATTAAAATTGTGGTTGACGAAAGAATGGGATGGCCAGCTTCCTAGTCTTGCTTAGACAGAGAGTGAAGACACATTTCTACACTTTGATTGGCCCAATTGAAACGGCACACGCTAAAGGCCGGAATTTGCATTAATATTTATTGTTTTTACTCGTCGTCGTCATCGTCACCACCCAAAGCTTCAAACGCGTTGAATGTGTTGGTGTGCTTGTCCGCAATGGCATCTCTTGGATCAACTGCTTTGGAAGATCCCAAGTTTTTGTTGTTAGGCTTGATCTTAACCGCAGTTTCCTTCAACAGCTCTCTGAACTTTGTTCTTTCTTCATTGGCTTCCTCGGCTCCAAATGATTTCTTAGGTTTGGTCATGGTGGCCCATCCATCTTCGTCCACGGTGGTCTCAACGGTCTTCTTTCTCAAGTTTGGCTTGTTTCCCGAACGAGACAATCTTCTTCTGTTCAAGTGGTGGTACAGTCTCTCATTGCCATGTTCGTCAATGTAGGTGTCACCGTTGGTCATTTTAGCCTTCTTCTCATTGGCGACATGTTCTCTCACGGCCTCCACTAAACTGTTGAAAGCTTCTAAAACTTCTGGCTTCGGAGTGTAGGCTTCTTCCCTTGCCTCAAGTAATTGTTCCTCAGTGTACTTGGCCATGATGATTCAGTCGGTTTAAGTCTCAAGAGTTTTTCGCCTTTTTTTTTTCCTTCGGTCTGAAATATTTGTGTATGAGACGACTAACTAAAAGTACCAATAAATACTACTATTTGGGGTCGAAAGACACGTCGGCAAAAGAGAAATAGCTTTGCTATTGAATTGATCCCTCAGTTTTGTTTCCTTGAATTTTTATGTGGTCTTCTTGTGGAGCTAATACTTGTCCCTTTTCATCGTGCGAGCACTCGCCTAATTGGAATATGTAATTTACTGAGTAGGGAAATCAACAAAAGCACGAGAAAAAAGATTCAATTTCGAAGCTTTCTCTAGCATACTTTGTCATCCCTTATTGAAGTCACTCATAGCTGCATTTACATTCTCGTACTATCTTATCAGCCTTTCATTTTTATTCGGTGTCTTATATTTATTATCACCTTTGAGCCTCTCATTCCCCGTTGCTTCGAAGCGTCGACGATATATAGAGAAGACATCAAAAAAATAATTATTCGGCTTTTAGAAGTGGTCTTGCTTATTCCGATTACTCCAGCAATTGGAAGAGACTCTAAGAATTGATTGCTGTAATCAAGGAATATAAGAGTTCGGTGTTTTGCTGCTCCAACACCTACAAACAATACCACACATAATTTGTGTCCGGATTTCAAATTTGGGCTTTTCAACGAAGCAAGTAATTCTAATGTTCCATTGTACAGCTTGATTCAGTTACGAAGCATTTGTTTACCCCACACGTTCAAGCTCTTCATACTGTATATGTGCAAAGAAAATCATATCTACTGGTACGCGATGAGCTAAAAGCTAACGCCAAAATGCCTCTTATCAAATCACTCCGCAAAGTCACTAAAAAACTCTCAAACCAGCTGGCGGGATCTCTTCATGTCAAGGGAAGAAAATTTAAGCAGCTTAATAGAGCCACGGAAAGAGAACATAAGTTAAAGATTAGAAAGCTTCAATTTGCTGAACAGAAAAATCATGAGTTACTATTCTACTTACACTTTCAGGAGAAGATCAACGAGGAGCCCGAAAAGGAAGTTTTCACTCTTGAAGATATGAGAAGATTTGTTCACGAGTATGTCTGCAGAAACGACGAAGAGCTTGAGTCTATTGCAACACTGAGAAGACCAGGTAGGCCCTTAACTAGCAAGCAACAATTACAAGTTGAGAAGAAAAAACACGAGGAACAACTTTTTAAAACTGGATGGAAATCTCCTGATTTGTCGGATAAGTTGACTGTTGAAAGATTGCGTACTTGGAATGGAACAAGTGGTTCAGTCAATGCCTGGAAATTTACATTTGTTACTAAGGATGGAAGTTCAGTAAATGAAGGTGATAGCAACGCTATGGAGGAATAATACGAAGAGAAATACCTCGCAGAGGATACTTTTCATACTACTTGGGAGTACATTGGTTTGTACAAAAGAAACACATACGTACGTTACTAGAATAAACAATCTTTAATATGGGTGTTATAGCCCACCTCAAATTTTCCAAAGAAGCAGTGCCCACCGGTTCCGACGTGGAGTGTTTTCCGATGGGACTAAATAATTCAGTTCAACAACAAGGTCCGTCTTTTCCGTATTGGGGTTTGTTGCTGTATTGACTCGCACACGGGAATTATCTGCTAACGCATCTGTTGGTTTATTGACCAGCTGTTTCTCCTCTGCAGCAGTACGGTCTTCGAGGCAGTAGTTCAAACCGATCAACAATAAGAACACGAGTAAGGCTGATCCCACTAACGACTTGAGATGTGCCAAATATATGCGAGGACGACTTGAAGTCTTGCGACTCAAAACCAACAACTTGTCCTTACCATCACTTGCCCCAATAAGTCTCCAGTTACGTTTTTGAAGTTTATTGATGCTCTTGGAAAACTTTTCCAACTCCTTCTCGGAAAGACGCTCGAGGATTCCTACCATGTCTTCTGGAGTATGTGTCTCCCCCAACGGATTAGTATTAGACATGAATGTATCGCCTTTGCCAGTTAAAACCAAATAATCATTTCCCTTGCCGTTTATTGATGGAAACATAGGGAAGCGGGAAGTCTTTTCGAAAAATGGGTCGAAGAAATTTCTTGATTCAAGGGAACGATTTCCGTTAGCCATATTACTGCTCCACTCGTAAGCTTTGCGCTCTCTCCATTGTCTCTCGAGCTTACTTTCATTCTTATGTTTTGCTTTCTCCAAGAACTTTTGAAGGGTTTCTTTGTGAATTGGTTTACCATGCTCGTCAATTTCCTTAGCCTTGGATGCCACTCTTTGTGGTGCTGATTCAACATGCGACAAAACAAAATTGTTGTTTTCGTCCACTATACCATTCTCATTTTCTTCAGAGTACGAGGAAAATGCTTTGTGCACAGCAGTCTGTATTGCATCTTCTGAATCAAACTTTACTGACTTTAATAATTTCTCTTTGTCAGGGAGAAGAGACAACACATAATCATCTGCTTGGACTCTAGACTTCGCATCATCTTTCAAGAAATCACCCATAACGAATGTGTTTTCTGCAGCTGCTTTGTTTGAAATCTTTTGCTCAATTTGATCAAACGTTTTAGCGCTTAGTAAAATATTGTCCAATACAAATGTGTGGTTATTGTTGAGTTTAAACAAGTTGTGAAGATTGTAAAGTAATTTACCAAGAACAACTTTTTGATCAAGGTCCATTTCTTCAGCTTGCATTTGCTCTAAGCATAACAAAATATCCTCTGCTGTCGTACTTGCAAAAGTACAACCAAGTTTGCGCCTGAGCGATAATAATTCCTCGGAGTACTCTTCGAATACCATTTGATCTGGAACTTGGATGTATGCTTTTCCCGACACATTTTCATCATTAGCAACAAGGCTTTTCTCCTGGTGAGCGATTTTAGATTCGAATTCTTCAAAGACGGACTGCGAATGAATCAATGTATCCAAAATTGCTGTATTTCCGCCATTGAGGATAAACAATTTTTTAAGCTTTGCTTGCAAATTGATGAACCTGACAAAGTTGTCTGCATTGATGCACAGATCAGGATAGGAAACTGGTAATCCCTTGTAAACATTGTCAGTTCTTTCTTGCAATAAATCGAGAATAGTTTGAGCCGACTTATCTTTGTATTCACTTGAAAGGTCATGTTTCCGAAAAAGACTAAGCTCTTCAATATATTGATGCAATTGTAGCTCGTCTGGTATCTGCAAATAAGGTCCAGAAAATGTTTCAGGAACTTCCTGTGAACTGGCTTGGAAGGGTGCTTTCGCTTCGCGTCTTTCACGTAACTGCGATTCAAATTGATCAAAGGTATTCTGAGACCTAATGAGTGCATCTAAAACTTCAGTATTACCACCATTTACTGCAAAAAGCGTCTTTAAGCGCGATAATAGCTTTTTGAAATGCAAAATATTCTTCAGCGTTATTCTTGATTCCGACAGGGTCAGACCGTGTTGAAGAACCTCCTGAACTCGTGCTTCTAACAGTTTCAATACTTCTTCCAGTGTTAATTCACTGTAGTCACGTTTAAGCTCGTCGGTTTTGAAAATTTCTAATTCAGAGTGCAAGGAGTGAAGCATGAGGTAATCTGGAATTTGCACATACTCCGACCGTTCCAAAGCTTTCTCATCGTGTAATACTTCATCTGCAAGGCGGTCAAGTTGAGTTACAAATGGAGTATCTGTGTCATATGCTGTGGCCAAATGTTCATAGAGCTTAACGAATTTCTCTGCATTTTCTGATGTAATAGCCGACGTCTCACATGTGTTGCTCAGAGATAACACTTCTTTCATCCGTTCATTAATATAGCGAAGTGTTGCACGAGCACCAATATCAGCAAATCGTTCATTGTTCAAATCCACGGCACGGAAATTTGCCACTTCATTTTTGAAACGCAGGACTTCATCATTGATAGCATGAATGGGTTCATTCGTATTCTTCCCCGTAGGGTGGTCTTCAATTTTTGATGTAAGGTCAATGATTGAAGGGTTTAAGCACTCAACAGTGGAACATTTTTCGCTCTGTTCCTGAGCAATTGTTTGGAGTTTTTTGTCTTCATTAAGCAAGTTTAACACTTTAAAACCGCGTATGAGATATTGGTCCATGGCCAGCAAGGACTTGATAAGACTCTCTGCATCGTTTTTCAATAATGCGCAAGACGTATCAAAATACTTGCGAATTTCCGAGGCAATTTCATTTGACGAGTGTGCTGAGTAGTCCTTGATGCTTCTGGGAGTGATTAAATTGAGCAAATGAATCCGACATGGTACTTCAAAAAGTATTGCAAGAGAAAGTTCGTAATTATCTAAAAGATTCTCCGAGAATTTGAACGGAATAATGACATTATTGTCAAATCGAACAGGAAGACAGAGATATTTGATATCATTCAACAGGTTCGATTTAAGTAATCCCTTGCATAATAATGGCAAGAATGTTTTAGTAAAGTTTTGGAAAATCTGTTTTTCTTCCTTAGAATACACATCCCTTCGACACTCGTGATTCACAAACGCAAAGAGTGTATGATAATTTTTCAAACCCGTCGACACATAGAAAGCATTTAAGATGTTTCTGTGTGTTGTAAAGATAAGCTTATCAATTTCTTCTTGCTCTCCACTGGATTTTTGAATTTCAGATTGAATGGCAGCGGCTTGCTCATCTTTAACTATGGCGAGAATCTCTTTCGGCAAGCGACTATCAGTGGATCGTGAAATCAAAATATTGTATAAGCTCTGGTAACGCTTCAAGTTTATGTAGAGGTGGTAGGCATTAGAGTCGAAATGTTTTAGATCGCCTTGTTCAGCTAAATAGGCATTGAACTCAGATACCAAGAGGGATATTTTGTTCAACACGGGGGCAATAGTAGTTAGCTTTGAGAAATCAAACTCAGACACCATTGTTTGCAACTCTGGTAAGAAGTTACCAATTCCCTTGCTGTAGAGGTCCATATATGATTTCCTCTTTGAACCATAGTCCATGAGCATTTCAAGAAGATTGGAAGCGTCTGTAGAATGCTTTGACTTTGAAATCTTAGAATCTAATTTAAGGAAGTAATCACGTAATTCTGGACGCGTCTCATTCTTGACTGCAAGAGCAATTGAGTTCCAAAACACCCTCATTATATCATTTAATTCATTTGCCGAAGTCAGAGAAAAAGATGTCTTGCCTCTAGAAGAATAGAACTCGCACATAGACTCCACCAATCTTGACATGCGAGAAGGGTTTGAATCGAAGAGGACTTTCAAAACTTGAAGAACATCGGCTGGCGCATTCTTGGCATACTTATTCATTGTTACTTGGAGTAACGCGGAGTCAACCAATGAAGGGTCATACTGACCACTAAGAGGCACTTTACTAGGTCTCGTACCGGCTGAATTGTGGTAAGGTGCGCGAGGGTCACTAGCCTTTCTGACCAGGAAGAAAGACCAATATCCACCAAGATGGTTCTTGGAGAAGAGGGAATATGAGAAAGCCTGGGAGAAATACCGGGAGAAAAAAGGCAATTGCAGGCATCTGCGGTATCTTATGTACCTTTGGCGTCTACTTGAAACAGAGGCCAGCCTCTTTAAGAACCGTGGGAACATAAGGATGAAATAACAGAGAGCACGGAAACGACTAATCAGATCTAAAGCCGATAAGGGGATGCGATCTGTGGTGCACGGGTGTAGGCGCCACAACATTCATATGAGCCAGAAAAACTTACATATGTTCACAAGAGTCGCATAGACAGCGGAGATGGTGGTGGATAGTGAGAAAGAGAAACAAAAAAAAAAAAAGGAAAACCAAGAGTAACCTAGGGCAGCATGAAAGCTAAAGTTCACAGTAAATATCGGCATGTCAATAAAATTCCCCTCAGAAGAGACAGTGTGATGATTCACACTTTTGAATCTAAATTTTACATTGTTTATTCTCCATCTCAAGGGCCCCGTACGTTTTACTCACTTCCAATACAAAGGTGCTTCATCAAAATCATCAAAGACATGAGTGTGTGCGCGAAAACGATGTCAGACCTTGTAGTACATGGCATTCAGTTGTAGGCCAAAGGTTTCAACCATTGTTTCAAATGGAGTTAAGAAGAAGAGGCAAAAAGATCTTCGTCATCTATAACATAAACTTCACCGGCGAGTTTTAATTCGTTCGTATGAAGAGGTCAAGAGCTCCATGTGATGTACTTTAGTGGGAAAAACAAAAAGAACACGGAGAAAATAGAAGGTGAAAAAAAAAAAACCGAAGAAAAGGTGAATGTCTAAACGGAAAGCGGAATTCATAAAACAGGAATTATAGGCGATACGAATCGAGACAAGAAAATTTTGAGATGGAGAAACGGGACGAAGCACGAGAGTGTAGAGAGAAAAAAATAAGCACGAAAAAAGAAATTAAGAGAAGCATCCATGAAGGTACACACAATACACGAGTCATGCTCGAAGACAGGGGAAAAATAAAAAAAATAATATCAAGGGAAAAAAAAAAAAAAGAATAATGTACATTGAGCAGCTCGAGCCAAGAATATCATGTAGGAACCCCCAAACATTAAGACGTTCCCCCAAACTTTTGAAATGGTTGATGGGGTACATTTTCGCGCCATACGTGAAAAATCCGAGAAGTTTCGGTTCTGACTCTGACGCACGGCGTGGGACGCGGTTGCGCCTCACTTGAGTATCGGAACATCCCAGAAGTTTCTCCGAACAAGGCGTTTGTGTTTTGTCGACTGCTGCATTTTTCATTATAGTGACAAAATTGTCCCTTGTGCAGTGCAACCTTAAGGTTTTATAATATTTTGGTTTTACGGTTGTATGGCACATTCTTATGTGCCTGCTGATCCTCCTAGCCGGCATTTGACAAAGTCGGGTCATGAAAAGATGTGCCGGAGACAAATTTATTTTGGATTACTACAGTCTCAATTTGACTCGTCTTCTGTACCTGATGTTGCAACTCATCCGACAATTTGGTGAAAGCGAATGGGCACTCCTTTCCATCAGACATGAAGTGCATTAATTTGCCCTGTTGCCTCGAAACGGGCTAATTACGAAGTTGCGCAAGCAGGTATAAGCCGTTCATGTATACAGGCCCGCAGGCGTCATCTTTCGACTTTTGCTGGTGTCTCGATTAAGGGCCCTGAGCAACATACCCAAACGAGAAAATGTCTCAGTTGCTTTCTTAGAGTCTAAATGCAGAAAGCTAAGTTATTAAAGTATCATACGGAACAATCCTCCATTACAAATCGCTGAAAAATATTTTTCATGACAACTGTTGGGGCGAAATAGAGGAGAAAAGAAAAAACGTTGCTTGCTGCGTCCGCTCGGTTAAAGTAGCCTCGATGGTCACAACTTTCGCTTCTGCGTGCAGGTTGGATACCATCGCGCAGTTCATCTATGCGTCAATGATAAAACGTTTTTTTTCGCTTTCTTTATTGATTAACGCCATCTTTGCTAACTTTTTATTCTTCCTTCTTTCCCATTTCATCGCTACCTTCTCTTCCTGGACTTTTGCCTGTTTCTTTTTCGTTCCATTTTTGTCTCCGCATGTCACTTTAGATGATTCAACGTCACGCCCCTGTTCCCCAGAAGGCGAAGGCGCCGATTCTTCGGCAAACGGCTATGTCCGCGCCGGTCTCTCCGGCTGTCACACCTCCAGCCACATTTGACAAGAGTGATCCTCGTCTTCCGTCGCTGTTGGATTCTCTTCTTGAGGACTGTGTTTTGCAATCGTTGGATCCCAAACTTCTTTGTCGACCCCGAGCGGAGTACGTCAAACTGTTCCACAAGTTTTTGATGGACAGGCACTGCCACGAAAACCTCTCCTTCCTTATAGAGATATTCCGCTACAAGTACTTTTATGACCAAATCAGTTCGCAGTCACCGCTGTTGTTTGACGACTCCAAGCCACAACGATCGTTGTTCAAGCAAAGCTTCCTTAACCAGTCGCTCGACGAGTCCATCGAAAGCATTCCATTCCCATCGCACACGATTCGCCGGGCTGCTCGTCGACTTTCCCACTCTCGCAGCAATTCTGTCGTGACAAATCTGGGCACAAGCTCGCCGTTTCCATTCGAGTTTGAGGATGACACAAACCTGTCTTCTGCGAATGCGTGGGACGCTTTAAAAGAAAGTTATCTTGCTGATGATGATGATTCTAGTCTTTCTTCATCATCATCATCTTTGAAATCATGTTCTTCCACGGAAAAGGAGCTTCTCCTTCGAGATCAGTGGCATATGATTGTTTCGCGTTTTATTATAGCCAGCTCGCCGGAGCAAGTCAACATTTGCGCCTCGACAGAGCAAGAGATCCTAAATGCCAATGAGGACTCCATTGTTCATCCATCAGTTCTTGAAAATGCCAAGCATGAAGTGGTCGAGCTTCTTCGTGAAAATGCGTATGGTGCATTCATTCGGTCCCAGGCTCCGACTTCATGCTCTTGCTCCTCGGCTATGGCCTCCTTGGGTGGCTCAAACGGCGGGAAAAGAGATCCTCATTCAAACCCTCGAAAAGAAATCGACCCTAGCACATTAAGGGACAATGTTTGTCTGCCTCTCGCCTCATCTGCCATCAGTGGCTTAGGTTGGACTTCTCGCCAATCGAAATCTAATACAGCATCTCCCCCAACACATACCAAGAAAAAAAACAAGCTTCTTTCGCATTTGAGCGGCTCTTTCGAAGATGTTTCCAGCTCGAGTCTGTCACTTTCGGGACTCATGAATCATTTTAAGCATCATAGCAAAAGCGCTAATTCACCTCCTCCGCAAGCGTCTAATGTGAAGTCAGATTCTTCAGCCTCGAATAGTGAAGACGATAGTCCTGTTCTTCTGAGAGAACCCATCCAGAGTCCGTCTTTACTTGACAAGTTGTTGAAGAAAAAACGGACACCATAGCATTTCCGAGTTTTAATTACATATAATATTCCTTGGCCCATTTTGCATATCTGCAACAGTTCCTTATGTTGCTCTGTATAGATAATATACCAGCATTGAAATACCTATTCATTTCGCAGTAGCGCATTTTGCTTCTCTTCTCCACAAACGCAAAGGGCGAAACACACATCGGAAAAGAACAAAAAAGTAAAGTGGGACAAGCTGCTTCTACGACTGGGTATACCAATCTGTAGACGCAGAGTAGAAGTATTCTTGCTCGTTCTTTCCTGATCTTGCATTGCCAAAGTTGCTAGTCTCCATTGCTTATTCAATGTCCCAAGCTGAAGATGGGGAAGTTTCGCCTGGATCTCCCCAAAGAAACGAAGATAATCGCCTGTCTTCAATGAAAAAGTTCAAAATTCTGACGCCGAGTTATACCCGATCGAAAGCTAGACGAATGGCGCACTTGCGGAGAGAGATTCTCCTCCGACAACGAATTCTCACTTTAAAACGCAGAAATAAGAGTATAAAATTAAAAGCTAAAGCTTGTCGGAGAGAAAAGGAATTGAAAATAGATGCCTCCTCTTTTGTGTCTTCTTTACATTTAGCCAATGCAACCGAACGGAGATTGAAGCACTTGGAAGCTGTGCGTCTCAAGGCACGGTTACTGAGGTTGCATTTGCAAACAATTACACCAGAGCAATGCTGTTCACATTCATTCGAAGCTGAAAAGTACCAAGTACCTCTTAAGAATATTTCAGAAAATAATGCAGACCTTTTTAATGGCTCTCAAAGGACTCAAATAAAAGTCATTCAGAGTGCCATTCGAACGAAGCTTTTGCGCGATAGTTTTAACGACGTCAGAGAATCCAAACTAATTCCTAATATCGTGGATAGTTATTATACTTATGAGCAGGCTCGGATGTTAGTATGTTCCACCAAAGTTGATCAGCTATGTCTTTTGTTGGAAAGACTTAATCTTCCCTATCCTACATCAATGAAACCATACGCATGGTTTCTCTTTTCCATAATGTTGATTAGTGACTTCGAAAAATGCGTTAAATCAAATACGTTATTCAATGTGGAGCAGAGAGTTTTTGAACACGGGCCCTTCATATCTCTGAGCTCTTTTTTGATCCACCTCCCCATAATTTTGCGCCAGGTATCTCTCAGAATATTAGCAAGCCTTATTAATCTCTTTGATCTGCCTTTGAACGTGGTAATCAATCCAATATCTCCATTAAGACTTTACCTCGCTCGTGTATGGCGTACCTACCATTTTTATTTCATTTTCGTTAAGAGGTATAAACGACTTCAAATGAAACACACTGCTAACAGAGAATTTGATGCTGCGCTCTATCAGATTACAACGACTCAAATGGTCATGACAAATAGAGAGCAGCTAGTATACGACAGAATATTGGCTTTGGAATGGCATAAATACAGAATCCGATCTTTATGTGAAACCCAAAATCTTTCGTGGGCCCAAACCTCAGAAAGCTTGGACGCATTGTACAGACAAATTGAGAGGATTGGATCTGTAAGGAAAAGAAAGGGACAGCTGCCTGGATTGTGTTACGATTTGGATTATGAGTCTCGGATTCTTTCATCTGATGACCATTTCCACAAACTCGTTACCATTTCTAAAGGTAGATATTATTTTTTCGTGCCCCCAGACGTTAGCATTTCAAAATGGAGAACTTTTTGGTTCAACAAATTAAAAGGAAGAGAAGTTGCGCTGTCAATAATTGGAGTACCCAAGAGAATGAGGTCTGGAATCAAACAAAGCCTTTTACATGAAGATGTTTCTTTTTCGATAAGTGATATTATGCTTTTAAGAGACTCGCCTATTGCCCTCCAGAACCCATTTGATATTGAGGCTTGGAAGTCAGAACTATTTTCTTTGGATTCTTTATTGACTTCCATATTCTTCAGCTTCTGTGACTATTGCTTCCAAATTGGAGAAGAAATGGAAACATCGGAAGCAATCTTTAACCTAAGGCAGTTTCAATCTGAGTACATGCTTCAAGATGAAGGTATATTCAATTCAGTTCTTGCAATAACCTATTTCAGAATATATCTATTATTGATATGTCAGATTGTTGTAATTGCAGATGCAGATACTACCAAGCTTAATGAGATTTTGAGTAAACAAAACATGGATTTCAAGGATCTATCACTTGCCATATACAACATGTGTCATGATTGTGAAGCTCAGTTATTTGTCAAATGGTTTTACTATTGCAAACCAATAGACTTCCGGAACTTTATTATGTCAGAAAATATTTACCAGCTAGCAATCGAGTGTTGCAATAAAAAAGACTTAGGTGCTCATAGTCCTCAATTGAGATTTCCTGGATTTTATTGGTTTGTGCTCTTGAATCGCCCCGAAGAATTCAAGCACCCAATTGATGCTTTTCTGATAGTGACTGCAAATCTGTGGGGCCCATTATTTGATTCAGAGGAGCCTCAAGAGAAAGCAAAGGAATTTTATTCGTCTACTATCGTGACTTTCATTATGACGGACTTGTATTTGACAGTATCGGAAAAGTGGAAAAGACACAAAATTGAACTGATTGGGTTTTTCGATCAATTTAAGTCACCATTAATGGATTTATGCAAAGATGCTAGAAGCTTAATGTGGGCATCGTGTACTTCGCACATGCTACAGCTTGAGCCACACCAAGCCCAATTAGTCTATAACCATTTTCAAAAGGGCTGGAATCTTTCACTTCTAGAATCTCGCATGCGATCCGCCGGCGCTTCCCAGTTTCAAATTCTGTACTTGCTTCATGCTTTAACTACTAAGAGCGAGCAAGAAGTGATAAACCTTTTTTCAAGAAAGTTACTTAGCTCCTTTCAAGGAAACTCCTCTGCCGGAAAAGAAATTCGCAGAATTTGTCCTTTTTTCACGAATAAAGCGCTAATATTACAGCAGAATATTATGGAATTTAATTCAATCTTCTATGGATTGTATTATCCGTTGCTTAACTGGATATATGTTGATTTAGGAAGCCCCCATCAACTACTAGCAGGGAACGGCTAAAAACACTAGTGATCTTTCGTATTTAGGATGTGTATGATTGCATTGCAAAGATCATGATCACAGAGGTTCAACAACGGTGCCAAATTTTGCTAGCAAAAATATAATTTTCTCATACTTATTCCTTGTAGGAGTCAGGACTAGTCCGAAATTACTGAAGTGAGTCACAAACATGTGTGCATATAGTGTTGCATTTGTTGAGCTGATCTTGTACCGCGCTTAGCACTTTTATACTCTAATTGGTGGAAGATGCATACACCCGTACATCCACGAAGAAGCAGGCTTACCCTATTAAAGACTCATGAGTGAATTTTCTTCGCTGCCGTGTCAGGAAAAAATTTAAAAGGAACCCAGGAGAATTTTTGAACAAGTTCATTTTTCTTCACCTTCTAGAGTTTTCCTTCTTTTCCGATTTATCAACTCACCATGTTAACAATCCGGAAGTCGGTGACGCTTCTTTCAAGAAGAACTGCTCAATCATCTAGAGCCCTCGCTCTTTCTTCGTTACATCAACGCCAATTGTTCCCAAATGATGTTTCTTCTTACAGGGGCTTCTCATCTACCTCTAAGGTCAGCTCTACAAGATCCACTGTCGTTCAGCTCCTAAACAACATTGGATCGAAAAGAGAAGTTGAACAATACTTAAAGTACTTCACTTCGGTCTCATCCCAGCAGTTTGCTGTGATAAAGGTTGGAGGTGCTATTATTACGCAGCAACTTCCAGAATTAGCGTCCTGTTTGGCATTTTTGTACCACGTTGGATTGTTTCCTATTGTTTTGCACGGAACAGGTCCTCAAATCAACGAATTGTTGGAAGTTGAGGGAGTCGAACCCGAATACATTGACGGTATTCGTGTTACAAACCCAAAGACAATGGAGGTTGTCAGGAAATGTTTTTTGGAGCAGAACTTAAGATTGGTGACTGCTCTTGAGAAGATGGGCGTCCATGCTAGACCAATCACCGCTGGAGTCTTTTCAGCTGACTACTTAGACAAAGAAAAGTACCAGTTGGTCGGGAAAATCTCTAGTGTGAATAAGTCACCAGTAGAAGCTGCGATCAACGCTGGTTACTTGCCGATTTTGACCTCCTTAGCTGAAACTCCATCTGGCCAGCTTTTGAATGTCAATGCTGACGTTGCTGCATCGGAGTTGGCAAGAGAGTTTGAACCCTTGAAGATTGTCTACTTGAATGAAAAGGGTGGACTTATCAATGGAAGCACTGGTGAGAAGATCAGTGCTATCAACTTGGATGAGGAATACGACGATTTGTTGAAGCAACCTTGGGTGAAGTACGGTACGAAATTGAAGATCAAGGAGATTCACGACTTGTTACAGCACTTACCCAGATCTTCCTCGGTCGCCATTATAGATGTGAATGACTTACAGAAAGAATTGTTTACTGATTCAGGTGCTGGTACTTTGATTAGAAGAGGTTACAAGTTGATTAACCGTAACTCCTTGGAGGAGTTCAGTAACCCAGATATATTGAGGGCTGCTTTGTTAAGGGACCCTGAAATCAAAAGCGGCAAGTTGTCCGTTGCTTCATACTTGAAGCATTTGGAAAGTGTATCTTTCAAGTCTTATGGAGATGCACCTTTGGAAGTTTTGGCCATTGTGGTCGAGGACGCTTCCACCAAGGTACCTGTGGCTAAGTTGGACAAGTTTTTGTCTTCTAGAACAGGCTGGTTGAATAACGTAACTGACAACATTTTCAATGCCATCAAAAAGGATTTCAAGTCATTGTACTGGATTGTGAATGAGAATGACTCTAACTTGTCGTGGTACTTCTCTAAGTCCGATGGTTCTTTTGCTAAAAATGGTGAAGTATTGTTTTGGTATGGCTTAGACACTGATCAAGCGTCACAGTTGATCAAGCAATTCGATGTTGCTCGCGTGGGTTCATCCCTTTCATCTGCTACTGAATCTGGTGTGTTTTCTGCACAAACACAAAAAAAGGGTTTCCACACTTTTTCAAGACAAAGAAAGCCCACTTCGTCAACCAACCCTAATCCTCCAATTCGTGATGGTACCAATACTAAGAAATCCAAAGTTGCGTTGATTGGCGCACGAGGATATGTCGGTCAAAACTTGATCAGTTTGATTGATAAACACCCACATTTGGAATTGGCTCTCGTTTCTTCTCGTGAATTGAAGGGTCAAAAGTTGCAAGGTTACAACAAGGCCAACATTGTCTATTCGAACTTGCAAAGTGAAGACATTTTGGAGTTGGAGAAGAATAAGGAAATAGACGTCTGGGTCATGGCATTACCTAACGGAGTTTGCCGGCCTTTTGTTGAGGCTATTGAGTCTGTGGAAGGTTCTGAGTCCAAAATCATTGATTTGTCCGCTGATTACAGATTCGATACTACTGGCGAATGGATTTACGGTTTACCTGAGTTAGTGGATCGTAAATCTATTGCTTCTGCTAGGAAAATTTCCAACCCTGGCTGTTACGCTACTGCTGCACAAGTTGCCATTGCTCCATTGAAGGAGTACATTTCGGGCACTCCAACTGTTTTTGGTGTCTCCGGTTACTCGGGCGCAGGTACAAAACCTTCGTTGAAAAACGACGTGAACTACTTGTCCAACAACTTGGTTCCATACTCCCTTACGGACCATATCCATGAGAAGGAAGTTAGTAAGCAGCTTGGTTTGAACATTGCATTTATTCCGCACGTTGCCCAGTGGTTTCAAGGAATTTCCAATACTGTATCCATTCCAATCAGACCAAACTCGTTGACAGCCAGAGATCTTCGCAATATTTATCAAGACAGATACCAAGGAGAGCAGTTGGTCTCTGTTAGCGGGGAAGCTCCTGTAGTGAAGGATATTAGTGGAAAACATGGTGTTGTCGTTGGTGGTTTTGCGATAAACTCTGCTGGAGACAGAGCGGTGATTGTGGCCACTATAGACAACTTGCTTAAAGGTGCTGCAACTCAATGTTTACAAAACATCAACTTGGCTTTGGGTTATGGTGAGTACGATGGAATCCCTGATAATACGGTGATTCGTGGATAAAGCACCTTGGGTGTTGGAGAATTACTATAGGTCTGATAAATGAACTATACATGTTTATTCTATGTCAGTTTAGAAATTTTACTTAAGTAATGTTTAAGTTTCTCAAATGCGGATGATTCGATAATTAAACAGAATAATTGTAGTGCTGAAGTGTGAAAAAAAGCTATTTGTCTAATTAAACAGTGCGTTACCCTAAACGAGAGTGCACATATCTTGGTGTACCGCAGATCACCAATACTCCTCTTAACTTCATGCTTGTACCGCCGGACAATTTTGGGCTTGTTGAAACCGGTATTTACCGGTGTTCAAAGCTAGAAGCTGACCATTTCCCATTCATTGAAACCTTGCAATTGAAATCGCTAGTGTTACTTGACGCAGCCAAACCTCCTCGCACTCTCAAATCTTTCCTCCTAAAGAATAAGGTTGATCTCTACAACTTGGGCGGGCTCAAAATATCGAATCACCAAAATACAGGCGGTAATTCACGTGAAAGTACGGGCTCGGATGTGTCTGACGGCTCAGGTATACCTGATATTATCGAACTGAAGCCGTTGGATGAGATTGAGATCGTTCAGGTCAACAAGGCACGGTCCAAGAATGATCTGTGGATGCTTATAGAGAAGAATCTTATCATGGGTGCATTTGAAATCCTCTTGAATAAGACCAAACACAACCTTTTGCTAGTGGACTCGTCGCTGGCGTTGGTGGGGATTTTACGTAAGATTCAAAAATGGAATTTCAATTCGATCGTCAACGAGTACAGGATTTACACGGGAAATTTAAGCAAGAATAATTACAATGTCGAGGTTTTCCTTGAATTGATTAATGTGGAGCTCATCCCTTTTGAGGTTAACCAATGCCAAGAGCATAGATCATCCGTTTATGCTCTGCGCCAGATGGCCCCAAGCCGGAGCTCTATTGACGAAGGAGCAATTACAGGTGAAGATGAGGAAGCTCTTTCCCTTAATGATTTTGAAGACGATATGGACGATGACTTTTTATCGGCCTCTCCTCAAATCCCGGCAAATTTGTTGAAATTAGTGGAACAGCGCAAATCCAACGAAAGTCCGTCCATGTCACCCGAAGCAAACACTTTGAACGAAAGGCAATCCAGCATAGATAGTACGCAAAGTTTTGCTGCTCTGCGGAGAAAATCGTCTGTGGACTCAAGATACATTTTGACCAACAAGAGCAGGCTTCGAAATCCAAGTTTCTCACAACCTCACTCTCCAGGTCGGCGCCCTCTGTTTGAGTCCAGTTTGCGCCTGTTTCGGCTCGACCGCAATAACCCGGATGAGCTTCTGCGCATTAGAGAGAAGCACGAATACAAATACTACAAAGCATCTCTGGCGACAAGTTTCAAGGATGTTGAGGTGATCCGCTTGAATCTATTGCCCGAACACATGCTACCGGAATGGTTTATAAGAGCTAGAGACTTCTGGGAACAAACATACGGGAACAAGCGAGTGTAATTTTGTTGAATGGCTTGAGATACTATTACACCTGATATTCACTTCGATGTTAAAAGGTCTTAATTGCTATTTTTTGATTAATAATAATGGCTGAAGAAATCATGATGTTCATTTATGGGAGGTATATTAGGACCGGTTTTGCTAACTCCATTGTAATGAAAAGGCAACTTACGCAAATTAGAAGGATTTCTTCTTCGGACGGACAATTATTTATCAAAAGTAAGTTGAAAAATAAGTAAGTCAAAGAGCTTTAAATTGCCAAAAACTGGTCTTCGAGTAGTAAAATAAAGTAGGATACGTGTATCGTGGAAACGGAAAAGTTTGAAAGACACAATACTAAACCAAGTTGTATGTGCAAACATTCTATGCATATCTGTTACAAGCCACTAGCCATATTCTGAGATTAAGGAACAGATTCAGAGTATCAACTGTAGGGTAACACAGACAATAAACAGTCCAAAGATGATATCCTAACACATCACTTGCTCCTAAGCTACAGCGACCATAGTAATGTCATGGCCGACTGAAAGAAAGAATCACGTCTCAACTTTCAACCACAAAATCGATATGGCCAGATGCCTCTTTGACTTTTACGATGATGCACATGGTCCATTTCTTTAGCTGCGTCCCCATGTAGACTTACTTCCCGAGTTGTATGTTCTTGTCGAATCAAAACGGCCTGAATCGGTGGAGCTGTTAATTAGCCGTTCTCGAAGTCTAGCCGAACTTCCGCGGCCAAGATGGCCCAGATCCAGCCCGGCCATACTTGATTGCACACTTTGGGTACCCAGCCCGGAACCGCCCGTCCCCACTGATCCTTGCCGAGATTTGTTATACATCTCTTGCAATCGTGAAGCGCTGCGTCTTGTGTATCCTGCCAGAGAAGGACGAACCGGTTCATTTCTCTCATAGTTAGACAGGGCCACAGGGGCCAGACTCACCAGATTATACCTTGCACTCACGGGCTGATATGGTGAAGAAGATGCGTCAATGTCCTGTTGCGAGTGGGAGTGCTCGCCCAACCAAGGCGGATACGGTTCGTTGTGGGCGTCAAAATAGCGAACAAAGGCGTGGTGAATCAAGGTGTCACTGTCGGACTTTCCATCTTTTTCGGACGACAGAGATGAAAGCAGAATATTTGAAAACTTCAGATTGATTTTCAGAATGAATGAGCGCGATGGCGCTGCGTTGGGTTGATACTGGCTCATATCGGGAGATTCGTACAACGTAGTTACAACTGATAATGCTGAGTGTAGCGGTATATGCAGGTTGTACCGGTGCGAATGTCTATCAGAAGGCGATGAGAGTGATGCATTCACACACTTGAGACTGAATCAAAGAGAGAAGTTCACGTGGATTTGAGCGGATAAGTGAGAAAGAACAGTGACAAAAAAATCATTTCTAGTTTATTTTTTTTTTTTATTTCGGTCCTTGCCATCAGTTTAGTGTGCCGGCCTCAGTCTCATCACCTGAAAAATTCATCTCACAAGAGAAATCTGTTTCGCAAGAAACTACACTAGGATCACTTGAGCTGCTAAGACTGCTTAATATTGTACCCAACGCCAATACTGCTCCTATGTTCGTCTCTAGAATGTGGCGTGCTGTTCCTGTTCGGTTACCCGTCCGCAGATTCGCCACTTCAAACCAGCTTTTCAAGACGCTTGATACCCGCTATTCCGCTCCAGATGTTCAGAAAGTGCTCGAAAAGGGCGAGGTTACCTTGCCTGAGTTTCTTGATCTCAGTGTGGTGCAACCGAAACTCAAGAAAAGCGTTGCTCGCTTGAATTACGACGCACTTACGCCCGTCCAATCTAAATCTTTGATGCCCATGCTTATGGAAGATGGTGTCGTTTGTCGGGCAAAGACAGGTACAGGAAAGACTATGGCGTTTGCCATTCCTGTTCTCCAGTCATGCTTAGAAACATACAAGGCCACGGGCGATGTTTCTAAAGTCGAAGCCTTGGTGATTGCCCCCACCAGAGATTTGGCTTTGCAGATCCAACAAGAGTTTGCCAAGCTCATTGGATCCGACAAATCTCTCTCGAGCAAATTTGAAGTGCGTCTCTGCATTGGTGGAAAAGTCGACCGTCCCAGCAGAAGAGCTCCAGCGATTGTTGTCGCAACTCCTGGTCGTTTGGAGGCTAATCTCAGAGACCCAAGGTATCTCCGCATGTTTTCGGACTTGAAGTACAAGGTCTACGATGAAGCTGACCGGTTGTTGGACCAAGGTTTTGAGGAAGTTTTGCGTGATATTGACGAACGTCTTGAACAGGCTAAAAGTTATGCGTTAGATAACAATGTGACTACAAAGAACGTCTTGTTCAGTGCCACTGTTGATGATCGTGTGAATCAGTTTGCGGTTCTGACAATTGGAAAAGATTACACATATATCAACTGCGTGAATGAGAACGAGCCTGAGGCGCATGAGAACATTGACCAGACCATCGTGAAAACGAAGGATATTTACCAATCCCACATTGCCGCGATTGGTGACATTTTCCGCAAGCGTGAAGAAGATGCGAACTATAAAGCAATTCTTTTTGTTCCTACAGTGATTGGCTCCGAATTCTTGTTTGAGGTTGTCAGTGAGTTGAACTCACAAAGCAGAATGCGCAACTGGGTGTACAAGTTGAACGGTAACATGACTCAAGGAAGAAGAGACCGTACTACCCAGCGTTTCCGTACTTGTAAATCAGGGTTGTTGATTTGCACAGACGTTGCTGCGCGTGGTTTGGACTTCAAAAATGTCACCGATGTCATTCAAATTTGTCCTAGTTTGGATGTGGCAGACTATGTTCATAAGGTTGGAAGAACAGCTCGTGCCGGTACTTCAGGAAATGCCACTATCTATTTGTCCGAACCCGAGTATAAGTATAAGAAGGTTTTGGAAAAGGAGAGGGGAATTCGCTTTGCGAACGAAGTTGAGTATACTACATTTGAAGAGGACCGCCAAAAGATTGAGGAAGTTCTGGTTTCTAGTGACGACGTCGAAGAGTACGTGAAGAGCATGTTTGGCTTCTATAAAGGTGCCGTTTCCGTTTATCGTTTACAATTAGACACTGTCATGCATGATTTGGTCAATCTTTTAAGATGCTTCACCGCAGACCCTTCTGCAACAGTGGAAATGAGCAGAAAGCGTTTTATGATGATGGGTCTTCCATGGAGTTTAGTTCCTCTGCATTTTGAAGTGGAAGGCGGAGCTCCAAATTCTGGAAAGCACAATAATTACCGCAGCAACAACTTCAGAAAAAGCTATAACCTGAACGATCGTCCCTCTTACCAAAAAAGATTTTCTGGTCAAAGGGACTTTGACTCAGATTTTGGCGGAAAACAGAAATACTCCAATGACAGACGGTCGAAGAGAACTTTTGATGATGAAGCAAAGTTTAAAAACAAACGCAGATACTAGGCTTGATAAGGCCAACTAAAAATTTTAACGACGAAACACATCAAAATTCGTTATTCCGCTTGTACATAGGATATAGAAAACACAATTTACTGGATCGGGATTTGTCACAGGAACTTGCTGCTTCTCTTCTTGCTGCGATGCTTTCGTTTTTGCCCATGTACCGGGAACTGCTTAAGTCTGGGGGTTGACTTCGACCCAGTAGAATCTATTAGGTTTGCATCCTCTGTGAAGAAAAGTTCTCGCGACATGATCACATACGCAACTAATAACAATATGATCAATGTGTCAATGATGATGATTTTCCTCTGAAATCGTAACTCACGAGTAAACTGTGATGTTCTGACATCCAACCCATCAATGGCGGTGTTTATCCAAGTCTGCAGATTTTCAATAGTCAAGATTGACTCTTGTTTGATTTGCGCTAAGTTCTCGTGCAAATAATGAACTTGCGCCACAAAGGATTGGTTAAGTCTCGAAAGGACATTTTCGAGCCGGGAAGACTGCCGTCTCTCCATCGTAGTAAAAGCATCAGATAGTAATTTGCTCTGCTCTTCTACGTACAAAAGAGAAAGGGATGCATTGGATTCCAACAACGTCAAGCGTTTGACAATATTTCGGAAAAGAGACTCTTGCGTTGTCTTTGTTGCGCTAGCCTCAGCAACGGAAGTTGATTCTTCGTTGGAGTAGAGAGGAGCTTCGCACAAGCCATCGGTTGAGTTTTGATCCTTCAAAAACTCGTTTAGTGCCAAATACGGGAGGACTACACGACAATCATCCATAGTGTCGAGGTCTGTAGTGTAATTGAGGAAGTTCTCAGCAACAATAGTTTTCTTTGGAGCTAAGTGTTGCTTCTCGTCTTTTTCTGAAGATTGTTCTGTGTCTTTGAATTCTTCCATCATCGTAGTGCCGTGAACTCTGACGATGGAAATTGGACAATAGAACTCATCGCCGTAATGACTTTGGATCTCGATTTTCAAATAGCGGGCCCAGATGAGAGGATTTTCAATGGGGAATACTTGAACGTCACGGACATTTTGGGCTTCGAATTCTCCTAATTCTCTCCAACCGCTAGTGACAGGGAACCTGTCAGATACAGAAAACCGCAATGATTTGAACATTGAACTAAAGAGTTCAAAGTTGCCCATGACTACAGAGGTAACTAAGATATCCTGGCAGAGCTCAATCACAACAAACTTGTTGGATGTTGAGCACTTATTGAGAAGATATGAGTCTTTTACCTCCGTAAGAATGGCCAGAGCTCCTTTGGCATCACGATTTGTCTCGACGATGGTGGCTGCACAATCCACCGAAGCGTAATTGAATTTGTCTTTGTAAATTTTCCGCTGGTCAACTTCTTCTGCTTTCGATTCTTCTGCTTTCTCTGTTTGTGTTCTAAGTTCCAAGTCATTGGGCATAGACAGGCGTGTTTCAGTGACAGATTGCGATAGTTCGAGATACAGAGCTTCCTCTTCCTTTTGCTTTTTCCACTCCTCGAACGACATGAACCGGCACTCGTCCGTCGAATTTTCGGGCATGTCTTCTGGAAAGCCAGCCGTGTCATTGTCGTATGACATCTTCTGGATTCCTTCTTCCACATTAGCAGTGGAATCTTGTAGCGAAGAAATTAATGGGTTGCTCGTACTTTCTCCTATGCTAATTGTGCCCGTAGCGATACCTGTGTCCATTGATATGCGATTTGATTCAAGGGTCACAACGTATGTGCCATTTTCAGTTCCATCAGATCCATCGGTCTCGGAGTTGATTCCGATGAAATTTGAAGTGGAGAACGTCGTCTCATGCTCGTTAGATAGGTGGATAGTTTCTGATTTGATGGTATCTATTGCTTCCGTTAAACGGAGAGCTAGGGAAGCCAAAACTAGGAGTAAGAACATCCCCCGGTCTAGAAAGATTGGTCGGGCAGACTGTACATGGACGATCATGATAGTGTGCGAATTGGTGATGAGTATCGTAATGACGTGATTCACTATTTAAACATTAGCTTAACAGTACATAAGTGCAAGAATTGTGGAATCGGAGAGATGGATAGAGCGTTAGGAAATGAAATTGAGGGTTTTAGTATGCCATCATTACATTTCGTCAGTGTACCTCTAGTGGGATAACTGTGGCTTTATTGACCTTGAACGTTCAATAAATTCAAAAAGGCGAACTAAGATTCGCGGAAAGTATGAGCAGGGTATATGTGAAGGTATTTTATCAATGTAGACTCAAGAACCTTTCTTTTAGTCTATTGGCGGTTATTTTTCGACATAAAGTTTAGTAATTACAGATTCACGGAAGGTGCCAAGGCTGGCCATAGGCTGGCCTGACACAGTACTGTTGCATATTTATACCCGGTCGTGTTTTTTAATGATTTTTATCTGCTTGTTTCATTCTTTTAGATTCTCTCGACATCATTAAGCGAGCTTTCGCACCATGGTTCGCAGACCATCATCTTTCTCAACTTTCGCACAACGCTATATTTTTTTGTCTTACACCTATAGCATCATCTCAGGCCATGCTCAAACTTTTGCCATTGCTGGCACGCCTGGACTCGACTGCCCTAAAGCAACCCAAAGAACTCTTTTCCTACAGCAGAGATGAAAGCGGCGAATGGAATATTGATGAGCACGTGAGCAAAGACGAAGCCCTCAGTTACTATTACTTCCCCGATTCCTATGTGGATCAGCATATGGATCTTCAGGCGGGATTCAAGTCATTTCGCAAGATTCCCGAGGAGCAGAACAAGGCACATTTCCCGCTGCTTCTTGCGGCCCTCCAACAGCACGAACAGAAGACAGGTAAGAAAGTCGCAGTTGACATCATCACTTTCAGAGGAATTATGACCAAGTTGCTAACACTCCCTTACAACAACAACAATGGATTCCGCTTGCACGTGCTTGCCTTTGACGGCCAGCTTTTCATACGTAACGACGACGATTTCGACTTACAAGCGCGCCAGAAGGAACGCGAGGCTCTTTCACCTGATCGACAACGTTACCTCGATTTGTGTGAGTATGGTGGATACAAGTTTGAGGCTTTGGCTACGCTTCCTAAGCCATGGGCGCAATGCAACCGGAGCACGATCGAAAAGAGGACGAAAAAGACGGTTTCGAGCTATGAACAGTACATCAGCGTGGTGAGGACAGGTATAGGAAAGATCAAGACGCTTTTGGCAGGCGAGGTTGATTGCATCTGGGACTATGTCCCGACTGAAAAGGGGGATAGCATTCTTAGTCATTATGCGGAATTGAAAACGAGTCGGGTTGTCGAAACTCCACAAAATGCTTCGGCCTTTGAAAAGAAACTTTTCCGTACGTGGGCGCAATGCTTTTTACTTGGGATCACAAGGATTGTCTACGGATTTCGTGATGATCAACATATATTGACTGATGTTGAAGTGTATAATACAGAGGAGGTACCTCTTGTGCTTAAAGAGAAGCGCATAGTTTGTGTTGATGCCTTGAAATGGTATGGAGCTGTATTGGAATGGCTTCGACTGAATGTGGACCCATCCGACGAACTGACAACCTACACAGTGACATATGACCCAGGACTGCGCAGTTTCCTGTTGGCTGAATGTATTGGCGACGATGGGCGTCGTGTGAGAAAGGAAATTTTGACTGATGAATTTTGCGGATGGCGGGAACAGCTCAGACTGAAGTAAAACAATGTGGAAAGTACGGCTTAATGTTGTAATACAGAAAGAATGAAGTGGGGAATTGTATAGGTTTGCTAAATTCACGTTGTGGTCCAGTAATCTTTAGGTAAAGAAAAATAGGTATACAAATGAGAAGAGTATTGCAATAATAGTTAGGCTTGAGCTTCATTATGTGTGTTGCAAAGTCGAACTCACTCACGAGGACTCCATATTCAAACACTTCTCGAGAAATTTGGCAGATTCGTATACACAATGTTGTATATTCTCCTTAGGAACCGTATTCGCTGACTCTCTGACCCTTGTGGTTAAAGTTTCGCCCACATCCAACCTTTCCCGCTTCAACGTGCCTTCTATCATAGCCCACACTTGTTCCATGGGATTGAGTTCGGGTGGACGGGGAGGCAAGCACAAGCACCGGTAACCACGATGAACAATTAAGCTGGAAATAATGGTATTCTTACCAATAATAGTATCATCCACAACTAAATACGCATTCTTGAAGGACGGATCTTCATCTAATATATCCATTGCATCCATAAGAAATTGTTGCCACTGGCTGGTCCTTGATCTTTTGGAAAGTGGAATAGATTCCTCAGAGAGTAATTCGGTGTTCTCATTCGGTGGAGAGGCGAATGGTTTCCTCAAGCTCATCAAAACAATTCCTTGATAGCTAACCGCACCTAAAACGCTCCTTTTTTCAACAGAGAGGGGTGGAGGTTCAATAGCAGGAGAGTTCTTGGGTGCCCATTCTCGAATACTTATGTTGAAGTCAGCCTCGCTGATAAAAACGCAGTTTTTACAGTAGTCAATATCGGTAGCACCTAGTATGGATTCAGCAAATTCTAATTGTTGTTTCATCATATCAAGGACATTTCGATTGACACTGTCCTTTTTACTAAAACTGAAAGAAAAGAAACATTCGTCATGCACAAACTGACGAAGACTGGACTTGCTTAGTTTGAATGTATCAAAGGCATCACTGAGACTATCCATCATTTCATCTAATTGTGCTTCCGGATTCTCTTTAAGGTACTTGAAAAGGTGATCTTTTTGATTATTCCCCAATTGACCAGACTGAGATTTTGCGCCTCTCCTGGAAATGGGAATTAGTTCACTGCCGCTTTCTTTATACTCTTTTATCCACTTTTGAGCCGTTCTTGGATGAATGTTCAGTTCTCGAGCAATCTCTGAGACAGAAGCCCCTATTTTATCATACCAAAGAGAAAAGAATGCTTCCTTTTCATCGGCAGAATATGATCGATAGCTTTTTGTAGGTTTACAGTCCGTTTGCGATACCATCTCAATCGAATTAGTTCCTCCATTTGAGAATTCCACATCCAGATTAGACCCTTTCACATTTCTTTCTTTCTGCAGATTTTGAAGCAGGTCATCTTGATTTATGTTTGCTAATGTTTCAGTTTGTAATACGTTTTCCATATCCACCTTGTCAGATTCACGCATATCCTTACACCTGGCGATGTCTCCTGCGGCTGGAAAAAACACTCCTGGCAAGGAGACACTATCTCAAAGGGGAAATCAAAAATTCTAGCCCGATCTGCGAATACATCAGATTGATAATGCATATTCAATCCCCTCTATATATACAGCGTCCTCTTGTTCTTGGAATGTGTGCTTCGCGTAATAGATTGAAATTCACGTTTTATTTCCGAATGAAGAAACATATTGCAATCTGCACAGCACATCCAGTTACTAGAGAACTATTGTCTCAATGGTACGTTGTTTGATCATGTTGTGAAGATCCTTCTATATTTGGGTGCGAATTACATATCCCTCTCATACGAAGCGGCAGATTCAGTATATGTGTGTAAACTACGAATCTAAAGGCGAATCCCGAGAGGGTAAACTTAAGTTCGACAGATTGAATTCCGATTCAGACATGGACAATCCAACTTATGGACGCACTAACAACCTACCCATGACTTACTCTATTGTGCGCGTATTTATATCATTACGAATCTTCATAAATTCAAGTTTCTTGTATCATTATGACAGCTTATCTAGAGGTAGTTACTAACAAGGAAGAAAATAACAGAATGAAAAGTTACCGTGTTTGCATTTCTCGAGAATGATATATATGTATTTAATGAGTTTGGGGAACTATATATGGCTGGTGAAAAGGGTTAGAGACAAAAAGCAAAAGTAGAGTAAGAAGATGGCTAAGTGAAGTCATTATTGTTGGCTTTCAACTAAGGTATTTGTCACCTAGTTTATAATTCGCCTTTGAAAGATCATCTTTATAATTACTGGCTGTATTTGATGATCTGTAGTACAAATTAGGTTGCAGTTGCGACTTTTGGAGAAGTATTGCAAACTGCAAGTATATCTGAAAAATAACTGAGCAAGCACAAATAGCTACGAGAAGAGAAAGGAGGTAACAGACCACAGTTGATCTAATTTGGCCGCCCGGCCAATAAAAGTGTAGTCTCGAGTAAGCACTTTAATTGCATCGTCACATATGTAAGTGAGCATGCAATCGATAAAAAAATTGATCTGGAGAGAGCGGAAAGAATTTCCTGTTTAGGTAAGTGATTCCGCCACACAAATTGTGGCGACACCAACGGACAAAGGTCAAAGAAGTACAACTTTTACAAGCAACAATGAAAGAAAAAATAACGTAAGCGACCCATTTGCGGGGAAAATGGTTATTTTATCCCCACTATACAGTTGCACGTGGAAACCATTGTCTCATGAGGGGACTGCGGATTGCGCATGCCCAGGACCTTTTGGCCGAGGAAGATATGTAGGACGGCCAGATGGTTAGCGAAAAACTCAGATAACGATTTTCAAGAACATAATATATTTCAAAAACATCACCTGGTAGCAAGATGACAAATGGTACGATTTGTAGTGCATTCATTCTAGACTCTCCTTCTGTGCAAGTTCAATACGTCAAGAGCAATCTTCGACACAGCAATCTGTCAAGCAGTTGAAGTCTAGTTGCGTCAGCATGAGTAAGCCATGCTTTTATTGGCCCGCGGCTTATCCTCCGCAATCGATACGCAGTATACTATAAAAGGCACTTGTACCCCCGCCTTTTTAAAATGACCTCAAAAAACTACTACAATGGCGCCTACATTCACCAATTCCAACGGATGTCCTATTCCTGAGCCCTTTGCCACACAGAGAGTGGGCAAGCACGGCCCATTGTTGTTGCAGGACTTCAATTTGATCGACTCTTTGGCCCACTTTGATCGCGAGAGAATCCCCGAAAGAGTGGTGCATGCCAAGGGTTCTGGTGCCTATGGTGTTTTCGAAGTGACGGACGACATTACGGATATCTGTTCTTCCAAGTTTTTGGACACAGTGGGTAAAAAGACCAAGGTTTTCACCCGTTTCTCCACTGTTGGTGGCGAGCTGGGATCGCCCGACACAGCTAGAGACCCTCGTGGATTCTCCACCAAGTTATACACGGAAGAAGGTAACTTGGATCTCGTGTACAACAACACCCCAGTTTTTTTCATTCGTGATCCATCCAAGTTCCCCCACTTTATCCACACGCAAAAGCGTAACCCACAGACTCACTTGAAGGATGCCAACATGTTCTGGGACTACTTAACGTCAAATGAAGAGTCTGTCCACCAGGTCACAACCTTGTTTTCCGACCGTGGTACCCCAAGATCCTACCGTGAGATGAACGGTTACTCGGGACACACATACAAATGGTCTACGAAAGATGGTAACTGGCATTACGTGCAAGTGCACTTCATTTCTGACCAGGGCGTGAAAACTTTGACCAATGAAGAGGCTGGCGAGTTGGCCGGCCTGAATCCAGACCATGCCCAAGAGGATTTGTTCCGCAACATTGCCAAGGGTAACTTTCCAAGCTGGACATGTTACATTCAGACTATGACCGCTCAACAGGCCAAGGAGGCTCCATTCTCTGTCTTTGACTTGACAAAGGTCTGGCCACACAAGGATTACCCCTTGCGCCGTTTTGGTAAGCTTACCTTGAACGAAAACCCCAAGAACTACTTTGCTGAGGTTGAACAGGCGGCATTCTCTCCTGCCCACACCGTGCCATACATGGAACCTTCCGCAGACCCAGTGTTGCAATCGAGATTGTTCTCTTATGCAGACACTCACAGACACAGATTGGGACCCAACTACACTCAGATTCCAGTCAACTGCCCTATCACAGGAGTGTATAATCCTCATATGAGAGATGGTGCTATGAACGTGAATGGTAACTTGGGCTCTGCGCCTAACTATCTTGCCACGAGCGAGCCTATTGAATTCCGCCAATTCAGTATCCAAGAGGACCAAGAGGTCTGGAACGGTGCTGCTTGCCCATTCCACTGGAAGGCTACTGAGGATGAATTCACTCAAGCAACTGCCTTGTACAATGTTTTGGGTAGATACCCAGGCCAGCAGAAAAACTTGGCTCACAATGTTGCAGTGCATGTAAGTGCAGCCGACAAGCCTATTCAAGAGCGTGTCATTAAGTATTTTGGCAAGGTGAGCCCAGAGTTGGCGGCCAATATTAGGAAGGAGCTTGAGGCAAACTAAGTGTGTTTATTTCAAATGAATAACTTGCAGTATGCATAGAAATGGGGTAGACTTGATTATACGAGATATAGTTAGGAAACACAACTATATGAAATACGAGACCAGCAAAGGAGGTGGAGCCGTAGAGCAGGGTACAAGAAAGATTTTGTACAATATCAGAGGATGTAATGGCGTCTTTGATCCTGCAGTTGTTGTTCTGCACTGCCTTCAGAGATTATAAAAGAAAGCTACTATTCAAACATTAATTTACATGTATTCCTATATGATATCCCAACAATAAAAGACCATTACCATAATGGAGTAAGGTCTGAGCGAATCTGATGAATAGCTCAAGATCCTTGGGAAACTAAAGTTTGGTGGTGTTGCAAGATGGGCATTCACAAGAAGAGCCACATTTGCAGACAGTAGAACAACATGAGTTACCCTTGGTTGTTTTTGTAGAGGTTGGGTTAGGGACAATAGGCGCAGGGACCGTTTTTTTGGAACAACAAGACATGGTATGAAGAGGTAAAAATGTGGGAGTATTAGAGGATTTATAGAGCGATAAAGCGGTAAGATTTACCTAAATTGGAAGCTAATTGCGATATCTCACTTAGATGCAGTACGTCGTAAACCGACCAAACACAGGCGAGGGATAGTAGAATACTCGGGAAAACGGCTAAACAGTAAATCTTGATCTATGGCAGAAGTGATTGATGAGAAAGAAGTTTGAGGAATTGAGTAAGATTGTTGGCGCATACACGTATGAAGCATCTCTTAGATGTATTGGTTTGTCAGCTGAACTTGTAAATCCAATCTGTTAATCAAACCTGTAAGTCTAACCTGTAAATATACTCTGTAAGTCCAACCTGTAAGTCCAACCTGTAAGTCTAACGTGTAAGTCTAACGTGCTTCCAGAAACCAAGCATGTTCTTACTGAAAGAGATCTTTATCGACTCTTGGCGACTCTAGGCTTGTGATGGAAGAGGCAACTGTACAATCTACAAATGCCTACCTCATGGCATTAAAGGAGCTTATCCTCCTCACTCACGAGACGTTATTCTCAATCTTTTATGCTATGACCTTAGAGAGCAGCAACCAGAATTCGAACAGTCTAACGTGTAAGCCTAACGTAAGTCTAACGTTTAAGTCCAACCTGTAAGCCTAACGTAAGTCTAATGTGTAAGTCCAACCTGTAATCCCTACCTGTAAGTCCAGCCTGTAACTCTAACCTGCAAATCTAATCCAAATAAAACCTGCGAAATAATATGAGACCATCCGCAATGACCGCAAACACAACCTGCACCTTCACAAAGCTATCGCAACTATTACTACTTCATGTGCATTCCATTAACCGCAACGATGTCGCACACGGTGCCACATGCACATACACACGATTGCATTGCTCCTAACACGTTCTCGAGACAAAACCACGTCACATCGATACTGCCACAAATGTCAGTAGCCCGAGGCTTCGGGTACCTTTGTCGACCTGCAGTCCTCAAACACTCAAGCAAGTTGACTATTTACTTTATCCGGGGAAATTCTCGTCCGGGTATGCAGGCAGGCGCAGATGATAGAATGTCATTCGCGAAGGGAAATTAAACTTTGGAGTGTTCGGAAGAAATGGCCAAACCTGCACAAGCACGAAATACGGGCTCAAACCACGCGAGGCCTGTCAAATGTAAACAGCCGGCGGGACGTTGGTTGAGCGAGCATTGTCCCCTATAGTTGGGCCAGCCGCAGCTTAGATGCCGTCGCAATCAACTGTGGGTCAGGGTTCTTGGGCTGCATGCAGGAGGGCGCTCTGGCCGCCTTCGCCCGCGCTTGACATGTTAATGCGTCGCTAAGAATAGAGTGAAGGCTCGAGAGAAGACCATGTGTGGCTGAGTTTGGCACAATTGTGACCGCATAATGAGCCATTGGTTTGACCTCGCGGTGGGGTTTCCACGGGTTTTTTTGCTTCGCCCCATGCTCTGAAGTCGAGATTCCCAATCACGCTCATCCTCGCACCCAGATGTAGTCCGGTCTCTGCGGTTCTAACCGTGCCAGTTTTTTGTTTGCATCTGGGCAAGGTCACGGTTCTCCATGCACGCCTCAACAACAGTATAAAGTGTCCCAGTTTCGCCAGGTGAATACTACTACTCTGCAATTCTATATCAATCATGGTCAATATTATCTCTGCTGCTGAAGGCGCATTCAACACTCTTACATCTGGTGCCGTTGGCGCATTCAACACTGCCACCTCTGGTGCTGCTGGCGCATTCAAGACCGTCACTTCTGATGGCGACAAGATTTTCCAAACCGTTACTTCGGGCGGCGCTGGTGCTTTGCATACCGCTATTTCCGGTGCTGAAAGTGTCGGTGCCCGTGTGACTTCTGCTGTGGGCCACGCTGGTGACGACTCCAAGTCCGGAACTGAGACCGCTAGCACTGCTGCTGCGGGCTCTGCCGCGTCTGGTGCTGCTTCTGGTGCCCAATCCGCCGCTTCTGGTGCCGCATCTGGCGCTGCTTCTGCTGCCTCCGGTGCCGCTTCTGGCGCAGAGTCTGCTGCCTCTGGTGCTGCTTCAGGCGCTGCTTCAGGCGCTGAATCCGCCACTTCTGCTGCTGCCTCGGCTGCGGGTTCTGCTGCAGGCTCTGCTTCTGCTGAAGCTTCTGGCTCTGGAAGCTCTGCTTCTGCCTCGGGCGGATCGCAAAGTTCGAGCTCCTCCAAGTCTTCGAGCCTGAGCTCGTCTGAGGCTGCCGCTGCCTTTGGCACTAACTCCTGGAAAAAGAGTGCTGCTGTTGCTGCACTCGTGGGTTTGTCTTTCGTGATGAACGTTTTGTAAAGTACTTAGAAGAATATGGATTCGCTGGATTGTGTATACATGGCTCAAAGCTGTAGCCTACTGTAGCCTACTGTAGCAATAAGTCGGACAGACATTGTTTGAACGATCGATAATATAATATAAACGTTATGTGTCAGTGTCTCTTGATTCCCTCTATTGTAGCCTATTCGTTCTCACCTTGGTCGTTAGTAACAGTGGCATTTCTTTCTGCGCGCGTGCATCATCTCATTTGATTCCATCGGTTCTAATGTCTCTGGAAAAACCTGCTCGGCTCCAGGTGGATCCCGAAACGATCGTGGACGATGATAAGCCTCCACAGACAGGACACACATTCAATATTTGGTACTTGAAGTGGGCTGGTGGAGACTCCAGCTCCCGCAACTACATCAAACTGAGGTTTCGTGTTAACATTAAACGAGATTCAGGATACACAAAGGCATCATCCAATAGCCCCATATGCCTTTTCTTTGCTAGGGGGTGCTGCTACAAGGGCAAGAAGTGCTCATATTTGCACCGCCTTCCGTCGGAGCTGGACTTTGGTATTCCCACCCAAGATTGCTTTGGGCGAGACAAAACGGCGGATTACAAGGACGATATGAGTGGCGTGGGTCTGTTGTCCCGCACCAACAGAACTTTGTATGTGAGCGGTATCCATGTTTCTGACGACACAGACAGCATTTTGACTCGACATTTCCTGGAATTTGGTGCCATTGACAAAATCAAGGTTTTGCACGGAAAAGGATCCGCTTTCGTGAGTTTCAGGCTGGAGGCTGAAGCTCAATTTGCCAAAGAGGCTATGGATGCTCAGTCTTTAGACGGTTCTGAGGTTCTTAGTGTGCGCTGGGCTAACGAGGATCCAAATCCAAATGCGCAAGAAGAAACGAAAAGAGTCGCCGAGGAGCGGGCGATGGAAGCAGTAAAGCGATTACTAAAGAAACAAAAGGTTCAAAAAAGCCTGCCGAAAATAGAGGAGAAGCCCATGAAATCAGAGAGTAAAAAAAATGATGCTAAGAGACAGATCACAACATCAGAGACAGAGGAGGGTAAACTGGGCCTCTTGGGTGCTGGTCGTCTCGAAGCTTTGCGGAAATTGCAGAAAAAACAACCTACAGAACTCGCTACTCGTCCTTTATTGGATGGCTATTCAAGCGACTAGGTTTCGCTTCAACCACTCGGGAATCCTATATCCGCCTCTGCTGAGGAATTTTTTCAACTCCGGGAATGTGTCTTTATCTCCGCCATCGACAAATGTGTAACTTGCTCCCTTCTGGCCTGCTCTTCCGGTTCTTCCGATACGGTGAATGTATTCTTCGAATTTCTTGCTCATGTGGTAGTTCACTACCAACGAAACGTGAGGAACGTCTAATCCTCTTGCTGCGACATCAGTGGCAATGAGAATATTTGCTCGTTTAGCTCTAAAGCTTTCAATAGCCTTTTCTCGTGCCTCTTGCGTTTTCGAGCCATGGACCACAGCAACTTTAGGAAATCCTTTTCCTTCTAGCTCTTCAGCAAGTTGCTCCACGGTTCGCTTGAAATTAGCAAAAATAATCACCGACATATCATGCCCTTGAGCCTTGAGAATCCTCACTAACAGAGCAAACCTTTTTTCGTCAAAGTCCTGGACAGTCTCTTCTCCCATGTACTCAAACTGTTGTGAGATGTTTTCCACAACTTCGTTCGCACCGCCAACATAGAGAAAAGCTGGATCGATCAAGTATTGCTTTGTGATTTTCTCAATCGCCGGCGTAATGGTAGCTGTGAACATTAAAGTCGTTCTCTTTGAAACACGGAAGATTCGTGAGTCGATAGATTTCTGAAGACTTTCTGAGCTTGGAAGATAGTCCAAGATTGCTTGAAGCGACTTTTCGAATCCCATGTCGATCATTTTATCAGCCTCGTCCATAGTCAAATGATAGCACTTTTCTAGGCTCACAATGCCTCTCTCTAAAGAATCGACTAATCTTCCCGGTGTAGCAACCACTATGTGAACGCCATTACGAAGAGAATGCACGGTTTCCTCGTACTGGTGGCCACCAATGATAGTAACCACAGAAAGACCAAGAGGGCCAGCTACTTTCTCCGCCTCTTTTGTGATTTGTAGAGCTAACTCTCGTGTTGGAGCTAGAACGAGCCCTAATGCTCTATTTGCATTATCCTCTTTGGAATGCTCGTACTTCATGTACTCTGGTTCAATGCTCTGGATGTATGTGATTAGCGGAAGCAAGAACGCTAAAGTTTTCCCTGAGCCTGTTTCGGCTATTCCAACAACGTCTCTATGACGTAGAGCCACTGGTATGGCTGCTCTTTGCACTGGAGTGGGCTCAGTATACTTTAGCTTTTGCGTGATGACTTCAACGATAGAAGTAGGAAGTTGTGGCTCTTCGTCCCACAGACGTAATGGGTTGTGGATATTATTCCCTTTGGCGGAAATGTTAAAATCGTCCTTGAAAATCCGCCAGTCTCTAGGCGTCATATGCTCCAAACTCTTTTCGCTCCAATGTGCTGGGTTCTTTTGGTCAGACATTCCATTTTGAACTGTTTCCAATGTCACTAGGGGTTTATACGACTCGGAGGTATCTTCTTCTGGGCTCCATTCAAATGCGTATTTGCTGTTTTTGGAGATCTTGGGATGTTTTTTCGTTCTCTCCTGGTCTACATTAGATGGAGCAGCATCGGCATCTTCGTCAACAAGTGGCCTTTTCTTCGTTATCTCACGTCTTTTTGCTTGTTGTAGTTGGCCCCTTTTTTTCTTAGGTATAAATTTGGGTTTCCCTGCTTCTAAGCTTTGCTGTATTAGGTCTTCCACCGAAACTGGGCGAGACATGGATGTGGAGATGCGCACTGTATGTCAAACTGTATGTATGTTCATAGATTATATCTATCACTTTCTCTGCACCAAGTACAATCAAAATGACCATACACTTTAGAAAACTTAGAAAGGTTGCGAACACCAAATATATCATCTATGAACGTCTCAAATAAATATACACCAAAAGCACCACCAAGACAATAACCGTCAAGCACGATGTCAACTCAAAAGTTGCAAGATAGCAAAATGAGCCCTTGTCACAAACATAGTCATCCCCCACGAGAACACTGTTATGATCGTAGATATAACCAAAAATCTTCGTGAAGACAGTCAACCCAGGAACTGTACTTGAATACACAATTCCCCAGATGAGTGAGTAGTTCTTCATCGAAAACAAATCAGCCATGATACCTGGGAACGTTGTGAAACATAAGCCGTAAGCAAAGCCGATAATGCACGATATCAAAGAGAGACATACATTGACATGCGTGAGATTGCTGCTCCATGTGTCGATTGGAAATGAGAGAAGAAAATGACCTAAAAGCATGATAAGCACCCCCAATACGGTGACCCAGTGTCTCTGGCATTTGAATCGATGAACCATATTATCTGACAACGGTCCTGAAGTGAGACGGCCGAGAAAAGAAAATATGGCAATGAGAGACACATGAAGTGCTTGCAAAGAATGCAAAGAAGGAACATTATTGGAGTTTGAAGATGAATGCAAAAACCCGTAATAAATTGCTTTCACAATAAATCCAACGGAGTAAATGTACATTTGTCCTAAGCCTTGCAAAATTGCCATCAAAAAGAAGTGGACCAAGAAAATCGGGTGAATGATAGAGCTTCTCAAGTTCAAATGCTTAAGTGATCCAACTTGGTGTTTGTTTTCGTCAGGAACATCTAAAGCAGAGTCTGACTCGGACTCTTCTAAAAGCTGCTGGCCCTCCTCGAAAAAATCTTGGTTTGGAACCAGATTTTTATGACCAGCAATGCGGATGTATATCACACCTATAAGTTGCATCACCGTTGAAGAGGCTGCAAGAAAAAATAAAAAGCGACTAACATCGCCATGGAATACCTTGGTATAAACCAAAGAATATAGAAGGCTGGAAATGGCAAAGCTGGCGATGGTGATACTTTGCGCTGTGGCTTTATACTTCGGAAAGCTCACGGTGACCGCTTTGAGCGAAGCGAAGTAGCTCGACGTGCTACCAAGGCCAATGAAAAACATTGCAGCAATCAACTGCCATGACTGTGCATTGTCTCCTTGATTATAAAGGCTGTGGAGCCACTTGTAGCCGAAAGAAATGAACACTAAAGAACAAAAAACTGGGATTTGTGTTCCAAGCAAATCTGTGATATAACCTCCGAGTAAGCCGCCTATTGAGGTGCCCACAGTGGCACTTATATTCAAGTTTGCTGCCAGCGACGAATCTAAACCACATTGATCTGCTAGCTGCGTTCCATACACAGAATAAACAAACAATGTTCCTGACGATAATGCCACTGGAACAGACGCAGCTAAGATAAGTCTTGGGCCAGTGGACGGTAAATATCTTTCAACAAAACTCATGTTTAGGAGAACTAACCTCTACGTAGAGGATATATAAATGGAACGAAGCAAGGACAGGCACCAGTCTAGAAAAAAAAAAAAAAAAAATGCGGCACTAATTCAATATGTATAAGGAAATTGATGCAATGAGAATGATAAGTCAAGATAACGCGCGCAATTGACAGTTGTGGGCCACACTTTTTTCCTAACGGATATTATTTGACAGAAGCAGTACAAATGTCGCGAAATTAATGGATAGAACATATCTAGAGAATAAACACAAAAATGCTGTGCTTGGAACGTGAAAGATGAAAAGCTGAGGAAGTAGCAAAAAGAAATTTTCTTAGTCGCATCATATCACTATGGAGTGGGCCATAATATAGGTAGGTCATAATGACTACAGATGGTTAGTTACGCCTATAGATTGAGGAATCCCTTTGTCCAACTATGAGATGAGGTTCTAGTTGTGTGTCTATGTAGTTTTTACATTTGTAGGTACAGTCTTTACACTTTTTATTCATACCAAACGAGATTTATTATTCATACCAAGCAAGATTAATCATTCATACCAAACAAATTTTATTATTCATACCAAACAAGATTAATCATTCATACCAAACAAGATTAATCGTTCATACCAAACAAGATTAATTATTCATACCAAACAAGATTAATTATTCATACCAAACGAGGAAAATGTTTTCCTACCAAACAAAGAGAATTAAATAGACTAGTATGAAGGTTTGCGGGAATGTTAGCTAATAATCTAGTGAGGCGTTTTCTAGGGGCTCCAGATAGGCATGCATACAATGATTTTCAACTCTTCTAACAATAAGAATTATGTAATCACCCTTATTCGCATGACTAAGCTACACACCTATAAAAACCCTTTTGATTCCCACAACACAAGAATTTAGGTACTATTCTTTTCTTTAGGGGTGTATTAAACTTTAGTGTAAGAAAAAGAATTAAAATGGAGTACAAGAGCTGTATGATGGATGACGCTTACATAGATGGGCTAGGTAATCAATTTTGTATTGATACTGAATTGATCGCCCTTTCTGAAGGACCACCTTTGGATGATTGCTACTCTTATAACGATTACAAAAAGGTCAATGGCAAAGAAATTAAGGAACATGATTCACCACAGGCAGAGCTTCATGACGACGTGTCCATGCCTGACGTTGAAACTGTGGATCCGCTTCCCGAAGCCGAATCTATAAGGAAAGAATACAACAAGTACCCGAAATATATCAAGGAGAGATTCTGGCACGATATAATTGAGGAAGGATACTCTGCATATGCTGCAGCCAAAAAGCACGGAGTAAACCTTCAAACGGCGTATCTGTGGAAAAAAAATGGAATAAAACAGTGTATATGAGCATCCAGGGAACGGAAGAGCCTTTAAAAAAGCGTGGACGTAAACCTTTGCTTAGCCAGAAGCATATGGACTTCATGAAATCTTTAGTAGCAGAGGACGCTTCTATTACGTTAGATATTATGTTGAAGAGTCTCAGAACACATTTCTCGGATTTGGAGGTCAGTGCAACTACGGTCCACAATTTTGCGACGAAGGTATGTAAGTTGAGTCTCAAGAGAATATCCAAATGGCCTGCTAGAAGAAGTCTGGAAGATATCAAGGACCAAAGATATGAGTGGGCGAAGGAATACGGAGACAAGCTCAATTTCTCTGAAAATTGTATATTTATTGATGAAGCAGGCTTCAACCTTAGTATGAGAAGAGAATATGGTTGGTCTTCTGTGGGAGAGAAAGCTATAACGACTGCGCCAATAACTAGGGGCCTCAATGTGTCGTTCATAGGAGCAATATCTTCACAAGGATGTATAAGTTTAAAGGTCAGACACCCCGGGGGATTAGTAGGTAATAAAAAGAGGAAAATTGAGACAGAAGTGACTAGCAGTACACTGTCTTCCACAGGAACTACTGCAGATCATATCTATGGATTTGTCAAATCAGTTATTGAACAAGTAAGTACATCAGAAGAGCTCCGTACTTTGAAGTATTTAGTCCTTGATAATGCTACTATTCATAAACGCCGGGATATCCAATTATTAGTAGCTCTGAGTGATTTAGAGTTGGTTTTTTTACCACCTTACTCGCCTTGTTTGAATGCCATAGAAGAATTTTGGGCTGTTTGTAAATCCAAAGTCAAGAAAGCAAGAGTAGAAAAGAAAGAAGGGCTTACCTCCGCAGTTCGTGAGTCGATCTTTCAAATACCTATTGAAAGTTATAGAGGATTTTGTAGACATGCCGGTAAATACGTAGACTATTGCTTGGACCGCCAATTATTCTAGTGATCCAATTATGACAAAAGTAGAAAAACAAAAATATAAAAACATATAATCGTCACCATAAAACATAAAAAAAAGTTGAAACAACAAAAAACATAAAAACATGTAATACATCACCATAAAAAATACAAAAAGAAAAAAAAAAAACGGTTCAAAGAGAGTTTGAAGGCTACTCCTACGCCAAAAGCTCAACATGAGAATCCATCGATTGAGTTTGCACCCAATGAGGATTGGATAAAAAATTCCCTAAAATTTTGTACTAGTCCTTTTAATTTTCTTCGTTTGGTATGAAAGCATTTTCCTCGTTTGGTATGAATAATTAGTTTTGTTTGGTATGAATAATAAAACTTGATTAGTATGAATAATAAAACTCGATTGGTATGAATGATTAATCTTGTTTGGTATGAATAATAAAATTCGTTTGGTATGAATGATTAATCTTGTTTGGTATGAATAATAAATCTCGTTTGGTATGAATAAAAAGTGTAAAGACTGTAATTAATCTTGTTTGGTATGAATAATTAATCTTGTTTGGTATGAACGATTAATCTTGTTTGGTATGAATGATTAATCTTGTTTGGTATGAATAATAAAATTTGTTTGGTATGAATGATTAATCTTGCTTGGTATGAATAATAAATCTCGTTTGGTATGAATAAAAAGTGTAAAGACTGTACTTGACCATGAAAGTTACTTAACGAATTTCTGGAGAGCTCATTTATTCGGGCTCATTTATTCGTCCACCTCTCATCATTTCAAGAGGAATCGCGCATATAGAATCTGGAGAGGTTTCATTCTCTACGTTTAGCCAAGGACAGTCACCGTCGATTATCACTGTGATCTTTCGCTTATGTATTGTTTTCCGCTCATTGGATTTATTAGACAACTTATCCTGTCGCATCTGCGATCATACATCGAAAACGCATGCATAATTTGCAGGCCCATGCCACTCCTTATGAATAAACCTACCATGGCCATTTCCTCTTCTCTAATTCTCTTTCTCTTTACCCCTAATATCTGTCATTGAATCGTGTAGGGTGGTTTCGAGAACGTTTGGTCTCACGTGCCTCAGAAAAGCGTAGACTGGTCGTGCGCGCGACCGGTGGATGTCGACGATTTTTCACCTCACTCGCCCATTCTTTTCGCTTTTCCTCACTGAAAATATACCGCCATGCCAATTGACCCAGAGAAGTTAGCTAAGTTGCAAAAAGCCGGCCCTAAGAAGATCGGTGGTGCCAGAATCAAGGCCAAGAAGGTTGTCAAGTCCGAAGCTGACGATGTCAAGTTGATGGAATCCTTGGGCAAATTGAAGGCCGTTAAGGTTGAGAACGTTGAAGAAGCCAACTTCTTTAAGGATGACGGCAAAGTCTTGCACTTTGGCAGAGTTGGTGTGCAAGCTGCTTCGCAATCCAACACCTTTGCCTTCACTGGTTACGCCCAAGAAAAGGACATTACCCAGATGCTTCCAAACATCTTGCCTCAATTGGGTGTTGAGAACTTGGACGCTCTCAGACAGTTGGCTGCTCAAATCCAAGCCGGTAGAGCTCCTTCCGACTTGGCTGCAGGTGCTTCTGGCGACGATGATATTCCTGACTTGATTGCCGGTGAAAAGTTTGACGAAGTCGAGTAAGGAAGATGTATATACCTATACTGTAATGGATTCAAATGATGACAATTCGACGGTTTCTTGCCACGAGCTGGTGTTCCTGGATTGAAATATAAGTCTACTCTGCACTTCACATATTATTTATGACCGTATTCTTGTGACAACTATGCCGTAGATCAAGCGCAAATCATAATGACTTCATACCATGACAGTTATTTTTACGTCATACATTTTATTAAAGTTGGAGAATTTACATGTACTATACTCCCAAACGATACTTACGATTGGGTCAATTAAGCCTCCGCGATGCTTATAGAGTGAAACCTGTCAAATCAACATACAATGATGCAATGCTCATTTTGCTATCCTACTCAACTGTAAACTCTAATTTGCATATTAATTTATGTCTGATGCCACTGTACTCACTGGTAGTCTCCTGTGTTATAAATGGAAATGTCCAGCTCGGCCTTAACATCAATTAAATCCGAAGCATCAATGCATGCATCCACACTCATCCCTCTTGCTCCATATTCTTTGATACGTTGGTTTTGGGCACGGATCTTTTCCAACTCTTGGATGTAGTTGTCTTCGACTCCTGTGATATACTTTCCGGTAAAGACACCCACTTCAAACTCTTTGGCATTTCCACCAGTACAACAGTCTATTAAATCTTCCAAATCCTGGAAGAATACTTTGTCAGCGCCAATGACCTCGGCAATCTGGCTCTCTGTTCTGTTGAAACCGACAAGCGCCTTAGTGTCTGCCAAATCAATACCATAGATATGGTTGAATCTGATTGGAGGAGCACATGATGCAAAAAAGACCTTTTTGGCTCCAGCTTCTCTGGCCATGGCCACAATCTCTTTCGATGTGGTACCACGCACAATAGAATCATCCACCAACAACACATTGCGGCCCTTGAACTCAGAAACCATAGCATTCAACTTTCTTCTAACACTCAGGCGTCTTTCCTGTTGGTTAGGCATGATGAAAGTACGTCCGATATATCTGTTCTTCACAAAACCCTCACGATAAGGCACGTTTAATGAGACAGAACATTGCAACGCAGAAGTACGGGAAGTATCTGGAACAGGAATGACCACATCGATCTCGCCCAAAACGTCCCTGTGAGGGAAGCTTTTTCTAATCTTAGCTGCCAAACGGTTTCCCATTTCAATCCGTGACCGGTACACAGAAACACCGTCCATGACGGAGTCTGGGCGGGCAAAGTAGACGTACTCAAAAATGTCGGGGGCGAAAGTTTTTGGTTCAACAACCTGCTTGAACTCTGGGGTACGTGGTGTTTCGGTTTCAAAACAGTCTTTAGGCACAATGACCGCTTCTCCAGGACCCAAATCTCTGATGTTGGTGTACCCGTGGGCACTCAAAACCACAGACTCAGACGCAAGCATGTAATCCATTCTCCCGTCTTCCAATACACGTTCACCGAACAACAACGGTCTGATTCCATTTGGATCTCTAAATCCGATCATACCATAGCCTGCAATCATCGCAACAACAGCATAAGCACCACGAACAATACCCATGGTCTTTTCCAAAGCAGTGAAAACATCGTTGTTGTTGACACGGGACTTGTTGAACTTATCTAATTCGGAAGCAAACACATTGAGCAAAAGTTCCGAGTCGGAGTCTGTGTTAATGTGTCTATGAACGGTTTCGTCCAAGTACTGTCTTAACTCGACGGAATTGACCAAATTACCATTATGTGACATGGAAATTCCGTATGGTGAGTTCACATAAAACGGCTGAGCTTCACTTCCAGCAGAAGAACCGGCAGTTGGGTATCTCAAGTGGGTGATGCCCATGTTTCCCACCAAATTGAGCATCCGGGCCTGGGTGAAAACATCACGGGCCATGCCGTTACCTTTACACTGGTAGAAACGGCCACGCGAGCCACAGGTAACAATACCTGCGGCATCTTGGCCTCTGTGTTGCAAGAACATGGCTCCCTCGAAAAGTTCGGGAGCGACATTCAATTTTTGGTCCGCAAGAACAACGCCTAGAATACCACACATGATGAAAGAATAAGCAGAAACTGTTCGAAACTAGTTTGGAGTAATTCTGGAAGGTACTCCGGGGCTAGGAAGTTCCTGTCTCTTGAATACACTGGGTATTAAGAAAGAAGGAGAAATGAGAAGAGCTGTGTGGAAATCAAGATTAGACTAGTGACTGCGCGAACCGAGTCAGAAAATTTAATCAAGCTGCAAACACGAGCCATACGTGGCTCCTAAAACGCAGCTATAAGAAGAATGAAAAAATGGTATCTTCTGATAAAACCTAGAATACAAGAAACCTTCACTTTTTATTGAACGGTTGTTTAATTACGCGACATAATATGTTCTACCATCTGTGTATTCATATTGAGGTAATCACGAAAAAAAAAAAAAGAAAAAAAAAAAAAAATTGAGAATGTTGTAATGAGCGAAATTGAAGGAAGACAAGCATAAAAATACAAACAAGAAATCAAGTGACTCTATCGGTAATACCAGACGTTAAAATTAGTGCGAAGCAAAAAGGTCGTAAATCGTTAGATGCAAAGTGGTGGGCATAATCATTGCTCCGGGGTGGATCGAACAATGCAGTGTTCTCTCCAGTTCTCTTAAATTGTAAATGACCATCCTAAAATGCATGCTGGATAGATTTCTTTCTTGTTTGAGCTCTATGTTCAAGTCAAGTTCTTTTTTTTAGTATTCTTTTTTATTTTCTGCTTTTTTTTTTTGTTTTTTGCATGTTTTTTTTATGTTACAACAGTAGAAACTCTCTACTGCAGTTGTGGTTGTGAGGGAGCTTGTTGCTGAACTGGATATGGGACGTTTGCCTGTGGTGGGTACCCATTATACTGTGGTGGTACCTGATATTGGCCAGGATAACTGAATTGCGGTGGCGGTGCTCCTTGTGGATATTGAAGGAATTGTTGAGGGCCATTAGGTGCTTGGTTTGGGTATTGGGGATGAGGTGGAAGGGGCTGGGCAACTTGTTGTGGGGTAGACGAAGTAGGTTGCACTTGAGGTTGGCCTTGGTAACTATAGCCGTTGTTGGCCTTCTCCTTACCTTTTGGCAATTCTTCAAGTTTGAATGGTCTTGGGATGGTTTCTTCGTTCTCGTTCACATACAAAGACTTGTCAATAACAGCTGGGATAGGGTTGATTTCAGTACCCAACTCCTGCTCGATCTTGTACAAGTTGTATCTGTCATTCCAGCTCATCAAGTTGATGGCCAAACCCAAGTGACCGAATCTACCAGAACGGCCAATCCTATGCAAGTAAGTTTCTGCGGTTTTTGGGAAGTCAAAGTTTATAACGACATTGACAGCTTGAACATCGATACCTCTGGTCAACAAATCCGAACACACCAAGTTCCGCACTTTTCCCTGTCTAAATTCGTGAAAAACCTTGTTTCTCGCTTGTTGGGGCATTTTGGCATGGGAGTAGTAACATGAATAGCCCAACTCGGTAATTTTCTTCGCCAATAACTCAACTCTGTTGGTGGAGTTGCAAAAAATGATCGACTGGTTAATTTGCAATTTCGAAAACAACGTGTTCAAGCAGTGCAACTTCTGCTTTTCTTCAACAAAGGCGTAAAATTGAGAAATGCCTCTCAAAGTCAATTCATCCATCAAATTAATTTCATAAGGTTTAGTCAAATGCTTATCCATGAAAGACTTCACTGCATAAGGGAAGGTGGCCGAAAACAATAACGATTGTCTACCTTCAGGGAAAAATGTTAAAATTTGTTCAATCACATTCTTGAACTCTCTCGACAACATCTTGTCAGCCTCATCCATGATAAATAATGGGCACTCGGAAAAATCGGCCAAGTTTCTGGAAGCTAAATCCAAGACTCTGCCAGGTGTACCAACTAAAACATGCACAGGGTCGTGCAATCTCATAATATCATCCTTCAAGTTTGTACCACCAGTAGTGACCATACAGTTAATGCCTAAGTGTTTGCCCAAAGTCCGAACCACTTGAGAAGTCTGTAACGCCAATTCTCTGGTGGGAACTAATATTAATGCTTGGGTCTTATTGAGTTTTGGCTTGACCATTTGTAAAGTGGGAATAACGAAAGAAGCGGTTTTACCCGTACCATTTTTGGCTCTGGCCAAAATGTCTCTACCTGCAAGAGCCATAGGAATTGACTCCTCTTGAATGGGGGAAGGCTTCTCGAAACCAGCTTCAAAAATGCCCATCAACAACTCTCTCTTCAAGTTAAAGTCTTCAAACAGCTTTCCTTGTGTGTTCAAAACATCTTCTGTCTGAACTCTTGTGTCCTTCGCTGGAAGATTCAAGGATTCTTTCCAGTTCTGATCTGACATTGTGTAGGTTTAGTTCAATGGACGCTTGCAAAAAATTACAAGAATATGGAAAATAGTGGGCAGCGAAAAGTTATCTGTTCAGTAGTAAGAAACAAAAAAAGGACTCGGCTTATAACTCAGGTCTATATTTGAAAAGCCAATTTGTAATGAATTTGTGTTTGTTCGATTGCAGATGCTGGAACTGTAGTTTGAGTGAATCAGAAGCTCTTAGTACCATCAAGGATGTCACATCGACGTTCGAATATCCGGTCGTCGCACGCTTAAATCTGTTACCCGGAAAAAATATAAATCACGTGCCACTAGCGTATAATGATTAGAATATACTGATTCAGAACAAGAAGCTGAATCAAGGGACATGTTTCATGTGAAGTGATTTTTCTGCGTTTTATGATGCATATCTTACTGTTTTTTCTTTGGTGGTGTTTTGTTTTAATTGCTACTTTTGGTGCGATATAGTTGATTTGACAAAAAATCGAGATCTTACTGCACGGTTATTACCTTCAGAAAGGTCAACCTCAATAGTAAAATTTATATGTACCTAAAAAAGAACCTATATCCCTGTAATTTCATCGTCTGGCTTTGTTATGAAGTTAGCAACCTTTGTTTCTATTTTTGCTTCTTTCAACTTGCTCTGCATTTTCTCCATAATGACTTGTTCTGACACTCTGATGATCAAATTTTGTCGTTCAAGCTCGGCCATCGAAAGGTTGAAAGGATAAATGCAACTCTCAGAAGGACATGAAACAACGGCTAGCGTAGTCAGAAATAGAACTTGTTTTAGATCTTCGCCACACAAAGGACAAGACATGAAGAGTGACGATGCGAAACGTGGGATTCGGTACTCCACTTGTTTTCCAACCAATTCGGAACCGATAAAAAGTAGCAAACAAAAACTAAATACAGCCAACTGTAGCTGATCCTAAAGGCAAATAAACAGCCGCTGCCGAAAACAAAATGCAAAATCTGGGGCAAAAGAAGTGCATCGCGGAGATGGCATATAGGCCAAAGTAATATCCAGATCGCCATTTTACGCCTTGTGTTTCTAAGATGAAGTTGGCACCTGAAACCGTGAAAAAGCTTCAATCAAATACAGAGAATGTTCGAAACATCTGTATTTTGGCCCATGTTGACCATGGAAAGACGTCGTTGAGTGATTCTTTATTGGCCACCAATGGTATTATTTCCCAGAGAATGGCTGGTAAAGTCAGATACTTAGACTCGCGGGAAGATGAACAGTTGAGAGGAATAACCATGGAAGCCTCTGCTATATCGCTTTACTTTCGAGTCATGCGGAGGAAAGAAGGTTCTGACGAGACAGAGACAAAAGAGCATTTGATAAACTTGATCGATTCGCCTGGCCATATTGACTTTTCCTCTGAAGTTTCTACTGCGTCGAGACTTTGTGATGGCGCAGTGGTATTAGTTGATGTTGTTGAAGGTGTTTGTTCCCAAACAGTGAATGTTTTGCGACAATGCTGGGTAGACAACTTGAAACCTCTATTGGTTATCAACAAAATTGATAGATTAATCACTGAGTGGAAACTTACACCTTTGGAGGCATATCAGCATATTTCCCGGATAATTGAGCAGGTCAATTCTGTGATTGGTTCTTTCTTTGCTGGCGAAAGAATGGAGGATGACATGAAATGGAGAGAGGCTGGAGCTACGGAAGAGTTCGTAGAGAAGTCTGACAGTGATCTTTATTTCACGCCAGAGAAAAACAATGTGATTTTTGCTTCTGCTATAGATGGCTGGGCATTTTCTATCAACACCTTTGCTAGAATATACCTGGCCAAGTTGGGTTTTTCCCATTCGGCGTTGTCAAAAACTTTGTGGGGAGAATTCTATTTGGACATGAAAAATAAAAAGGTTATCCCTGGCTCTAAATTGAAGCCATCACAATCTTCGCTCAAGCCTTTGTTTGTGTCCTTAATCCTAGAGCAAATCTGGAATATTTACGATGCCTGTGTGATCGAAAGAGATGATGCTAAGCTTGAAAAAATTATCTCGAAACTAGGCGCCAACATTTCGCAAAGAGACTTGCGTTCCAAGGACTACAAGTCGTTGCTCAATGTCATAATGTCCCAATGGATCCCTCTTAGTCATGCATTGTTAGGTGCCGTCATTGAGTATTTGCCTAACCCCAAAAAAGCTCAACAGGAAAGAATCGAGAAAATCTTGGACGAGTGTTTATATAGCACAGTCACGGATAAGAACATAGACAAAAGTTCTTTGATGGAGCCTTCATTCAAAGAAGCTATGATCAATTGTGACTCTTCTGACCCTGATGAACATACATTGGCATATGTTTCGAAAATGCTTTCTGTACCAGATAGCGAACTTCCCAAAGAAGTAACCGCAGGTCCAACACAAGAAGAAGTTATGGAGCGGCAAAGAAAAGCTCGCGAACAGGCAAAAAAAGTCTCTGAAGCTGCTGCGGCTTTAGCTGATGCACGATTAGCAGATCAAGATGACGATATCTATTTGGAAACCAAGCCTGATCAATTCCAATGGGAATTTGAAGAGGACGAAGATGAAGACGATGATCAGCCTTTGGAAAAAGAGACTTTAGTTGCCTTCACTCGTGTTTACTCAGGTGAGTTGTCCAAAGGTCAATTGGTTTGTGTGGTAGGTCCAAAGTATGATCCCTCCTTGCCCAGAAACCATCCAACTAACGTCCAGCAAATAATAGAGGATGTAGAAGTGGAAGATTTGCTTCTCATAATGGGCCGTGAGTTCGTTAGAGTTGATTCTGTGCCTGCTGGAAATCTTGTTGGAGTTGTCGGATTAGGAGACATTATTTTGAAGAACGCAACCATCATGTCCGAAGTACCCGATGACAAAGCGTACTTAAATTTTGCCTCAACTTCGACGTTGATCCATAACAAACCTATCATGCAAGTTGCCATTGAACCTCAAAATCCCCTCAAGTTGTTCAAGCTCGAAAGAGGGTTAGATTTGCTCTCCAAAGCGGACCCTGTTCTTGAGTGGTATGTGGACGACGATTCTGGCGAGCTTATTGTTTGCGTGGCTGGTGAATTGCATCTTGAAAGGTGTTTGAAAGATTTAGAGAAGCGCTTTGCTCCTGGATGCGATGTGGTGATTAAGGAACCTGTTATTCCCTTCAGAGAAGGCTTAGCTTATGAGTCTGGAACTTCTCAAACATCCGTTACTATCCATGTAGGTAATGATGCTGAAGTGGAAAAAGATGAGGTGGACCTCCAAATCAAAGTATTTCCAATGCCATCAGAAGTCACTAATTTCTTGATTGCTCATGAGGAAGAGATTTCTGAGGTTGTATCCTTTGGACTTAGACATTCGGTAAATGAAGCTGTATCCCACGCAGCAGATTTGCGGGGCAAGCTCATCAGTTTCATCGAGCAAAATCCTTTGGATACTGATCTCAAAGCAATCTTTGCCGATGCTGTTCAATTTGTTGATTGTATTGTGAGTTTTGGTCCCAAAAGGGTTGGACCAAACTTCTTTGTGGAAGATCCAAATAACAATAGCCAATTTCGCAGGATGTTCACTGAAGAGCAGAGTGAGAAATTTGCTCTCGAGTCGAATGTCTTGAATGGCTTTCAGTTGGCAATGAATGAGGGTCCACTTGCATCCGAACCTATCCAAGGAACTATCACCGTGTTGAGAAAATCATACAAACCTGAGGCAGAGGAACTTCTTCTCAATCTTCCTGGTCGGGTGTTGAAAAGAACTAAACAGCTTATACATGAAGAGTTTTTGAAGAACTCGCCTCGGCTTTTCCTTGCCATGTACACTTGTGAAATCCAAACTTCTCCTGAAGTATTGGGTAAAGTGTATGCTGTGATCCAAAAAAGAGGAGGTACCATTATCTCAGAGGAGATGAAGGAAGGTACACCGTTCTTTATTATCAATTCCCGAATTCCCGTTGTGGAGGCATTCGGATTCTCAGAGGAAATTCGAAAAAGAACATCCGGAGCGGCAAGTCCACAGTTGGTTTTTGATGGGTTTGACATGCTCGATATAGATCCTTTCTGGGTGCCACATACGGAAGAAGAATTAGAAGAGTTAGGAACTTTTGCAGAAAGGGAGAATGTTGCTCGCAGGTACATGAACGGTATCAGAAGAAGAAAGGGATTGTTTGTGGATGAAAAGGTTGTCAAAAACGCTGAGAAGCAAAGAACGTTGAAGAAGGATTAAGTACCTGTTAAATATACTCTGCTTTGCAACATTTGATAATTAGAGCCGAAAGAGACGTAATCAGCGAAGCTGTCTGGTGTATACTATATGACGATGTTATGTGAAGCTTGAGACTAATATTATGAAGAAATCGAAGTTGTAAAGGTTAAATAGAGGATTGTAATGAGAGACAAAAGACTTCCATAGGGATGCTTTTGCACTCTTGACTATGAGGCATAAAGTTACATAAAAACGAAGTTAGAAATCTGAAGATTGGGGCTCAATCAAATCAATTCTATGCCTTGTCTTGTCAATTCTTTCTCTTGTCTTGTTAACACAATGAAAGAAAAATTAGCGAAAAACGGTGAAGACAGGCCTCTACATAACTAAGTTCTGCAAGTACTTGGTCGCATTAGTGTGTAGACAGAAAAAAAAAGAAGTTAAGACCAAGCAAAATATACTATTGTAATGGCCTCAGGAAAACAAGGCCAGCCTGAGGTGACGGGGAGCCAAATAGAACTCGTGAATTCACGAGGAAGCGATCTGCGACAGAAGGAGTCGGAATTTCAGGCTGACCATGACGAAAAGCTATCACAGGAAGAAGAGTATTCTGAGCACGAACAACCTCCACATGCCAAAGACACAAACGGGACAGACCATACCAATGAACTTCCAGACACACCTAAAATGATGGAGTTGGCCAAAACATATGAATTCTGGCGCAACATAGTCAATAAGAACCCGCACAACTTCGAACCATATCTGCCATTTCCCCAAGAAGAAAAAAACGGAGAGCAAGATATGGGATTACTTCGTGGATTGAGGCTTAGCATGGGAAAGGGAGCTGACTCATTGCTTAACGAGACAGAACTCAACTTCTTGAAGACGCGGATCGGCGAGTTCATTTCATTTACTCGACTTGGGTCTTTAAAGGACGAAGAGCCTCAAGAGGGCTATTCCATGTATGGAACGCAGGATGAAGAAGGATTGCATGAAATGGAGGAAGATTTACACGACTACGATATCGAGGAAATTGGTCTGGGCGAACGATTTCTGTATGGATATGGCCCAACACACCATATAGAAGTTGAGCTAAACGAGGGTCCTCCAGGTCCGCCAGATCCAAATTCGGACGAACCATCTTGCGAGTTTACGTTTGAATATGATCATACTGGTAAGTTGGTACCGACATACAGCAGTATCGAGGAAAAGCTTCGACTTGTAAATCTCCATGGCCGGGACGGTGATGCCCCCAAGAAGAAGAATAAAAAGAAAAAGAAGAAACCGCGGTCCCTTTTGGAGGGAAATCCGGAAATCGATGAGGCTAGTTGCATGTTTTGTCAGTATGAGGCGTTTTTTGGAGTGAAACCGGTCCACATGATGGCTTGGTACGACCGAAAAATTGCCAAGGAGGAGAAAAGACGCCAGCAGATTAAGGAGAAGCTTGAACGGGTCAAACATAATGCCCTTCACAGGCGTGAGATGCGGGAGGAAAGCGAGGATTTGTAGGAATGTGAATAGGGAAGGCATTTAATGAAGACACTAATGAGATAGAACAGGAAAACATCGCTGATTGAAATTATCTGGAAGATGATTGTTGCGGCTATCACTATGGGTATACTCATCTATACCAAGGAGCCAATGTAAGTATACGATTGTAACTTAAGTTTGGTATTAGGAACTGAAATCACTAATACCAGACCTACCAAATTGGAAAAAAAAAAAAAAAAATAGGAAAAAAGAAAGACAGGATAAAGATCCCCTCATGCAATTGCAAATATACTGTTGGATAAGTTAGTGGCATCTGTGTGGAAATTCTGAAATACTCCCAGTTGATAAGATTCGAGCGCGCAGACTAGAGTCAAGTAAAACAACCACCATGTTCACAAAATCTGCCACACCTGCCACTCCAGTCACGAGGCCAGAAACTCGCATGAGCGACTCGCTCACATGGGCATACGAGTGGTTCTCCTTTGATTCATCCACTACGCCGCTTCAACTCAAAGGTTGGGTCAAAAAAGCCAGTAGTGAAGTCACCAGACTGACGCCTCTGATTTCGGCTGATGCCCTTGATGTGACCGACTGTGAGTACCATAAGGAGCCTATAGTGGTGGAAAATGCTGTCGAGGAGCAGCAGCCTGTGGACGAAGCGAAGAATGCCGACTTGAAGCTGGCTTTGTCTTTGGACAAGAAGGATGATCAGATCTCGTCTTTGTCGGGCTTGGGTATCTAGTGTCTGATCCCTACGGTGGATAATGGAGCCCTAATCGAAACATTAAAATCTGGGCATTTTTTGTGTTGTGAACTAAAGTTACAAATCATAAATGACAGCTCTGGTTCAACGCCACGTTGTATTCACTACACGAGTGAGCGGTTCAATATTATTGGCAAGTATGCCGCTTTTGAAAATAGTACAATGCAGTTGTATCGGAAAGATATAGTTGAATCAAAGATATGTGCGTTTCATGTGTAATGCAAGCCAAGTTGAGGCGCCCAACTTGTCCATAGATATCGCCCTTCTCTTGTAGGAAGCAACAACAAGGTAGGAATGGTTGACATTAACGTGGTTGTATCTATTGATATTGTGGCGTTTTGAGATGCTCAATGTTTAGGTTGTACACTCAACTTCTCACGTCTATTTCTATTCTCCTGTCTCTATATTTCGTCTTGAGTCGTTTGTGAAGTATCACTTACTCTTTTCGTCCGACGAAGGCAATGCCCTTTCGAGCTTCGGTAGTGGCTCTATGCAAAGCAGATAGCTTATCAAAGTCCCAGCATTCTTCCGGCAGAAGCGAGCTCAAGTCCGCTCCGCTTCTCTCAAGGTTTTGGAAATTCCGCCGCACCCTCTGCAAGTTCATCATTTCTCTCGAGTCGCTTCCCTCGCTAGCCACAATGAACACAGAATCCGACGGAAGGCTATCAAATACTTTTTGGAGTCTTTCATTCAATCGGCCAAGAAGTTCTAAACGATTTTCTTCTGTTAGTGTTGCCTTGGCATGTCTTGTGTTGTCCAATTCTGAGTACAATTTGCCCTTAAACAGAGAGGGTACAGCAACGGCACCTGAGTTGAAATCGATTTCCTTGAATCTCAAAAGTAATAAATCTGAATCCTTAACCGCATTTACAGCTTCTTCAGCGACTTCATCATCGTCTGAAACTGACAAAACGCGAAGGTTTGGCTGCTCCCAGATATATGGGCCCCATAATGCCGGCGAGTGGTCAATTATGGTCGACAACTTATCTACTTTTTCTTCCCTGAGCTTCTCGAAAAGTGTCACTTCCCTAGGAACTCTGCCAAATTCGGGCCCTTCGACCAACTTCATCTTGACCAAATCCAAACATGCCAACAGATCTTCCACAGAAGAGTGCCCTGCACCAGTTTGTTCGCCTTGTTGAATGGAACGGCTAAGAAAAGTGGCAGAGAGCCACTTTAAACCCGGCTTGGAGGGTGGGCCCCTATGGTGATCATAAATGATGGCAGTATCAATTACACGTGGATGCTTTACTTTCAAAACACGTAAATCTGAGTCCAAAGAATGGCCTATGAGAATGTCACTGCTCGAAACTGTATCCAAAACTTTCGCTTGCACGTCTGCTAGTGTTGTAGTCACGCCCTTCAATATTTCCTCAGTGATACCAGAATATCTCGTCACATAATCCGTGATCTCTTCCTTGGGTTTCACGTACGTGTCGTACACAGTTTCACCTTGGAAATTGACGATAGAAATTCGAGTCAATACTTTTCCTGACAGAGATTCACAAAACTCGCAGTCTAGAGCAAATGTGTGCGATCCATCATGCTCAAAATTCGTAGTTTCGACCCATCCTTCCTCAACAGACTCTTCCCCAGACTGCAGACTATGTATAGGGTAATTTGACTTTTCCATTTGGTCCCGGGTTAAAAGTAGATCGTACAAGACAAGTTTTGTTTGTCGCAGCTCTTCTGCCCTCTGTTTTTTCTCTTTTTTTGAAAGACCAAAATTGATCAATGTTTGCGAGCACAGATAAATTGAGTCCTTGCTCCCGCTTATAGTTAAAGGCATGAGATAGTCAAACACATTATAGAAAAATGCCATTTTTGTCTCGTTTTCTTTGACCATTGGCTGCAACAAAGGCTCTTCGCTAGATTTAACAACGTTGAAATCGCTCGGCCGCAAACCGGGCACAAAAGCAAAAACAACCTTTGTAACCTTTGTGGGCTTGTTGACTTTCACTAATCTCTGGCCCTGAGCAGGTGTGCCCAGAACGATGGAATGAAGAAGAGTCCGAAATTGAGCCATGGCTAGAGCTTTACCACAACTTTCATCGTAAACAATGCTCACGGGTTCGTTATCCCTTTTAAGCTTCTTCTTGTGAACCTTCTCTGCTCTAGGCTCGGAACTAGACTGAGCAGAGGATCGTCTTCTGCGTCTAGCCTTTTTTCTATGTTTTGAAGAAACGTTTTCGGAAACTTCCCGGTTTCCGTTGGGTGGTTCGATTACACCATTGTGTTTTGGTTCTTCGTCGATCGAGGTGATGGAAACTGCAGAATCTCGTCTTTTCGGCGATTGGTCGGCCAAAAAGTCTCGAACCTGTTTGATCACACTTTTATCATCTGTGGATATGGATAGACGAGCTGCTGTTTGCGATAGCTGCTCATCGTTATTGGTCATCACCGTAGTTCTGGGAATTTCAGATTGGTTCTAGTTCGTCCAGTACTGGAGTATCGTTCGTGCAGTCAAGTGAGAAGATGAGCGAAAAAATGCAGGATAAGTATCTGTGAAGGCAGGTGCAGTAGATAAGACAATATCTAAAGTTATCTTATGTATCAGTCACATAAAAAGAGCATTTAATTAAGAGCGAATCATAGGCAAAAATACCAAAGACCAAATTGCCAAAGATGACACGCCATTTGAGTGGACAGGCATGAGTAAAATAAATAGGGAAAATAACAATGTGTTTACCCTGAATGGTCCTTATATTTTTCACTATAGCCTCCATTATTTTCCTCGTGGGCCTTGTTAATCATGTAAAAGCGGGTTATTCGCCAGGGGTAGCAAATACTCTTCAACTTTGCGGCTTGACTGCAAGTTGTGCAACTTTCTCTGTCAAAGAAGCATCCCCATGCTCAAGTGCTTGTGATTCTAAGGAATGTATGGTGGACATTCGGTCAAAAGGAACTGATTCAGTCGAACTTGAGTCTTACATGCTGTGACAGTGTATACTGGGAGCAACTTAAATCACTCAAGTCCCATTCGTAACTCATATTCTGTCAGCTACGAAAGCAGCAGACAAGAGTATTGGCCCGAAGCCTGTAACCTGTAAATGCACTTATATCACGAGAATGGAATATTCACCCTTGTTTCTTTGTCGTCTAATGTGAAATCCTAGGCTTTCGTTAGTATTCAATATCAAAGACGGGTCACTGTAAGGCCAGAACGGTACAGTAGCAAAAGGATACACCCGCAGGGAGTTGATTATGAAGAAACCTTCTTCTCTGTGATTAAGCATATCACTTTACGCCTACTCCTCGTTATCGCTGGCACAAACAAGGTGCATGTCCACCAAATGATCTGCATTCATGAACGGTATCCTCAAGGATATTGGCTCAGGAGACATGAGCAGCATTATATCACTGAGCGTGTAACATGAAGTGTACTCTCATTACTCCAATGCTTTAAGTTGCTGTATCATGTCAGCATATGTAAGAAGATTCTCGTGGTGATCGTTCCTAGTAGTGATTTTTCGGGGTAAGCCATGCTGGGAAAAAAACTGAAGGAGGCTCTCTGTAGATTCCTGCGACTGAAAGCTTGAGTGAAACAAATCATCTAGAGACATGAATTCACTTTCTGACTCAAGCATGGTACCATTAGAGTCACGGGGGATGGATCTAGACAAGAGGCCAATCTTGCTCCAACTATCCCAGTCTTTCGGGACAAGCTGATGAAGCATCACCTCATTGCATAGCTCTATGCCGTGGGTATTGTAAACTTGAAGCTTCGCGTCCTTTTCCTGGTTGGCAACATTAGCTACCAATTCCACCGCTCCCGTAGGATCAGCAAAAGATTTAGCAGTAGACACCACAGCATAAGTAGCACCTAATTTCATTGAAATAAAGCGGAGAATTTGCTGTAATGCCACTTCAGATTCGGCAAGTGGGTTGACTTTGCTTGTGGTATCACAATTTCTTAAAACAATAATCTTGAATCCAGGCAGGTTCCAAATGTTTTTCTCTTCCCCATTACTCTCGATGCTCTGCAATATGAGGAGAAACTCTAGTAGCATCTTCATCTCCTCGTATACAAGAACTAGGGTCGTTTTCTCCTTTGCAAATGACGCTAGTACGCTTTTGATGTAGGACTTGAAAAGGGGGATTCTGGACACGACATGAACTTCATGATTCGAAACAAGCGCGTATTTAACAGTAGTACCATGGATATCGTCTTCCAGACATCCGATCACAATTATCTTGTCCCTATTCGAAGCTTCGAGGTCCATGTTGCTTTGATGCTAGTGTCACCTGGCATGCAAGACAGTGTGCACACCGTTGTCACAGGGAACAATCTGCACTTCATCTGGTTTCTGAAGTTTAAAAAAAAAACTGCCAACCTTCATCAAAGACTCCACAATACGAATCAGAAACGTATTACAAATATAATTTTTTGAACCATCTGTACAACTTTGCTAGGCGAATTTATCATCATACTGCATATATTGGCGGTGGTGGTGATGATTTATATAGTGGCGAGTTAGCAGTGATTCCATTCAGCAAGAGTTCAAATGGGCATTGGAAAGCCTCTCCAGCATTTCCAAGTTGTTACCTGTTTGCTTGAAACTGTGCTTTAGCATTGACCCGTCCACTAACTTCTACTCTGTTTTGGAGGTGACATCCGTACACCACTATCTTGGAGGAAATCAACTCTAGTGACCTTACTCCGACAAATAACAGTAAACGCAACATGGCAGTCGGAGGTGGCGTTAATAATTCTTCCGGGGAAAAGGATGATCCTTACAGCCTGCTTTTAACGGGGAATGTTGATGTCCCCGACGATAAAGTTATCAATGATATTTTCTCTGAAAGAACAACGAAACATGCCGACGATGCCATAGATTACGAAGACATAGACGAGTTAGCGGATGAAGACGAAGAAGAGTTACCTGAGATCAAAAACGCTGAAGACAACGATGATTTGGATGTTGGAGGTGCAGAGGAACATAATCTTCAGGATAACGCAAACAATGAGTTTGATGCATTATTTGGAGATGAAGAAGACGCAAATGGTGAGCACGACCATGGTTTCCAAGCTCCAGGGCACGATGTTCTAGATTCTCATGTGGGTATGGATATATTGGATGATTTCAGCGGGAATATGGTCTACGAAGATGATGGGCTCCATCATTTGGATTTGGGCTTTGAAGACGACAAGCCCGAAAGTATGAATGGCAAGGGCACAATGATGTCCCACGGCCTCAAAAAGAAGCGCAAATCATTAGAACAAATCCAAGCTAAGAAAGAAAAGTTGAGGAAACTAGTTCAAGATATGGAAACTCGTCAGAAAGCCAGAATGGTGTCTAAGTATTTTCCAGATTACAAACCAGAAAAACCATACAACCACCACAAAATGGTCCTTACAGAACCAAAGTTTTACGCGTACAAACGCCCGCCTATAGCATTTAAGCTGAACTTGAAACCTCTCATACCATTGAAATTATCGTTGGAGGTTGAGCCAGATCAACGGAAAGCTTTCAGGTCCAAGAGAGATATGCTTGGCCTTACTTCCCAACAAACAGGGATTACATATATTTCACAGAAGGATTTGGATTTCATTGCTAGTCTTGAATCGGATGGTGATAGCATTATCAAGCTCACAAGTCTACCTTTTATAAAACTGGACGGAATTGATGATGATAAGTTCAGTGATTTCAGCAAGGATCTCATCTTAGCGACTGCTGACTGGGATGACGATTCCATTCTTGATGCCGGAGGCTCGGATGAGGAACATCATGTAAACAGTGTCACCAAGAAGCCAATTAGCGAAGAGTTGGAAAATGAGGAATTAATTTACGATGACGACAATATTTTTGAGGGTAATGCTGCTCCTGAGAAATTAGAGTTGAATATGAATGATCCAAATCTTCTTTTTATTCCCGACAAGAAGAAGTACGAAGTAACGAAATCGAAGGCTGTTATTCCTCTTGATCAGAAAACGCTCCAAATGAAGTTCAACATTTCCAATGATCGCAGCTATGATATTCTTAAGAGCAATTATAATACGAAGGTCAGAAGCCAGTTGAGTAACTTGAATATCGAGCATTCTCTTCCTGCATTGCGTCTCCAGACCCCATACTACAAGATCAAACTTACTAAAGAGCAAGCGAGGGCTTTCCATAGAGCAAAATTCCAGGTGAGGCAGGGATCTTTAATATGTTTTTCTAAACCCAAAGTGCGGAAAAAGAAGAAGGATCGTGGAAAGACAGCGCAAGAGATTTTCAGCCTGTCGGCTGACTTGACGACAACAGATACAAGCCCTATTATTGCGATGGAATATTCTGAAGAAGCACCGAAGATTCTATCAAACTTTGGTATGGGAAGTAAGTTGATTAATTACTATCGTAAGGAGAAAGAGGACGATAATTCTCGGCCAAAAGCCCCGCTTGGAGAAACTCATGTCTTGGGTGTTGAGGACCGATCACCATTTTGGAACTTTGGACATGTTGCTAAGGGCGACTTTGTGCCTACCCTTTACAACAACATGATCAGAGCACCTGTTTTCAAACAAGAAGCCAAATCGACAGATTTCCTTTTAATTCGCTCTCAGGGTTGCGGAAATCACCAAAGGTACTACTTAAAGAGGATGGATCACTTGTTCGCAGTGGGAAACATATTTCCGGCAGTGGAAGTACCAGCACCACATTCCAGAAAAGTTACAAATACATCTAAGAACAGGTTGAAAATGATTGTGTTCCGTACTATGAACAAAAATGGTACGGCGAGATTGTCGGTCAAAGATATCTCTCTGCATTTTCCTGATCAGAATGACATGCAAAACAGACAAAGATTAAAAGAGTTTATGGAATATCAAAGACAGGGAGATGACCAGGGTTTCTGGAAGATTAGGAATAGTTCAACTGTCCCCACTGAAGAAGAAATTAGATCCATGATTACCCCGGAAGATGTTGCATTATTAGATAGTATGCAACATGGCCAACAGGTTTTGGACGATATCGACTCTTTATTCAATGACGATTCACGTAAGGTTGAGGTTAAAAAGGAGAAGAAGGAGAAGGACAAGACGAAGGATAAAGAAAAAGAAAAAGAGGATGCCGACGCTGAAGACAAAGAACGGTCAGCTCAAGGTGAAAGGAAAAGGAGAGATAAAGACGTTGACATTGATGAAACTATTGATGAAGGTCTGACGCCATGGAGCTCGTCAAGAAGTTTCATAATAGCGAATCAAACAAAAGCTATGCTACAACTCAATGGAGAGGGTGATCCCTCCGGAATTGGATTGGGTTTTTCTCTATTGCGGGCCACACAGAAGCATGGTTTCAGACCATTGTTCCCACCGCCGAAGGAGAGTGTGCCCAAAAACACAACTGCTTCTTATCAGCAACGTCTTTACGAGGCGGAGGTATCGCGCATTTGGTATGCTCAGAGAAGTTCTTTGACGGTTGACAATCGTGAAGGACATACTCTTGAAGATATCTACAAAGAGTATAAACCAGCAAACCATGATGAATACTTTAAGAGTAAGTTTGAAAAAGAGAAGGAGGATAGGGTCAAAAATGAGGGCCCACAAAGTGCTAAACGCAATGTTTTGAAAATCACACGTTTAGTCAGAGACGAAAATGACGTTGTGCAACGTAAAGTTGAGTATGTTCATGATCCTCGTCTAATCAAGGCATACATCAAGCGCAAGAAGCGCATTGAAGGTGACAAGATGTCGATGGTCGATGTGAATGAAATTCTTCCTACTAATGATGCAGAGATGAACAAGATTCGTCGCCGGGCTTTGGAGGAAAAGATTGCGAACTTGCAAAAAAGAGCCAAGCTTAGTAAAGGTAGAAAACCTCATAAGGACCCACTACATCTTGCGGCAGCTGCTGGTGGCACCATTATTGATGCGAACACGGTCTTGCTTCCTGACGGTTCTATTGCCTTTGGTGGTAAAGGTATAGGAAAGGGTAAAAGTACTACAAGAAGGTGTGCATCATGTGGTGCCTTTGGCCACATCAGAACAAACAAAGCATGTCCTTTGTATGCGCATACTAAGGGTGGTACCGTACAGATTCCCCAGGAACAGAAAGATATTTTACTTGCTCAAATCAAGAGCGAGAAAAAAGCCGCTGGAGCTGAAACAGCGACACCCTCTAATGTGGGAACTCCGGTTTTGCCTGAGGATACGGAAGGTCTGCCTTCTGCTCCACAGACTTGAATACCATAGCTTCGAAAGAAACGAAGTATCTAAAATATTATATTGTCTAATGCATGAACAAAAAATGTACGTAATGAAATGAGAAAACACCGCTAACACCTGGAGCGAGAAATACCGTTAACACCAGAAACGGTAGATACGGTAGTACAATGGCAGAGATTTTAAGAATGCCCTTTGCTCTGCAATCTCTTGTTTCAATGTCTCGACATCCATCTCTCTTCTGCCGGTGTCAAGGTCAATGTCCTTCAAATCAACCATCCAAGTACCCAAAGTCTTGGAAGTGATTTTGTATTGAAGCCATAACACAATTGTCAAAGGCAACGAAAGACAGTTTTGCCAAAAGGTAGTGACATCAGCAGACTCCCCAATTGGAAAGATGGACACCCACACTTCACCGACCACAATCAAACACAAGATGATCATTCCCGAGAAAGAACCCCAAATTCCGAGTGGAGAGACAAAAAGAACCTCATCGAGAGATCTTCCTTGTGCAGATAAAGCCCATCTGTATCTAATGTGAGTGAAACAGATTGCGGCCCATGTGAAAAAGGCCGCCAATGAACAAATGGAAAAGAACCATGTGAAAACCGTACCCTGGTGCTCTTGGTCAGCAGCCAAAAAGCCCAACAAGCCGAAAGCATTGGTAATCATGATCGCCACAAGTGGTCTTCCGGCTCTGTCAACATAACCAACACACTTGGGGAGCAAGCCTTGAACAGCCAAAGAAGCCAAAGATCTCGAGCAACCGTAAACAGAGGAGTTTCCGACAGAAACAACAGCCACCAAAATGACTGCATTCATTATATCTGGGAGAACCTTAATTCCACCATTGTTAATGGCAATAACGAATGGAGAAGACGTGATATCTTCACTGGAGGATCCAGAAAGTAATCTATCATCTGTGTATGGAACCAAACAGCCAATAACAATTGCTGTGACAATGTAGAAAAGGGTAATTCTCCAGAAAACCTGCTTCGTAGCCTTGGGCAAAGATTTTCTTGGGTTTGCAGTTTCGGACGCAGCCAAAGCAACAAGCTCAACACCACCGAACGAGAAGGCGGCAGAGATGAAACAAGAGCATACACCTTTGAAACCGTGGTTGAAAGCTCCCGGATGGTGCCAGTATTTTCCTCCCACATATCCTCCGTCTCCTACACCGCAGATGATGCAGATGGAAACAATGGTGAAGCCCACCACAGCCAAGACTTTGATGATTGAGAGAACAAACTCCACCTCACCATAACCCTTAACACCAAACATGTTGATGGTAACAATAATGACGTAGAAAATAGCCACCCATACCAGCGGATTTATGGAATCATTCCAATAGGAAACAGTGAGTGAGCAAGCGACCAATTCGGAAGGGAATGAGATTAACCACGACAAAGAATATAACAAGCCCAAAGTGTAACCCCAAGATGGGTCAACGAAACGAGAAAAGAAGGCGTTGAAAGAACCGGAAACAGGATATTGCACAGACAATTCACCCAATGCCATAACCACACAAAACAACGAGTAACCAACTAACGCATAAGAAATGAGCACACCAGCCGGGCCTCCAAGGTACAAAGCGTAACCGGATCCGATGAAAAGACCCGTTCCGATAGAACCTCCGATGGCAATCATTTGCAAATGTCTCGACTTCAATCTTCTGGCCAAAGGGTGTCTAGCGGTTGCGTAGATGGACTTTTCCATTGGGGTCATGTTGGAAGTGTCGACACCATCGTCTTCCAATTGAATCGGTTTGAACGAATCAATCAACCTGGAGAAGAACGTTCCTTCCTCTGCATCTGAGGATGCCAGTGAGTATGATACATGATCAGACAGTACCGAGTTGGCACTGGTATTTTTTTCCATCATAGCTCGGGAATAGAAAACTCAGCAAAGCAAGAAGACAGAAGTGCTTGAGATAAGGAGCGAGAACGGACGAAAATGAAACAAACCAAATAAAAAAAAAAAAAAAAAAAAAAAAAAATACTGTGTATCCATGCACGTCATATTGAATGGACAGGACGGTGCCGATGCCCATCGTCCGGTATGCGTCTGTCGAGCCAATTTTCTTGACAACGCTTCTTTCTTTGGTTATTGTGCGACAACGCAGAATTGAATCTCTATAGCTTGTTCCCGTTCGCCTGTATTATTTACCTGACACGAAAGAGACATGAACGGGGCCATTCTGTGTAGGCGGGTAAACAACTGCGCTTTATCATTCTTTTTTTCCTTTTTCTCGCGTGCGCCGTGCGGCTCTACCCTGCACTTACAAATTGACTCTGGAAGGCGCCACAGTTGTGAAGTCCACAGTTTGGTGGGGATAGAATGTAGCTCACTTCTTCTGCTTAATTATATGCATACGGTGTGCCAATAACAGGCTGGCCGGTACAGCATTTCTCTTGAAACAGCTTGATCTGGAGAGTGTTTATCTGCAGTCCCTAATATGCGCCCCTCCATTTTGAGAATCTCTATTGTTCCGGGTACAGGGCAAAAAAAACTTTTCCCTCCCTTCAGATCATTGTACGTTGTTTTCCTCATAAATAACCATAGCGGTTTCTAATTTGTAATTGAGTTCCTGCTCCTGCGTCTCATCAAATGCTCTCCTCTACACAGCTTTCTGTGCCAATACTGTTATGCGGCCTGCATGCCCAGTTTCTCCGTCTACATTTGCCGTTTGCGACTTATGTATATTACATCCAGTGTACATACTTTATTTAGGAGGTGCATTCCGTAGGTGGGTGCATGATCTTGACCTTCTCGTAGGTCTTGTCAGCCTTGACGTAGATCTTTTTGAATGAGGAGTCATTGTAGTAGTTGCGGGCCATGTACATGGCGCCGCAGGCGTACAAGCCACCGCCGATCATCAATGCAGTTCTAGGCGTAATCATTGTGAATATATAGGATTTGTTTTCTGAGAAGGTTGAGAGGTGTTAGAGAGTACTGGCGAACTGGAGCAGTGCTCCAAGTTTCTGTATTTATATGCCCCGTTGGAGACTGGCCAAGGGTTCGAGCAAAATCACCCCACCAAAAGTAACTCCACTGTTGCAGAGTGCGCCGCGCAGCGCAGCGAAAACGCCTTTGCTACTGCAAAGAATTTTCTTTGGCGAAAAAAACGGACCCCAGGTGTGTCTCTGCCTCTATAGCAATAGTCAAGTTAGTTTTTAAAACATCCGCCTCCAACTTGGTGTATGGCACCTGTTGAAGTGGTTGGTGCGCTGCGTGCAGTACATGTGATCAGGCGAAATTTAGAGTAGTCGCGCCATTTTCTGAGGTGGAACAGACGAAATGGCCCAAAAGGGAATGCCCCAGAAATAAGCCTTCCAAATGATGAATTATGATTCGACAACTGGCTCGCGTTCCACCTGATTGATATCTTGCCGGTCGGGGAGAAACAGAATCACCAGATTTTCTGCGTACCGAAAGGGAAGCACCGTAGATAAGACCTATACGCGGGCCCTCATGCGCATTGGGAATGCGGCGAATGGGGAATACTCGAAACGAGCAAACTTACGCGACGACAACAATTAGTCTTGCAGGATGAATGTGGAGAAATAGACGTTGAATATTTGAAAGCTGCGTTGATCGCGCTCATGCGTTGCTTTCACATGGACAAATGTCCGAATAAATAATAGTTTAGGGATAATGCCGGAGCTCGAGAAAGGTCCAATGTTTGCTTGTGAAGGGAAATGGTTAGTAGACACGACACTGATTGAGATTGTTTTGAGTCCCATACCATCAGTAAGTACGAAAGCCATCTGGCGTCGGGAGCACAGGAAGAAACTGGCCCACCACCATCATCGGGAGATCAAACAAGTCCCGCTTGACAGTCCAGACGCTGCAAAACTCGATGTAATCTGAATCCATGGAAGTGTTGGTTTCAATGCCTTCACTTGGCCGCTTTATGAGCTTGCACCTCGTGACTATAGTCAGATGCAAATTTCCTACGGCCACAGATTCAAACAAGCGGAAATATTCCACTATGGATTCGTCATCATACATCAACTCCAAGATAAACGTCCGTTTTGAAAGGATCGTGCTGATGTTCAAACCGAGAAGAGCTACCAAATCATTGGACATGGACACTATCTCGCCTGTACGGCGCCATATTATTGTAGGCGAAGCGTTGAGCCGAGAGAGGTTCTCGTAGTCCAAGAGACATCGCTGGAAGGACATTTCCAAAAACTGGAAGTCAAACGGCCGGAAAAGGGCTTTATGTGTACTGATAAACGTGGGCCGGTACGATGCAATGAGCCGGAGAATCATGAGCAAGTTTTCCCGTTTTTTTGCTTTTTCGCTATCCGACAAGCTTTTGCCAGTGAACGAAAACCGCTGACGCAAGAAGGATGTCAACGAGTGGTAGGACAGCGGGTAATCAAAGTCAATCACTTTGTTGGCATAAATGTCTTGCACATTCTGGTAGATGTGATGCGACACAAGTGGTGAAACATATTGTGCCTTGTCCAAGGAGCTGAAGTCAAAGTTGTTGAATTCAGGCGACTTTGGACGCTCGTCGCTTTGGCCCAAGGAAATAAACGGCCGCGAAGGATTCTCCGCATACATCATGGGAACGTCCAAAGACGGCGACGATGGTTTGGAGATGAGGTCTCCCAACATCATGTATTCTTGGTTGAGAAAGTTTGAGTTAAAGTTGCTTGCTGGTGTGGACATAGGAGAGTCCTGGAGACTCTCGTGGATACTGGACCGTTCAAAAACACCGTCGAGGTACGCAATCTGGGGATCTGGTGGGTTTCCCATCTCCAGGCCATTTTCGCCAGTGGCTCTTCCAGATTCGCTCGACGACTCGCCCAGAACAGCTGGAACCTCCGTAGTGGACATGTATTTGGCACGCTTCCGCACCACGTCCCGGCATTCGTGAGCAAGATTGCGTTTGATACAATTTTGACAAGGCCTAGAATGAGAACACTGGAGATGCTTGGAATGGCAAAAAACACAAGCTCGCAGCGTTGGACGGCGGGCTTTCTTTTCTTGCGGCGTGAGGCGTTTTGTCATGGAGCTGGAGAAGGAAAGTGGGTGTTTTCCTTTCGCTTCGCTTTTGTGGGGGTGGAGGAGTGCACTGTAAGAGTTTGGCGTAGTTGGAATCTGGGGTACCCCGGGGGATGTAGGAAAAATACCGCGCGACAGCAATGAGGTGCCCGGAGCTCTTGTCGTTCCGGGAATCTCCGGAAATCGAATAGACATTAACACAGGTGGGGTTTCTCTATGGATCTCGCAACCTCTTCAAGCCATCACTTGTACGGGCTACTCAATGAGATTTCTCCGCTTTTGTCCTATCTCGGTGCTGCTATTATTTAATATCTGGAACGAGCGAAGAAAAGACTATGGTGTATAGTGTTACACCCATATTTTGTCTCAAAATCCTCGTGAGTACGATCGCCATATTCAATGAATTCCCTCTTGATCTTGATGTCCATACCAGCGATTTTCCTGCCTTATCTCTATTCCAATCTCCTTGCTTCATCCACAACCACTGTACCTAATATGCCGTCTGGATTCTCGCACGAGCTTCGATTGACATCGTGTGAGATATGTACTGGTTTTTGCCTGTGTGTAAAATCGGGGCTGAGCCTAACAACTTTCTTGCATTTTCTTGAACGGCAAGAACTGCACTGCAAAATCTCCGGACGTCAATCTATCTGTTCCTTGCTTGAAAGCTTGGCGAGATAAGTGTTGTTCTGAAAAAGGTAATAAGAATGCGTTGACATCTGTCGCACGAGCCTAAAAGGAAGGGTCACGAGGGTGCTAAACCTCGTTCACCTCCACTTCCTCTGAAGCAAAAACTATGCCTTTGGCCTTGCTCTACTATCAAGAAAGAGTCCAAACTTGCCTTTTTTTCCCCAAAATCGTACTTCTAACTGTATACTTTCCAGCTTGATGGAAACCTTTCCGCTCTTATACAGGAGCGAAGTAGACACATTCCTTTGTCTCGTCCTAGTGGAGCCGATTTCAGTTTCTTTTTCCTCAGTGAATTTTTTTTTTTTTTTGTTTTTTTTTTTACCCCCATCATTTCTCCTCCGTCTTAGCTACACCGCAATCAGCGGCCAACGCAAGATGTTCCCTGCTCCCAGCCGTTTGGTAGTTCTCTTGTTGGCGCCTTTGTTTTTTCTTTACCATCTCTTATCACGCATCTTTTGGTCAGGGCTAAACGCACGCAATGTCTTCACATTACCGCTCAACTTCGCCATCAACTTTTCTCCTGTTTTCATCTGGTTGTTGATCTTCAAAAATGCCGGTCTCATTCCGAAGTCCATCCGACCCACCATCCATGTTGCTTTGGCGTATCGCGTGGATCGCTTCATGTTCAGCATTTCCGAATCTCCTATCGGCTGCTTGCTCACCATCTTTTTAAGTGTCGGAACTGCTTATCTCATTTACTTGAGGTGGTACCGTGGCGAGTCTTCGTATCAGAAGTTATCGTCCACGCTGTCGGCATCTTCACTTTCCGACGATTTGGAGTTATCTTCCTTCGATCAAGATCTTGAAGATTTACCTAAATCCTCTCGTGTCCAGAACGTGGCACCCGGAAGCTTCCAGGATCATCCACGCCTCGGAAATTTGGAGTTTTTCCGGCCCATGTCATCTGGAGACGTTTCTGCCAATGCCTCTGCCATCAACAAGAAGATTTCGAACCATCTTCGCTCATCCCACAACTACCGACCATACAACTGTTGGCTCTGGGCACCTCCGGCACTTTTGGCCTTGTCATGGGTTATCTTAAATGTCGACCACTTTTTTGCCACGCCATTAAGCACGGCAAAAGACATCGTGTCGTGGTTCTCCTACGTTATTGGGCATTTCTGTGTTCCTCTCTTCACGGCCATCTGGCTCTACGTTTTTCATGCTCCAGGAGCCCTCCGACTTTTTTCGATTGCCTTGGGTGCTCAGAACATTGCTGGAGTGCTCACCCACTTGGTTTTCCCTAATGCCCCACCTTGGTTTATCGAGTTGAACGGTGAGCATGGCCATGCCGATTACGATACCCCCGGATATGCTGCGGGACTTATCCGGGCACCTTTTGGCACCGGTACCCATATGGTGACCAAGGGATTCCATGCATCTCCAATCGTTTTTGGTGCGTTGCCTTCGTTGCATTCTGCCATGGCTGTCATGTGCTTCTTCTTTGTGTGCTACTATTCCCGTTGGACCATTTCCAAGCTTGCATTGTTCTCTTTTGTCGCCCTCCAGTGGTGGGCCACGATCTACTTGAATCACCATTGGAGACTTGATTTATACGCGGGACTATTGTACTCAATTGTTCTGTTCACTGTCGTTTACAGATGGCTTATGAGCAAAGTTGACGAGAAGTTTATCGAAGCACGCCTTAATTACGATTTCGAAAATGGATCCACCATGGGAATGAGAGTCTTCCGGAATACCAACTTGCAAAACTTTTTTGATCCCTTGTCTTAGAACTTGGATCTTGTATGAACTGCTTCATGATATGCTGCTCAAATCTGCATTACTCTCCCAAAATGGGCACATGCCTTACTGACGTTTCGTTAGCATGTCCCACAATTTTGTCTAGGCTTGACCTGTGCCTTATTTTTACGCCTTCTTGTACCTAGACACACAGATTATACTCCATAGGGTAGCTACGGGTTGGGCTATATTTTCAACAATAGTACGTTATTATGTGTACCCTTAATTTTGTATATTTTTTCAGTTTTGCTATGAGCCTCTGTCGCGACTGAAGTCGGGGTAAAGTCAGTGTGTACTGCATGTACTTCTCGTATTCCCCGATACGGTAATAACAGTATCGCACTGGCTTCCAGATGAGGAAAAAGGCTATCGAGTTGTCAAGCTAAAACCGATTGCTTCACCGAAGCCTTTACATTGTACAAGTTTAATGTAGTTATGAGATCCGGGAGGACCCCTTTCCGAGAAAATTATAAAAGGCCCTGCCCACGCAAATCTGAAAACTGTACTTGGTTCAAGTTTACAAGCGATACTTACATTCTATTTTGCACCCAAATTTATAACAGCCCCACTGAACTTTACGGGATCTCTAAATTCTAAATACCATACACAAAAAGCATCCAGATGAAGTTTTCCACTTTAGTTGTGGGTTTTGTTCTGCTACTTTCTGTCACCTCGGCTTTGCCAGTGGATATCCCAGTTTCCAATCAGTTGCAACCTCGCAGTGATGAACTTCAAGACCTAGTCTTGCACTCTCAGGAAAAAAGAGATATCTTACCACTTACTGTACTTTTCAGAACTTTGAATACCACCGGTACAGGTGTTTCCTTGGTGAAAACGGCCATCTCCATTCCATTTACGCAACAGCAAATCATCAAGTTCGTGGGTAGTTTGATTGAAACCAAGAATTTGACGTCGTTGTTGGAGGCCGCAGACCAGTCTGGATTGGCTCTCGACCTTGTTGTTATGGTCTTGACTCATTATGAAGTGATTCCTGGTGTGACTAACATTGTTAACGCGTACAAGGGAGGAAACTCTACTAGTTCTGGGGGCTCGAGCAATGGAATCTTAGGTGGTCTTCTTTCTGGACTTAGCTCATCAAATGACTCAGATCTGGGCTCTGGCACAAGTTCGGGCTCATTAGGCGCTTTGGGAAACCTTTTGGGTGGTGATTCTAGTTCTGCGGCTGATTCTGGTTCTCCAACAGGAGCTGCTTCCAGCCCAGCAAATAGCTTGGAAGGGTCATTGGGCAATCTTCTTGGAGGCCTTGGTTTGGCTCTGGCTTCTTCTTTAGAACCTGTGGCCACTTCGGCTACTACTGCCCCTTCGAATGGAAATCCGGCGGCTTCTGCTCCTGCAAACCCAGCGGTAGAATCTTTGGCTGCTGCTTCCCCTGCTTCCGCTCCTGCTGTTGCTGGTTCTGGTAATGTCAACACTGCTCCAGCCCAAGCCAACACAGAAACAGCAGCTAATCCAGCTCAAGCTACGCCTGCTGCCACTACAGCTGCAACCAACAATAATGGTGGTAGTTCGGGTTCCGGTGGTCTTTTGGGGGGTCTTTTAAATGGAGTTGGTAGTCTCTTGAATGGAATTGCAAAGAGAGAAGACCTCAGCCAAGAAGAGAAAATCGAAATGTTGAACACTCTCATTGAACGCCGGGAACTTGATCTCGGCAATATTATCCAAAATCTTGAGACCAGAGAGTTTAATTCTGAGGAAGAGGCCGCTCTTGCCAAACGGGATGTGTTTGACACCGTTTATCTGCAAATTATTAGAATCATTGGTTCTAACAGCAACATCCTCGAGATTGCAGAGTCATTGGAAAAATCGGGGCTTGCAATCAGTGTAATTTACAGTGCACTCACAGATAAAAGCTTTCAAAATTTCGATGTCAACTTGATCAAATATCTTGTTGAGAAAAAGCTTATAACACTTTCGTCTTTATTCACTGCCATTACCCAGTCGGGTCTTTTATTCCATTTAATCGGTGATATTGTTGGAAACACTTCCTACGTTCGTCTCGTTATCAATTTCGTCTTTGCCATCTTGAATGGCAAAATTAACATTCTTGGGTTGATCAGAGCCTTCTTTTAGTTCTACTTTTTCATAGATTGGGTTTTGTGTAAGAAAAATGAAAAGCACCTGTTTTTACCTTAATATTTTGTAGGACCTGATGCCAAAGCGAAAGTTCACAACTGAGGGACGGCAGCTCCATCGCCTCTTTGGTCAGATCCGCCTGACCACACAATTTGCTCATTTGTAGAGTTGTTCAAGATACACTGCCCCCTTCCAAAGATGGATCTATCGTATCCAGATACAATTTTCACAACGTGGCCCTTATCAGCAAGGGCTTCGGCAACATCAGGGCTGATACCATCCTCTAAATTTACAAGCGTTGCAGGCGTTGAAATTGGTCCCGAGGAGCCGAACCCGCGGTCTAGATGTCTGTACTCCTCGTTGGGTTCCAAACAAAATCTAGGAGCATCTAGAGCTTCTTGTGGATTGAAGCCAAACACAGTCATATTCAACATGATCTGAACATGTGCTTGTGGTTGTTGCCATCCTCCCATACATGCAACAGACGCGAATAGTTCTCCATTTTCTGTTTCAGTGATAAGAGAAGGTATAATGGTGTGAAAGGGTCGTTTACCACCTTCCAAGCAGTTGACAGCGTTTTCTGTCAAGTTAAAGTTAGCTCCGCGGCTCTGTAAAGCAAACCCGCAACCTTCAGGGATAATACCACTTCCAAAGGAAGAAAATACTGAATTAATGAAGGAGCAAGCATTCCCATCCTTATCTGCGACAGAAAAATAGACTGTGTCACATTTGAACATTGGATTTGGCACTTCGTCGATGTGTTCACGAGTCAAAATTCTTTGCGATTGAAGGAGCTTACAGCGCTGGGATAAGTACTCAGTACTCAAGGCTCTTTCGACATCTATCTTATGGAAGTCAGTGTCGGCCACCAAGTGCTCGGAGTCGTAGAACGCAAGTTTGAGTGCTTCTATGAGTATGTTCAAGTATTCCGTTGAGTTATGCCCTAAATCCCTTAGGTCAATGTTCTCGCGCTTGATAAATTCCTTGATGTAGCCCAATGCTAGTAAAGCAACAATTCCCTGGCCATTAGGGGGAATTTCCCAAAGGGTTTTTCCTTCAAAGTCCATACAGATAGGATCCACGATTTTTGAAGTATGATTCGCCAAATCCTCCATCTCGAGGAACCCGCCCCGCAGCTGGATCTCGCTCACTATCTTATCGGCAACCTCACCTTCATAAAATCCACGCTTTCCGTACTGAGCAATCAAACGGAAAATCCGAGCCAAGGGGACATTCCTGAATACTTGTCCAGCCTCACAAAAAGATCCATCTTCATTCACGAACATATTCGCATTATCACCGCTCTGCTTCACCAACTTTTCCAGAGCTTCTCGCCACAAATGCGCTGAAATATCTGAAACAGGAAACCCTTCTTCTGCCAACTCGATAGCTGGTTGAAGAATGTCTGCAATATTCACATTTCCAGAGCCCCAGAGCTCAATTGCATCTAACCAGCCTGCCACTGCACCAGGAACTGTCACTGCATGTACACTCTCATACGGAATTCTGGCGCCTGTGGGAATATCCTTTCTGACTCGATCAATGGACGTATACTGAGGAGATTTCCCACATCCATTGAGCCCATGCACTTTCTTTGTGTCTTTTTCATAAAACAACACAAAACAGTCTCCGCCGATGCCAGTTGATGGAGGTTCTGTGACACAAAGGGCTGCCGAAACCGCTACAGCCGCATCCACACAATTCCCACCTTTCTCCAAAACTCGAATTCCTGCAGCATTTGCAAGTGGTTGTGAAGACGCGACTAAACCTTTGGTAGAATGGACTACCGACCTTCTCGATTTGAAGCGATCAAACATAAGAATGAAAGGTACTTGAGGTGCGGAATTAGATAGTCCTTATGTGGGGTAAACAAGGAGTGGGGTACGGGTTTGAACATATGAGTCAAACGTACTCATCTTCATATTGTCTTTCCCGTGTCAATTTGTCGACCATTTTTGGTTGCCATTCTTGCCAATTGAAAAATCGAAATGTAAATCTCAAAGGTGACCTTTGGTGAATTTCAGTGTTCACAAAACTCTTGGCTCGTTCGGGAAATGGACGCGATCGAAGTCTAGAAAATTTTTCTCGTGTATAGTGGCATGCTGCTTTATCCGAATGTTTTCGTCGGGTTTATCGCTCTAAACAGTGATAGGTGTTTACTAATAGAGAGTCAACTTCTAAATTTGTGCGTCTTTGTACTTTTATGAAGTACGACGCACCATTTCCGTAATTATTTCTCGCGGAGACATCGTGCATCAAAGTGGTTGGTCTATTTCGCGCAACTCCATCATCGGCGATGAAATAGATAATTCGCTGATTCCGCTTCTGCAGTGGGACAAAAACTATAATCTTGGCAAAGATGCATCAATTAAACTTTCGTGCATCAGACTACTGCAAGTCTTGGCGAATCGAAATGGGTAGAATCATTGATACTTGGAAACTCTCATGAAAACTGGAAGGGTCTAACAAAGAGAACATTGGATAGGACGACATATTCTGGTAGTGCGGCAAAAAAAAAGAGGCGAAAAAACGGTCATGAGAGGTTATGCACAACTTTAGAGCATGCGCGAACTGATTTTTTAGATTAGTCGGTACATCCGTAAAAGGTGCCTGCAATATCATGCATGCGTACGCCACGCGGTTATTTCCAAACTTGTGCATAATGCTACATCGCGAACATTGCATTGTCGAAATATTCGGAAAGCTTACAACACAAATTTATAAAGAGACAGAGTTCAGCAGCTTCGAAGAAAAACTGAAACCTATCCGCTCATTATGCTTTCTGTTTCGATCCTTACTCTCGCTTTGATCGGCCAGGTTATTGGCGATTCATCTTCTCCTGCAGTTACTGCTTCCCCAACAGCCTCTTCTTCAGCTTCTAGACCAACTCTCGCAAGAACTGCAACTATCAATGGTTTCGCTGACCCTATTTATGACAGATTGCCAGCCTGTGCGAAAGGTTGTATGGATGCGCCAGTCGGATTCTGCCCATACTGGGAGCCTGGCTGTCTTTGTGTGATGACGTTTTTCGGTGACCCAATTGCTCAGTGCTGGGCCGAAAACTGTGTTGGAGAAGACATTGTAGTGGCTGCTAGCTTGGCTACTTCTGTTTGTCACTCCATTGGAGCACCTGACTGGAAGATTAGTCCATCCTTGAGTACTGTTTTGTCTGAATTGGCTACTGCTGAGCCTACCATTACCGAGACTGAAGCGCCAAGCTCATCTCCTGAGGCCTCATCAACAGAGCCTGCCTCTGATGCTACTTCTGAAGCTCCAATTCTGTCTGAAGCCGCAAGCTCTTCATCCCCTGCAATCACTGCTTCGCCAATTGCCTCTTCTTCAGCTTCTAGACCAACTCTCGCAAGAACTGCAACTATCAATGGTTTCGCTGACCCTATCTACGACAGATTGCCAACTTGTGCCAAAGGTTGTATGGATGCGCCAGTCGGATTCTGCCCCTACTGGGAGCCTGGCTGTCTTTGTGTGATGACGTTTTTCGGTGACCCAATTGCTGAGTGCTGGGCCAAAAACTGTGTTGGAGAAGACATTGTAGTAGCCGCTAGCTTGGCTACTTCTGTTTGCCACTCCATTGGAGCACCTGACTGGAAGATTAGTCCATCATTGAGTACTGTTTTGTCTGAATTGGCTACTGCTATTCCTACTATTACCGAGACTGAAGCACCAAGCTCATCTCAGACTCCTGAAGTCTCATCAACAGAGGTTTCCTCTGAGGCTACTTCTGATGCCTCTACTTCCTCCGAAGCTGCAAGCTCTTCTGAGGCTCCAGTCTCGTCTGAAACAATCAGCTCTTCTGCTGCTGTTAACTCCTCTGAAATTGTGAGCTCTGTGCCTTCCTCAATTGCTCCTTCTTCTTTGACTATTGCTTCCTCCAGTGCCATTTACCCTTCGAATGGAACTACAACTGCTGTGGTGCCATCTTCTTCCGCAACAGCTAACTCCGATGTTGTTGTGGATGATGTGACAGAAACCGTGATCAACGGTGTTACTGAGATTGTTACTGTATGCACCAAGTGCAAGACCTTATCTGGCTCCCTTACCACTTATACTACAGTTGTCGGTAGCGTCACCAGAACTGTGACTGCTGAATGCGACACCACTGAAGGTCCAGCTCAACCTGAAAACGGAAAGGCCACTGTTACTAAAGGTGATCACGGCTTTAAAGGTACTAAAACTACTGCTGGTCAGACCACTTGGTTCACACAAGTGACCAAGTCCGCAAGCGCTTCCTCCCCAAGTGCAGCTGTGCATACCGTTGAGCAAGCTAATGTTGCTGGAACCAACTATGCCTCTTGGTTGGTTAGTGTTGCTGCACTCCTCACTGCTATGTTGATGAATTAGATTTAGATACCTTAGACTTTGAATACACCACTGATGTATCCTTACTCCAATCTACACATGACGAAATAGAACCTTCTCTACACGTACAAGAATAAAAGAATAAAAACGAGCAATTTCTTCGGAGGACAAAAAAAAAACTCGGCTAATCTGGGATTCATGTATAACGTCCGTTGTGTAAAAGATTGATGAATCAGATAATTTTTATTTTGTTCTCCGCGCATACGTTTGCATGTTGTGAATAACGCATGCATGCGAAAACTCCGAACCTGTATGGTGTATAGCATTTGATGCATCATGCACTTTCACACATGTACTAAAACACTCCACCTTGAAATCCGAAACTGATAGACTGGGCCGAGAACGACCGAGAAGACTATCTGATACACTGAAAATCCCAGAAAATCATTCAGACACTAAAAATAAATACAACTATATACGAAAATGGTCTTAGCCGAAAGATTCGGTGTAGCAGTAAACTTGAGGAGCAGCATCAATCCACTTGTCCTTTTCACAGATTCTGTGTATTTCTCCATTGAAGGAAGCAGGACCACACCCAAGGCAAGCAAAAGCTTTCCTGTAGTTCTTATCACATTCCTCTTGAATGCCCCTTGATATGTATTCTTTCAAATCTGGCCGTCCATAAAGAATAGTGAAATTGCTTTCATTTCCAAATGAAGAAGAGCTGATACTAGAATATGTTCTAACTCTTGAGGAACTGAAAGGATTCTTTTCTCCTTCGGTCGCAGAAAAACTCTTTTCAGACAGACTTTCGACTGGTTCAGGATTCTCTTGAGTCACTTGAACAATGAGGTGTACCTTTCCAGCTGTGATGAATGGAATAAATTCCTCCCATAAGTGGTCGTACCACTGGAGGTTCTTTAACTTTTTAATTGCCATCACAATCTTTATCTTTGTCTTTTGTGGGCGGTACAAGTAATCGTCCACGAGGTCTCGTTCCTTGTTCACTTTCAACAAGTCCAAGGCCACAGGAAGAGTAAACGAAGCCCCAGAACCAGCACTTAAAAATATAACTGAGTCGAACTTTGTCAAAGGTTGGTAGTTTCCTCCGACAGGACCATTGATACCAGGAACAAGGTCAATATTTGAGGTTTGGGGAAATCTGTGAGTATCTCTTTTATTGCTGATTCTGAAGGATTCAATTCTTCGATTTCACAAGTAGTTTCCTTCACTAAAAGACTTTTAGAGTTTGCCGATTCGTTTTCTGCCTGAGACAGGGACTCTGATTCCACCTCTACAATCCCTGTGCTTGAAATATCGGTCAATTCCCCAATTGACTCTTCGTCCTCTTTGGATTTTTCTTCTTTCATCTTGAGTAGTTTCAATTTCAATTTCCTAGTGAACCCTTTCCTTACTTTCATCAATATAACCATTTTTCCAGAATCTGACAAGCTTGCTATAGTGAAAGGGTGGTATTGGAAGAGGGAGACCTTGGAAACATTCAAAAGAATATGTTGACCAGCTCTCCAATTTCCGTACCTGGGTACAATACACCACCACCACTTCCTTTGGTCAGAATCGAATACCTTGATGGGTATGGTGATTCTTAAGGTTGTCTCGTCCAATATTTCAAAGTCAGAGATTCCTTTAGTTGGTCCCTTTCTCTTGTGTAAAATTCCCATGACTCTTGCAACAATTCTGTCTAGAACGACAAGGTGCACACCGAGAAGAACAAGGAGGTGGTTGGCGCCGTTATGGAAGTAAGCAAACAAAAGCATAATGAAGTTGAAAATTCTATGCTCAACTAAAAAGAAATCAAAAGCAAAATTTCTGATGAAACGGAAAGAAGCAACGTTTAACATGCCCAAGCAGCTGTATGATATGAAACCAAATATTTGGGGAGGAATTTGTACCATAATGTAAAATTTCAAGTCTAGCCAGTATTTCAATGAGATCACCATGTGAATGGTAGTGAATACAAACATCATCCTTCCAAGATACTTATGGAAGAAGACAGTCTTGTCAAGGGGAAGTCCCGATAAGGCGGAAATGATATTTCCATGAGCAACAAGCAATAAAATGCAAGGAAGATTTGCTACTGCTAATCTTCCGAATCTTTTGCCGACAGTGTAGTAAAATGGGAAGTTGGTGAGGTCTTTGGTTTGCAAGAAACAAAACTCGACATTGATTGCAAGGTGGGCAAGAATCACAATTAATAGACTTGGTTGATAGTAATAATCTTTCCCGAAGAATCTGATTTTGAAAACTCTGTTCATAGAGTCAAAGCACTTTATGAATGTAAAATACGGTTTGAACCTCAAGCCGCTTGTGTCTCTCAAATGACGAAGACCCCAGGGAATCCAAAAAAATAAGATTCCATGAAACAAAGGTACTAAAAAGGATAGTGCCATTGCCAGGTATTGGTACTTGTACCCCCTGCTCTTCTCAACGAAGTACTGGTCAGCGAAGTTGACAGCCATATCTGAAAAGTAGTGATATCAATACTCGCCTGAAGAAAACAACTAGTTCGAAAGTTAAGAACCACGTAAATAAGGATGAATGCTATTTATCCAGTTTAGCGTTCGTTTAAGCGATGATGAGGAAAAAAAATCGTTTGCAGTTTCGACTTCTTTAGTACTTAGAAACTATGCACAAGAAAAATTTAAAGTGGAGTAGAAACAGGATGGTGGTACGTACAAGAAAAGCAAGAGAGTGCAGATCATGAATTTCTCACCAGTGTCGGACTTTTCGGTTTAGAACCTTCAATCACCCTAATAAGTCTTCTTTTTTTATCTTTTTCATCATTAACACCCCTTGCATATGCGCATGTCCTGTACGCACATATTGCATTTCCGATTAAATGCGAGGCGGTACGAACGAAGCAGAGTGAAGGAAATTTCCTCACCCGATATCAACGAGAGTGTTCGAAAAACCCGCCTATAATGTAACCCAGTGTGATTTTCGGCATTCCTCGGACCGATATGTGAACTGAGTCTAGATAATAATTACACACACCGCATATTTCTGCAGATTTCTCATTTCTAATAAGATACATTAATATGGGGTACTTTCAGCAATTCTAAAACTCAGATACTAATACCAAGAAACTATGAACGCTGTTTTCCTCTTCTTTATTTTTGCTACCAGTGCGTTTGCTTCCCAATGGGACACTTACCCTCAAGTGCCCAAGACGGCATCTGTGAATGGATTCTCTGACCCGATTAAGAGCAAGTTACCTTCATGTGCTTCTGAATGTGCTGACTTCTCTACAAAGAATACACCTTGTCCTTACTGGGACACTGGTTGTTTGTGTGTTATGCCTCAGTGGTCTGGACAAGTAGCTGCTTGTATTGCTAAAAGCTGCTCGGGTGAAGATGTGGCTTCCGCTACCAGTTTGGCTTATTCCTTATGTTCCAGTGTTGGAGCAAATGTTTGGATGATGCCGGGTTCACTTTCAACTTCGCTTTCTGAAGCTGCTAAAGGAGCAGTTGTAGCTAGTGCTACAGCCACTTCTGAGGGCGATTCTTCTGCTACCTCTGCTGAAGTTTCCTCTGCTACCGAAACAGGAAGTGCTTCTCAAGACTCCGCAAAGAGTGAGACAGAAAGCAAGTCATCTACTACCAGTGAAAACAGTAGCAGTGCTTCTGAGACATCCTCGACTTCATCTCAAAACGGGTCTATTCAAAGAACAACAAGTTCTGTTTTCTTGTTTTTAGTTACTTTCGTATCTACACTTTTCTAGTGTTTTTAGTCAGGATTTAAAGTAAAGTTCAATGCACAACCATGACAAGTGAAAACTAAAGTATAAAAGTCGTTTATGAGAGAAGATATGTAATATCAATAAGAAGCTCGTAAAGAAAATATTCATGAGACTGTAGAAGGTGATTGCTTTGGTTCTATCCGGAAACGGCGGTACTACGTTCCAATTTTACTCAATGCAAGTATATTCTAGTCTCACATAATATTTAGCCGCACCGCGCAATGTGTGTGCGTCTAGGAATGTCAAAAGTCTTAAATGGCATGTCCGAATCGGCGGCCGTATGCAACCTGTATATACTCAACAGAACTGTTCTTGGACATGCGCTACTCCAATTCTTCTTTCGGTATCGGGTATACCTTTCTGGCGAATGTAAACTAACACTTTATTTACAGTCTATCTTATAAATAGGGCTGTATCCTCCCGCTCTGTAGGTGTTTTCATCAACGCATAACTTCCTCATTCGCTATGTTCTCTTTGTTCCCAGTTGCTACTCTTTTGACTGTCGCCTCGGTTGTCACCGCTGCTGACAATCCATACACCATTTACCCATCTGTTGCAAAGACTGCCACTATCAATGGTTTTGCTGACCCAGTTTACGACAGATTGCCAGAGTGTGCTAAAAGCTGTGTGTCTGCATCCACCTCTTCCACTCCTTGTCCATACTGGGACACTGGTTGTCTTTGCGTCATGACCAACTGGGCATCTGATGTTGCAGAATGTTTTGCTAAAAACTGTAAGGGTTCAGATGTTGACACTGCTTCCCAGGCTGCTGTTGCTGTCTGTTCTGCTGCAGGTGTTTGGGAACCATACTTCATTATCGACTCTGCTGCTTCCAGTTCTTTGGCTGCTGCTGCTGAAGAAGTTGCCACTACTTCTGAGGCTGCCACCTCTGAAGCTGCCACTTCCGAAGCTCCTACCACGTCCGAAGCTCCTGCTACTTCCGAAGCTCCTGCTACTTCTGAGGCTCCTGCTACTTCTGAGGCTCCTGCTACCTCTGAGGCCCCAGCTACTTCTGAAGCTCCAGCTACTTCTGAGGCTCCAGAGTCTTCTGCTCCAGCTCCAGAGTCTTCTGCTGAGGAATCCTCTGCTCCAGAGTCCTCTGAGAGCGCTGCTGTTCCAACTGTTGCTTCTGTTAACGGTGTTGCTCCTGGTGTTGTTCCTGCTGCTGTGGCCGGTGTCGCTGCTGGTTTGGCTATGCTTTTGTAAGCAGGAAACTAATGTTTCGTACTTTGCGGGGCAGCTGTTGTTATGATTTGTGTCAATCTGTAGTCTGCAACATTTGCGACCCAAAATTATTGGTTTTAGTTATGTTGTTTTAATGAAGAAAAAAACAATTTAAGAAAATATCGTATGTGGTCCATGATTTATTGCATTGTGCAGATCTTTCCATCATCTATGGTAATTGAACTATGCAGTGATTGTGCACTCAATTATTAGTCTGTGTAAATGTTTAGAAACCGTTTCAAGCAACTTAGACCAACAGTTTTCTACTGATGGAAGACGTTGGCATTTCAACTCATCACTCTTGCTATCATATTGCCCGAATAGGGTAAGAGTAGTCGAAACTGCCAATGGTTCGATTCGAGTTTGGTCCTGTGAAGAATGAGACATAAATTTCTTTTCTTTCTATAGACCAGTTTGAAACCTCTCCAAAAAGCCTAAGCTTCCAATTTTCAAGTTGGAATAAAATGAATCTTTAACGTACAGTAACTGCTTTGTTTCAGTATTGCTTCGGGAAGCAAGCAGGTTTATTAGCCACTACTCCCAACGACTTAGGTTCTGATCGATTCCTACCCAGTGCCATATTCAATTTTGAACTGCGAACTGATTCAGTAAAAATCGTCCAATTTATTCACATTACCATTTCTTGATAAATTTAATCTAAGTTTTCTGGCTCTTGTAGATTTTTCTTGTGCAATGAAGGTGTCTGATGTGAAGTATGTGTCCGAATTCAACCTACTGACATTTGACCAGGTTTCTGAGTTCAAAAACGACGAGACGGCAGGCGTGGTAACAGGTAATTTGTAACAGATTTTGAACAGCATTATTAAGCATTAGTCATCTGTTTCTTGAAAGTCTGAAATCCATGCACTTCGGTGATATAGACTTTTTAGTTAAAGTCGCGACTACAAGATCTCGCACATACGTATTGTGGGGGGAGGTGCATAAAAAAAGTGTGTAAATCGATCATCATCTCATTCGAACTCTAAATATCGAATATAGTGTGACGTTTGAGACGTTCGAATCTTTTTTCCTACGAAATAACACTTCTTGCAATTGGTTCAATTCTCACGGTATACGAATTCTGAGTCTTCCAAGATGAATATTCAGTTCTTGAATGAAATGGTATTCGCATTATATTTTTATCTCTCTACTGCTCAACCACTACATTTTAAAGTAAATAATTGACTTTTTTACATTTTTTATGTTCCAATTTGCATTTCCTGAAAAAAAGAATCGCCCCAACTAATTATGTTCCCAAAGTGCGTCTACATGAAATATCGTGAAAATGCGATACGCGTAGACACAAATTAAAGAAAACCGAACTGGAATAGAATTATCTGAATTCGAAAATGTTACGAAGCATACATTTTGCATACATTCTTGGTTTTTTGCTCACGGCAGTTCCACAATTACTATTCTACAGCGCAAGTTTATGACTTTAGAATATTAATTACGTGGCTAGACTTCAAAGCTTTCAAATGCCTTGAAGAGGCTCACCTGATTATACGTGTATAGAACTAGCCTTCTCTTTGTCTAGACGTGTGTAGAGGCGGCCAGTAGCATTTGAATCCATGCTTATTACTCGTTCATTGTAGGAGACGGATTGTTTTTCGCGCGTCAGAAATGAACAAAGAGGAGCTCTTCTTCTCTGTGTTTGGCAGAAGAATCTTCATGTGACAATTCATGCCAACCAATGACTGCGCCTGCAATAAGCGGAAGAGTTATCGTTAAATCTTCTATAGATCAGAGGTCCATACGATTATGTGCATGAAGAATCAACTGACGTATTTATCCTTGATGTTAGAGCCACGTAAACAAGGGAAGTACAACGCTGTTTTGATAGAATATGGCTTTGTGGTTTGAAGCCATGGCCATGGGAGGGGTCTCTATATATATATAAATTTTGGAGGATTATTGAATCCTGACCTGCCAAATGTCACTTTTCAGAGAACTTGATCCCGTGCAATTGGTTTACGTTGTTATTAGCTTGTTCTTCGCGTCCTTTGTGTACAACGAACTAAAAGGAATTTACTTAAGTCGCAAATGGCACACGAAATCTCCAGTCAAAACTTATCGCGGACTTTTTAGTTTGCCTCAGCTTGTTCGGCTGCGGAAAGCTGTTGATTCGGGCCATTTCGTGGACTATTTTAGGGACCAGTACATAAAATATGGTGCAGATACCTTAGATTTCACTGGCTTTGGAAGTAAGATCTTCTTCACGAAAAACCCGCACAATGTGAAATCTCTCTTTGCCACTAACTTTGATGATTGGTCTATTGGTGCCCGAAAGAGAGCGTTTAAACCATTCTTAGGCGTTGGTGTGTTTGTTACTGATGGTGAGGTGTGGAAACACTCGAGAACCATGTTGAAGCCTCAGTTTCTGAGAGAACAAATTGCACACGTTCACAGTGTTGAATCTCATTACAAATTGTTTGCCCAGCACATCAGGAGCTATAGGGGCCAGGAGTTTGACATTCAGCCTCTTTTCATGAAACTTACAATGGACGCATCCAGTGAATTTTTGTTCGGTGAGAGCATTCATTTGCTCCACGACGACTCGATTGAACACGAGAAAGACACTAGTGACATTAAAGGCAAAAAAGAATTGGCTGAAGACCTTTCATTTTTGCAGACTTATCTCATGTTCCGAGTCATGTTGTTAGATTGGTTTTGGTTGGAAAACTCCAAAAAGTTTAGCGAAGCCATCAAAAGAGTTCATGCCTTCACTAGTCAATTTGTTGATCGAGTACTAAGTCTTACGCCAGAGGAGAGAGAAGCAAACAGCAAGGATGGGTACACGTTTTTGTATGAGCTTGCAAAGGTCACAAATGACCCCATAGTAATGCGGGACCAGATTTTGAATGTGATGTTGGCGGGAAGGTCCACCACAGCAAGTCTTCTCTGTTCAGTTTTGCTTGAATTATCCAGAAACCCCGAAGTGTACGAGAAGTTGAAGAACGAGGTGTACGAGCAGTTCGGGAATGGAAAAACCAAGGGAGAAGAAATAACTTTTGAAACACTAAAGAAATGTACCTACTTGAGATGGGTTCTTAACGAGGGTCTTCGTATGTATCCTCCAGTTCCACTGAACCTTCGACAGGCGGTCCGTGATACTACACTTCCAAAGGGAGGAGGACCAGATGGTGAATCTCCTGTCCTAGTGCGTAAGGGCCAGTATGTTGCACTCCATATTTACTCCATGCATCGCCTGGAAGAATTCTATGGTAAAGATGCTCTCTCTTTCAGACCAGAGAGATGGGCAGACCTTTCCAAGATTGGCTGGGCCTTCATGCCTTTTGGCTCGGGTCCTCGTATTTGCTTAGGTCAGCAGTTTGCCTTAACAGAAGCCTCCTATATTTTGGTTCGTATGGTGCAAGACTTCCCTCATATTGCTTCGCACAACAAAACGTACCCTCCACGCACATACTCCAGATCTACTATGCACTATATAGACGGGATCAGAATTTCATTGTATTAGTTTCTTTTCCTTTATTTTTAATGATATATGATCTTGTGAATACTTGATACTTAGATTCTCCGCCCTAGGTTGGGGTAAGCTATGGATTTTTCTCCGCGCACCTGATGATAAGCATGTGAAGACCAGATTTATTCTCCAGCGTCTTCTGTATTATGGAAGACAAATTGTATCAACAATAAGCAAACAATCCAATAGCAGGAAACAACTACTTTTTTAGATCAAGCCACATGAAAGGTGGGTTTTCATAGTCCGCGGTCCCTTAAAGTACTTCAAGTGACACATTCTTACTTCGCTTACACGAAATTCCCCTCTACGGAGTCACATGGCACACATGTGATTTTGGTGCAGGTCTACCGTGGATTTGTTCGTGTACGCAATACGATGGAAAATTGATGTTAAGATCACTCGACAGATACGAAACAGCCCACTATGACATCAGATGCTTTCTAAGAAGCTCCTCATTACAACTAAGTGGCTAATTTCATATATACAATCGCTTGTTCGGAATGAAAAAAAATTGTATCGCAATGCTAGCCAAGGGAACAAAATATCAGCGTGTAGTTCGCAATTACCGTATTAGTATATTCGAGCGATAGTGCACATTTGTGGGGCCAACAGCAAAAGTATAAAAAGCGACCTTGGGTTGGGGTATGATCTCCAGTGGGCAATCAATCTGTTTTGAACTATACTGATACCATCCTATTTCCATTATTATCTTTGATATAGCACCTCTACAATGCCTACCGAAAGCGTCAAGCCTGACAGAATATGGTCGCTTGCGCCAGAACATGAGATTGTCCTCAAGCAAACATGGGCAATCATATTGAAGCATTTTGGATATGACTTGGACAATCTCTCCTTCCATGATCTTGAGCTTAAATCCAACTTCGTTGCATCTAAAAGCAAGAACGCTCTTCCTATCATTCCAAAAACATCTGATCCAGGCGATGTGCCCGAACCTTCGAAACGCACAGTGGAAACATATCACTCATTGTCGGGAAAAACAGCCGATGAACTTACAGGCGAGTTTGATAAGTCCGCAAAAGCTGTTTCAAAGGAGCATTACCACCATTTTAGCAAATTCGATGACGTGGAGATGCACCAGGCTTTCTTCAGCTCCGTTAGAAATGATTCTCCCGACAATGACTTGCTCCGTTTTGTTAGAGCCAGAAAGTTTAAAGTGCACCATATTGTAGAAATGGCTGCCAAGTGTTGGGAGTGGAGAGCCACGACTCATAACGTCAACAAGTGGTTTTACGAGGGAGACGCTCAGGTTTTTTTTTCGGGTAAGAAGCCCGAGTTCATCAAGGCTTTCGAGTTGGAAAAAGCCTATATGAGAGGTGAGGATTATTCCGGGGGCCCTGTGGCTGTTATCCGGGTCAAGAAGCACTTTGGCCATGACTGCCCGGAAAAGGACTTTGAAAGATTCATCTGTGTGTTCATTGAATGGAGTCGATTGCGCATGAGAAACTACGAAATTGGAAATGACGGAGCTAACATTCTTTTTGATATGACTGGTTTTTCCTTGAAGAATGCGGATATGAATGCTGTAAAGTTTTTGGTCAAGCAATTCGAGGCAAACTACCCAGAGTCATTGAACGCGATATGGGTTCACAAAGCTCCTTGGATTTTCAATGCTGTCTGGAAGATCATTAAGGGCTGGTTGGATCCTGTTGTTGCCTCGAAAATTCATTTCACCAAATCTGCTCAAGACTTAGAGAAGTTTCTTGACAAGAAGTACATTCCTAAAAACCTCGGTGGCTCTGACTCTTATGAACCTAAGTATGTACCCCCAACGAAAGAGAACAGCAGCACCCGTCCTAAAGATGACACATATGTGAAGTTGATGGAACAACGCAAGAAATTGATGCTTTCATTTATTGAGACAACCATTTTGTGGATCCAGGCAAAGACAACAGAGGAGTCCACAAAGTATTTGAACAGTAAAATCGACTTGGGAGCAAAATTAGGCTTAAATTACAAAGCATTGGATCCTTATGTGCGTTATAGGGGAGCGTTTGACAGGGACGGTTCTCTAGGAGAGATTGGTATTTAGTTTGGAATTTTTTAAGAATCAAACTATCTTTTATTAAGGTTTGAAAAGCACTGTTCTGTTTTCTATGCGCATCTATACAATTCTCTCCTGTAAATGATAGACAACATCGACATCTAAGAAAATCATGTCAAGGGGAAAAAAGAATTCATTTGTCAAACACAACACCTCTTGGTCTTTCGTCAACAGTCAATTTAAAGACATCAGGACGAGTATAATGTCCAGTAGGGTCAAGGTCGTAACGGGCCTCAAGAATAATGTCTAAATCAATTTCAGCCGTCAACAAGCCTTCTTCTCCCACGAAAGGACCAGCTAAAACTTCTCCGTATGGATCGACAATCAATGAACCACCGTTGATAGGCTGTTCCCGGGTATAGCCTGGGACATCGCGGGTGTGCTCCTCCCAGGACAAAAAAGGAACAGCTGAAATAGCAAATTGACGACCTTCCACGGCAATGGTCTTGATTAAAGATGCCCAGATCTCTCTATCATCAACAGTGGGTGCAACATAAATGTTTAAGCCTTTCGCATAATATGCCGCGCGGTATAAAGGCATGTAATTCTCCCAGCAAATACCGCCTCCAATTCCCCCCAACTCCTTTGATTCGGCAACATAGAGCGTTGAACCATCTCCTTGGCCCCAAACTAATCTTTCCGTGGCCGTAGGCATTAATTTTCTATGCTTACCTACGAAACCCTGATCGGGGTCAATGTAAACCATTGTGCAGTACAACGTACTTCCGCCCCTTTCTATGACTCCAGTCACTATCATTGTGCCCGTTCGTTTACTTAACCCTTCTAATTGGGAGATCTCAGGGCCCGGGACTTCGATCGACTGTTTATGATACTCAACGAACTCTTTTCTTCCTTCAGGCAAACGGTAACCCAAGTACGTACCAAATTGGCTTCCCTTTGGATATCCTCCGATTGTAGCCTCTGGGAGCACCACCAACTTCACTTTTTTGTCGATAAGCTCTTGTTCATAGCTCAAAATCTTTTCAACAGTCTTTGGTGTACCTTCTTTGCTTGCTCCAATTTGCAAGGCTGCAACGGTGTATTTCGTCATACCTTTTTTAAAAAATTCGACACTGACTATGTATTATTGAAGCGGAATTTTTTAGAGCCGTGGGCGTTATCAACAAGTCCGCCTGCAGTATAATCTATTCATTCCGTTCTATTATAGGCACGACAAAAAATGCTCTAATGTCACATCTTCTGTCATTCTTTGTATAGTAAGCAAAGATAAAGGGTACAGAAATGTGAATTATAGCATTTTTCCAAGGACAGTGTGAAGATTATAATTCATTATTAAAGTTACGGCAATATCAACTATTGCAACTTCTGTTAGTGGTAAAAGATTCAAATTTACACAAATTGTGCGAATACTGAAAAGAAGTAAAAAACACGAATTCTTCAAAAAAAAAATACATAATGTACGATGGCAAACCAGAAAAAAAAAGAAAAACATAACTAAAGGTAAAGACATCATCGAGGTTAGTAAACAATTCATAAAAACAATTGTGTCATTTGTTTTGATTTCTGATGTATTCTACGCTGACTTTCAAAACAATATACAGTACCAGCTATGTTGTTCATCCGTTATATGCGATTATGAGCCGACTTTCGATCATCGGACAGAATGGTGACAAAAAATAATCATGTTTCTATATGAAATATCTATTCAGTAAGTGACGTGATTTGGTAAATTCCTGAGATCTTGTTTTCTCAACTGCCAATTTGAGCCAACTCAATCAAGTTACTGTACATATACGAGAAACATCCATACACCCAATCTTGTGGGCATATTTTCCTGCAGAACATTCTTCAGACAGGACAGAAAACGGTGTGACACAAAGGTTAGAAACTTCGCCTTCGTCAAAACGTTGTGTCATTCGTGAAGAGAAGATACGCAGCAAATGTAAAAAGCAGGCAGAGTGGCACTTAAGCATCAGTAATTTAATTTACTCGAAAAGTAACAATCGCCTTCAAGCTACGATTAAAAATTCTTGAAATGAATTAGAATGAGAGAAAAAAAGTAGCTAGGAGGACATATTGAAGAACATTTCGATCACCGAAGAAATGGCGCACCGGGATCTATAGAAATTTCAAGCATAGCGCCTGCTAGTCAAAGGCCGCCCGCGTCGAAAGATAACCAGAATTCAAACCCCTATATGCAATATCAAGATCTCTATACAGTAAACTGATAGCCAAGGCACACTTACAAAAACTGTCAGTGGATATCCACAAGGAAATTCATGTTGGGGAGTCGTATTCTTTCTTAACATTTGCAGTTCATCCGATCTTGCTGTGGATGGACCAATCGAAGATAAAGTTGCGAGTATCAAGAGTAAAAAACCCTCACCTGTACATTGCCCCACGACCCTACGAAGAAAAAAGGAATGCAGATTTGTCATGACAGGGAAGCCCTGGAGCTTGACCGCTTTCTATTGGTCCATTAAAGACCTTGCATGTGTAACTTTTCCATGGACATTTGTATTCATTGAAGGGGCACTGTAGTACATTGATTTATGTGTGGAGACAAATGTCCGTCCCTGCATTGTGGTGCGTCGTTATAACGGTAGCGGATGTGTGATGAGAAATAAGGTTGGATTATGCTTCGCATAACAAAGATTCCCTGCATGCTACAGCTTTTTCTGGTTCGATTCGGCTCCTCATCGAATGATTGAAAGATAAGAGGAAAGCTAATTAGTATAAAAACCGATCATTCGGAACTCACAATCTATTTTAAGGGGTAAACGTGAGAAAGGGGTTGAAAACTCGTTTTATGTTATTCGGTTTTTACCGTTCCATCACCTGCATAATTGTTCCTTGCTTTATGCATGTAGCGGTTTCATAACCATTTAGTAAAGAGATGTGTGAAGCCTCGTACTTACCTGGCGATGAAGATTAACACAATGTAAACCGAAACAGAGGCTTTTTCAAGGCTACGAGTGAAGACTACAAATGCAATAGGACTAGAAAGAGTACATTTTTTTTCTCCACGAAGGGAAGTTCAAGTCTATTGAGCTACTCATTGTGGTAGTAAGAGGCAATCCCTTTCATAATTAGATTGATGATCCCAAAAGATGAATAAAGACCGTAAAGTGAAAAATTTCATGTAGTAAGCCCGTAACCTGCAGATACGTAATCTAGATCCAAGTGTTAGCCGAAAGAATCCCCAGGCCTTCGGTGCAGTTCGTGCATTTGCGAAAACAGGGCACAGGGGCAGTGCGTTTTGTCTTTATTTTTGACGAAAAGATCGCAGAAGTACTCATGATAACGTCTAACATCTATATCATTACAAAGTAATAAAGAAAACGAGCTAAGTAGAAGGGAAAATTGTAGAGGAAATTCAAAGAGTTAGCAAGCATGAAACAATGATTCTGCACCCAGAAAGATGTTTCATACAACAGTTTACACAAATCAAAAGGAGGAGCGTTGGACACATCGTACAATACGGTGATAGGAACTTTGTTTACCACTCTTTTAGCCATCGTGCTTCGTAATACTCGAGTGTATACCCGAGGGCCACATTGGTTTGAAGTATGCATAGCGCTTACCATGCAAGGCGTCAGATAGATCTTTATGAATAGTCATGAGAGAAATGAGGCTAAAACATAAACAGACGGTACAAGAGCATGCAAGGAATCTCCTTCGCTTCTACGTCCGCTTTTCTTTTCAAGCAATCAGGGGCATTTAGAGAAGACCAAATGCTAGTGCTGGTAGGTCGTTTTCAAGAAAGCGAACAAAACCTTCTTCTTCCGTAAAGCTGTATGCAGAAGCAATCTAAGAAAGGAGTTTAGATTTAACCACTCCTTTTTTACCACGAGCTTCGAACTCAAACGGAACACATGCATGTTACGGCTTTCAAGTACATTATGTGGCACTTTACACTAAAATATCTGCAAGTGTGATCTTATTCTTTGGCTGCTAGAGTGGGATTTTAATACCGATGTATGCATGCATTCGAAGTGTGCCAAAAATTATGCGAGCTGCAAGATCTGGCCAATGGTCTCTTCGAGATCGGAGATTATGCAGACATTACTTCTCTCCATGCCCACTGTATGGGGACTGCAGCATGACTAAATCGGTATATGTCCTGACAAAAGTTGCGAAAAGGAACCAGAACCACATTACGAGTGTAGAAGTGGCTGCAAACCATTCTATGCAAAATGCAAGAGAAAAAGGAACCATTTATAAAGCCGTAACGCCGCCATGTGGTTGTTCTCTTCAGCATGTTGTTCAAGACAATAACGTCTCTAGCATTGGTGGCTTTTGCCTCTGCTACGTCAGTGATTAATGCTTGCCCTAACCAGAAGTTCACATTCCATGCGAGCACTGTGAATTTTCCACAAGCTTCAATCACAGTTACAGATCCAGTTCCTAATAAAGATGGGACGTGGGATGTGACTATAAACTTCAATGCTGCTGACACAATGTCTTTGAAGTCGTTGTCGGAATTGAAAATTTTTGGGCTTGTCCCAAACCTACTTTTTATACTCCAATAACCTCAAGGTTGATAAGATCTCTAATCCTGGTTCTTGGTCACAACAGGTGACTGTGACACCAAGATCTGTTGGTTCATACAGCACTTGCATGCAGCAATTTACAATTCAGTTTGATTGGTGTACCGCTGGTGTTACGGATTTGAGCGAGTGCCAAAACTGGAAATACCAGGACTCTTATGATTATATCACTGGATGCGATAACTTTGACCCAAGTACAGGCTTTTCCCAAAAAGATGCACCTGATTACTGCTGGGATGTTCCCAACAGTCCCCCAGCAGGAATCTTCCAGTGCTCCAGCTAAGGAATCCTCCAGCGTTCCAGCTAGCAAGTCTTCGAGTGTCCCAGCCAAGGAGTCTTCCAGTGTTCCCAGCTAAGGAGTCTTCGAGTGTTCCAGTAAGCGAGTCTTCCAGTGTTCCACCCGAGTTGAGTCACCCCACATACATTGGCACCAAAGACATCTGAAAATTCTCAGCTCTTCCAGCGTTCCGGCAAGCGAGTCTTCCCAGTGTCCCAGCCTAGAGAGTCTTCTAGCGTCCCAGCCAAGGAATCTTCGAGTGCCCCAGCTAAGGAGTCGTCAACAATCGAGAAACCTTCTTACAAGCGATCCATCTGCATTGACCTCACCAAGGGTCTAGCGGGGAGGTCACTGATGTTCTTTAGGGAGGTACTGATGTTCTTTAGGGAGGTACTGATGTTCTTTAGGGAGGTACTGATGTTCTTTAGGGAGGTACTGATGTTCTTTAGGAAGGTACTGATGTTCTTTAGGGAGGTACTGATGTTCTTTAGGGAGGTACTGATGTTCTTTAGGGAGGTACTGATGTTCTTTAGGGAGGTACTGATGTTCTTTAGGGAGGTACTGATGTTCTTTAGGGAGGTACTGATGTTCTTTAGGGAGGTACTGATGTTCTTTAGGGAGGTACTGATGTTCTTTAGGGAGGTACTGATGTTCTTTTGTTCTTTAGGGAGGTACTGATGTTCTTTAGGGAGGTACTGATGTTCTTTAGGGAAGGTACTGATGTTCTTTAGGGAGGTACTGATGTTCTTTAGTGGACGGTACTGATGTTCTTTAGGGAGGTACTGCTGTTAAACGAGGGAGGTACTGATGTTCTTTAGGGAGGTACTGATGTTCTTTAGGGAGGTACTGATGTTCTTAGGGAGGTACTGATGTTCTTTAGGGAGGTACTGATGTTCTTTAGGGAGGTACTGATGCTCTTTAGGGAGGTACTGATGTATGTAGGGAGGTACTGATGTTCTTTAGGGAG